GTTTATGTAGTTCTCTATCTATACAGAGTGCAGAATATTTTTAATTATTGCATTAGTGTACATTAAACGAAGAGCCGTGATAGCTCAGTGTCCGGGCGCTCGCCTTTAATTCAATGTACTCGAGCAACCTGAGTTCGATACCCAGTGCCGGCACCAGTGAAGATTTTAACTTTAAGTGCTGACTTATCACGTGCTCCGGGGTGAAGAAAAACATCGTGAGGAAACCTGCATATTTTCGAAATAAAAACAAAAAACAATCGAAGATATGTGAAGTCCGCCAATCCGCAGTGGGGCCGCGTGGTAGACTATGCCCTGATACCCTCTGTATAGAGGGGGCCTTTGCCCGTTAGTGGGAGATGTATAGGCTGTTACTTTTATACATTCAAACCTATGAAAAAAACATTACACACACTACCATGCATAATTAATTATGATCAAATTTGGACCACTAGTATTTATAAAAACATCATCGAATTAATCGGTATCTTTAAAATGATTCTCGATTCTTATTTTGCAACAAGTATCGTACGTAGGTCAACGCAGCATCTTCTGTTGTTACACGAATGGGCAGGATCGTCTGGGGAAGTACCACGGCTTAACAGAAGACTGGCGTGAACTATTATTATATTTTGTGTATGTCCAAGGGCACTTAGCATCAGGTGAATCGCTAGCTTTTACCACTATTTTACATTTAAAAAAATCTACATTGTTTGCCTTTGATTACTGATTCATTTGAATTTTCCTGTAATACTTCGACCCTTGGAGTGAAATATTTCATTTTCCACTGAAACTTCGTTATACTTATTTAATTTCCTGGAATACTCTTAATTGGAGATTTATAAATTTCTCCTCAAATATCTTTGGTTCTTTCAACGATCTTAATTCTTACCTTATTTCGGGAATTTCGTCTTTTAACAATAATTTTTATAAAATTTTACTAAATTGTGTTAGAAGTGTTTTGAAGCTATTATATAGATATTGTAAAAAAAATATAAGGTTTTTGTCGGGAAAACATTATTGTTGAATATACAAAATTGACGTCTTTAAACGTAATGAAATTAAATAAAATGGTAAAAAAAAATTCTTTAAAATGACAAATTTCTAAACGCCTCCATACAAATGACGTCATAGACCTTGCTAATCATCTTGGGTATTTTTTATTTAGACCAACATTACCCTTAAAAGATCCATTTTACCCCTGAGATGTGCTATCCATATTGAAGAATTATTAATGTAGCATTGAGTTAAAGCCTTTTATATGCAATCGACATTATACATTCATTAGACTAATTTATTCGAAAATAATTGTTACGACGCTCGTCAGAAAGTGTTAAATGCAATACCATCCAACGAACGGGTAGTTTGTCGAGTCCGCCAGGGGATGTTTTTATATTGGCGGCTGCTATGTATATCGCAATATCAAATATTAATAGGACACTTCATATAGCGCGGCGTAGTTGTTACGAATATCGATTAGGCGTACATCAAACGGACGAGACCGACAACGAAAAACGAAAGAATTTCGCTAGCGGAAATTTAAAAACAAACTTCCATTATTATGTATTTTCGTACCGCGTAATTTGCATTGCTTTTGGCTTGAAGGGTTTCAGTTTTGAAAAAGATTCTGCGATCTTTATGACGACATAAGAATTCTCTAGTGAAAACGTACGCGAAATAAAAATCTCTCTCCTTTTGTATAAAAGGCCTTTTATTTCTTTGATTTCAAGTTTTTATTTATGTGAGGCAAACGAGCTGGCGGTTCACCTGATATTTAGATTTAGTGATAACTGCCGTCCATTGAAATTTGCAACACCCGTAGGGATGGGTTGCCATCTTAAAATAAAGTCTGCCCCGGCTACCTCACTCACCACGCACGACGACACGCAAAAGTATAACACTTCCACCTCAGGCCGTCTTCTTTGAGGTCGTGGTACTTTCCCGGACGGGAAATGCTGCCCATTCGTGCAACAGAGAAGATTGTTGCACGGGGCCCTACCACAGTTAATTTAATTGCAAACTGACAGATGATAAGATTTTCGCCGCGCACTAATGCGATTAACCTGACATAATTACGATCAATGAAACACAATGGAATTGAAACATGATTTATAGCTAAACATAACGTCGAAATTTACAATTTATTTTACATCGACATTTTTCGAATTTAAATTGAGCATTGTTTTTATTGAAAATGAATATTTATTGAGGTATTTGGACAGGCCAATATTTTATTTTAATGCCGTTTCTAAGATTATGTTAAAAGTGTGCTATTTTAACATTTTATCATCATATCCTCAAAATTTACAGTATCTGCATACTGCATAACGACAACCAGTTATACATCTATCTATAGCTTGTTCCTTTGTCCATCTTTCATGCGGCATCGAAACAAAGGGTTATGATACAGACTTATCCTATATTTGTTTACAATGTACTAGCAACCCGGCCCGGCTTCGCACGGGTGCAATGCTGAATGTTTGTTTTCGACATCGCATTAGAAACCTCTAAAATTATCAGTGTTTCACTACTATATTATGCATGAATTATAAATATAAACCTTTCTCTTGAATCACTCTATCGAATAAATAAAACCGTATCAAAGTCTGTTGCGTAGTTTTAAAGATCTAACCATATATAGGGACAGACAGACAGCGGGACGGCTTTGTTTTATACTATGTAGTGACGATCCAATAGGGGATACCTGGCTTCTATTATGCTCACTCACGATCCATGAAATGGAAATACGTGCAAGCGGAGCCGCGACACGTGATTGCTTATACATAACATATATGTCGTCTGCGGATTGATTGATCCGTCAAACAGGGGGAGGGGAGTACATCGATTGCACACGTTCGCCAGTCTATGAAATGCCGAAATCTAGACTGCCATTTTGTAAAGTCCATTCAAACCAAAATGGCGATGCGAACACCGTTTATAGAATATCTGTATTGTTAGGTTTTTGTTTAAATTATGCATTATGTCGACATATTTTCTATTAATATCTATTTTTTTGTAACTCCTTGTGATTTATAAAATGACTTTCTATCTCGGTTGGTTTGTTTAAGATATGCATTGTGTAAACATAATTTACTTGTGCATTTATTTTCTGTAACTCCTTTCATCAAAATTGAACTTCTTCCGTCGTTTTATTATGTAAAGAAAAATACATTGAATTATTTTAGCTACTGTGGTAAAGTACAAGGTCGGAACGGTGTATGTAATTTCCATCACTTTAGTTCTTAGCATTTACTTAAATGCTCATTATGTTATGAACCGGGAATTATGTGAATTATTTAATATACAAAAACTTAAATACCTATGTGCTTTTACGTGCTTAACGCAAAATCTCAGCCCGTCTTCGGCAATCACGGCCTGAATTTTTGGCCACTTAGCTAAACGGTTGATTGTCACACCGACGAAATTATCAACGTCTTGTATCTACATAATTTTTTAGCATTTTATTCATTTATTTATTATTATTAAAATATACAGCTTTCCTAACGATGTTTTCCTTCACCGCTGAGCACATGATAAGTCAGCACTTAAAATTAACAATTTCACTGCGGCCGGCACCGCGGACCGAACTCATATTGCTCGAGTAGGTATATTAAATAAAAAAAGCCGGGCAATAAGCATGACAGATTTCCTAACGATGTTTTCTTCCCCGCTGAGCACATGATAAGTCAGCACTTAAAATTACCAATTTCACTGCGGCCGGCACCGCGGACCGAACTCCTATTGCTCGAGTAGGTATATTAAGGCCCATTTACACGGTGCCAGTTTCTTGCCTGTTGTATACAATTAAATTGAAGCAATATATGAGTTGCATGGTCTAAACAAGAAATGGTCTAAACAATTATTGTATTTATTGCTCTTGTATGTTCAAGAAAATGGCATCGTGTAAATGGGCCTTTAAATAAAAAACGCCAAGCAATAAGCATGGCAGATTTCCTAACGATGTTTTCTTCACCGCTGAGCACATGATAAGTCAGCACTTAAAATTAACAATTTCACTGCGGCCGGCACCGCGGAACGAACTCCTATTGCTCGGGTAGGTATATTAAATAAAAAAAGCCGGGCAATAAGCATGACAGATTTCCTAACGATGTTTTCTTCCCCGTTGAGCACATGATAAGTCAGCACTTAAAATTAACAATTTCACTGCGGCCGGCACCGCGGACCGAACTCCTATTGCTCGAGTATGTATATTAAATAAAAAACGCCGGGCAATAGTTGTCATGGCTGACATTTTATAAATTTGCAACGCGTCGGGTGTTGTAAACGTCAATCGGCGGCGGCTATCACTTAACATCGGGTGAACTGCCAGCTCGTTTGTAACCTTCTCTCATAAAAAAGTGCGAGTCGGTCTCCTGAACGAAGATTCCGTACTGTTATCTATAAAAACGACAAAAAAATCATGTCTGTCGCCCCACGTAAATAATTTTTTTATTCTGTTTTTTAGTATTTGTTGTTATACCGACAACAGAAATACATGATCTGTGAAAATTTCAACTGTCTGTCTGACTATCACGGTTTATAAGATACAGCCTGGTGACAGACGGACAGACAGCGGAATCTTAGTAATAGGGTCCCGTTTTACCCTTTGTACGTAATCCTAAAAACTAGATCAGCTTCTCTATTTAAGCATTTCTTCTTTTGTAGAGTTTCATGGAAGTCCCGAAGATATATGCTTTAAGCCTTTGTAACTGGGTCCTAGGTTCTTATAATAAAATCACAGAGTAGACAGACTCTTTCAATCAGAATTATTTATTATATTGTATTTGTAATACATTCCTTTCAAACTGCTTATTTAAAAAAAAAAAGCTGGCTGAGTTTTTTTCGCCGGTTCTTCTCAGTACAGTGGCTTTCTTTTCTTTTTTGACCATCAAAAAGCGAGTGTAACACTCCTATGTTGAATAAGATTTGATCTGACGGACAGCGGAGTCTTAGTAATAGGGTCCTCTGGGTACGGGACCCTAAAGAACGTAACCGCTCGTCAGGGACGCGACGGGCGGCGCTGAGGAGCACCAACCAGCCGCTGGGGTCCGTAGAAGACGGGCGCCGGCTACCGCTGGAGAGCTGAGGGTCGTGGACTTCGTAGCCCTAGAGCTGGATGGGTGCCAGACGGCGAGGCGGGAGAGCGAGCCCTCTCGGCCACCGCCCACCCTGCCACGGCTGTATCTGCAGCTGGAGCCGCGGGTGCCCACCGCCGCGGACGCCCAACTCCTCGACTACCAGGCGGAGCCGATCGGCCTCCTGCCCGACTTCCACGTCGCCTGGCGACTGCAGGTCAGCAGTGTATTGAGTTGTAGTGTATTGACTGTAGCCCACGTGCCTGTCTATCGGTAGTTTCTAACAAGATTATCAGCTTGTTACACAATTAATGCAATGTAATAGCTACTTTTTACGTCTGGTGACTGAGGTAACCGGAGTCCAATATTCAAAAGGTTGGTAACATATCTGCAACCCTCTGGAGTAGCGGATGGTCCATGCGTGGCGCTGGCGACATAAAAATTTTCTTTACTTTGAAATTTCAACCCTCCCGCTCAGAATATAGATTATCTGAAAGTACATATCTAGTGTGTAATTTATTTATGAACTGTAAATAAAGTAACTAACACTTTAATAATTATGTTAGTGAGCACATAAATTGGCCACCACGTTTCGCGTCTAGTTTAGGCGGAGAATTCATTACGTAGGTGAGTTCAACTTGTGTTTTTGTGGAAGGAGTTGGATAGAAAGGTCCAAACGACTCCTGCGACTTAGAAAGATCTATTGTAGTCTTCTTTGAAAACATTGCCCAGTTACCGCAGGATAACACTATCCTGCGTCGTAACAACGTTTTACAAATATTCGACCCACGTCCCCCGCGAGACTGCGCCACTGAGTCATCGAGCCAACCCCACCTGTTTCCAGAACGGCCTCCTCGTCGAGGACCTGTGCCAGCCGGAGGGCGGCGAGGTGGCGTCGGCCACGCTGCGGGCGCCGCCGCTGGAGCAGCTGCAGGCGGCGCTGGAGGCGGCCGCGCCCCCCGACCCCCCGGAGCCGTTCCACTGCTCCACGCCCTTGCCGGAGCCCGCCGCAACAGAGGACGAGGCGCTGCCGCGGCCGCTCGCCCTGCTGGACCTCTCGCGCGTCCTCGACTCCACCCCGAAGCGGCGGGACCGCAAGCGCAAGCGCGCCGCCAGCATCGACGACCTGTTGGGCCGGACGGTCAAGCTCAACATCAGCGCAGGTGCGGGACCAACTTCCGTAGATTCTCTTCTCTTCTCTTCTCTCTCTTCTTTCCCGATCGCATATGTAATCGGTGCTGTTTATTGAGCAACACGACCCGTGCGGATGTAATAATAATAAATATTTTGACGACCCGATTGGCGTGGGGAGTAGTGACCCTGCCTCTTGCGCCAGAGGGTGTGGGTTTGATCCCCACTACTGGAATAATATTGTGTGATGAACATAGTGTATTTCCAGTGTCTGGGTGTTTATATATGTATAATATGTATTTATTTACAAAAAAAATATGTTTAAGTATGTTTATCAGTTTTCTAGTACCCATAGTCCAAGCGTTGCTTAGTTTGGGACTAGAGGATGTTGTGTAAAAAAATGTGTCCAAAATATTTAAATATTTAATATTTATTTTAGAACACATTTTTACACGACGTTCTCTAGTCCCAAACTAAGCTATGCGTGTACTATTGGTACTAGATAACTAATATATATTTTTTTTTTAACAATAGCCCTTACTTTAGGATAGCATTATACTGTGTTGTAAGGACGTTTTACGACACACGAATAATTGTCCCGTGTGGGAATCGAACCCACGACCCCCGATGCCGAAGCCATAACCTTGGCGACTGAGCCACGGAGTCATCGCATACGTACTTAAACATACTTTTCTTTTGTAAATAAATACATGTTATACATATACAAACACCCAGACACTAGAAAAACACTATGTTCATCACACAATATTTTTCCAGTAGTGCGGATCGAACCCACACCCTCTGCCGCAGGAGGCAGGTACACTACCCGCTACGCCATCGGATCGTCAATTAGTACGAAAGTGTCGAACACATATTAGAAGCGATGGTTATTTCAAAACATTGACTCGCAGTTGCTAAGCTATTGGCTTCGGGTCAGGTCTTTTGGTTCGATTTCCACACGGAAAAAATATTTTTGTGAACCACAGATAATTGTTCCTTATCTGGGTGTTTGTTTCCCAAGGAGGGTTGATGTCAGTCAGACTAAAAACTAAAAATATAGCTAAAACCACTTACAACATGATTCGAATGTTGTGCAGAACCTACTTAGGTGGGATAAGGGCAGGATGATGATGATGGTTGTTACAAAACTTGATTATGTTACGATGGGACTTCTATAATTTGGGAAGTATACTTTTGCAACATTTGCATTTTATCTTGTGTGTGGGGACCACTGTTTTTCAAAGATGGCAACGCATCCGTAAGCTTCAAGGTGTTGTGTTGAGGAAACAGGTGTCATAACATCAGGTGAATCCCACGCTAACTTGCTTTTCATTTAAAAAATTACAAGCAAAAAAAATCCTTTTATGGGGTGATACCTGCTGCCTATCCAATAATTGCAAGGCATGAGAGCCGAATTTCAACTTTACATCATTATTAATATCAGAAACCAACTTAACTGTGTTAGAGCCACGCAATGGTTTTTCATTGTTGCACGAATGGGCAGGTTAAAAAAATGCATAAAAAAAAGACTGGAACCGTGAACCATGTACCGAACGATATCTTTTTGCAGAGGCCCAGAGCAGATTGCTGGAGGTCAAAGAGTTCAGCGTGGCCAAGGCCTGGATCCGTCGCGTTGTGGACAGCCGGAAGAAGCGGATTCTGTCCATGCGCCGCAAACTCTGCTCGCCCTTCTCGCCGCCCGACCAAAACGGTACGCACATATGCACACATTGAAATAAATGTACCAGTAACCCAAATCGGGGGCATATACAGAATGGGTCTGTCGGAGAATTGAGATAAGGCCATTTCTTCGATCTTCAATGTGTTGCACGAATGGGCAGGCCCGTCCTGGGAAGTACGGAGTGGAAGTGTTTAACTTATACGTTTCGTCTACCGAGCAAGGTAATCGGGGTCCACTTTATTGAAAGGCAGCAACGCATCCGCAACCCTACGGGTGTTGCAAATATCAATGGGTGGTGGTTATCACATAACATCAGGTGAATCGCCAGCTGGCTTGCCACCTTCTCACATAAAAAACTGTAGATACTGTGGTGATGGCGAGGAGACATCGCTTCACATAATTTGCGAATGTGGTGCCCTGATGAACGTTAGGAGTCGGGGACTGGGAGGACCCAATTAGGTAACCGAGGAAGCCAAGACTCTTGACCCTCATCGATCAACAACTTCGTTATGGTTGTCGATTAGAAAACAATGTAACTTCAAAGGGAACACTACAATAGATCTTCTAGCTTGCAGTAGTCATTGGGTCTTACTTACCCGAACCATAATAACAAATCATAATAATAACCCAAAACATTATATATTCAGTGACCCAGTGTGGTTTACATGTGTGATATTGATTACCATATAAAAGGAAATTTTAATATTTGCTAAGAATAACATCAGTTTTTGTGATTTTGTTGGTATGTATAGAAATTTGGTGTGTATAGCAAGTCATATTTGGTTTTAGTTCAAAAAGTCACTAACCTCATAATTTCTTAAAGAATTGACCGATATTCAATTTTACTTAAACTTTTGAAAAAATACATTACACCTCAATTAAGTTATTAGGAGTTGACTATTTCTTGTTTTATTTCTATTTAATTTTATAAAGCGTGTCGTTACCATCGCGACAATAAATGAACACACGTCTAACGCTACTTGCCAATAATCATAAAAAAAATTAACGTTAAACAAAATCCATAATAAAAAAATATATTTTTCAAACAAACTAATTAAGTCAAAAAGAAAAAAAAATTGTAACATCCTATACAACTCGCGCCACAGCGTCGTGTTACAAGCCTCTCCTTCTAACAGTATGTGTTGTCTCTTTCAAATTCATTCATTTTCATATGCTTTGTGACCTTTACAAATGAACTTTACGTTACAATTTTATAGGTAAGGGTGTTCTAAAATTCTTCTTCTTTTCAAAATTTAATAACTATGTAAATATTGATGTTTAAAGAATTTAAATGTTTAACAACTTTAAAAAGTTATCCCCTATATGTGTGTTCATTTATTGTCGCGATGGTAACGACACGCTGTATATTCCGACATTTATGTAGACCAGTGACTTCATACCAGTCAGTGCTATGTTTTCTAGCTACCTGCAATCCTTATTAATGTATGATTATTGCACCATGTTAGATAATTACATGGGTCATGCTTGTGTACGCAGGCTAGGGTGGTTGATTGAATTAACTAATCAGTTGTTTAATGTCATTGATTGTAATTGTTGTATGCCATTTGAGTTGTCAAAAGGATGGTAAAACACTTTGGTTTCAAATATATTTGATTTGAAATAGAAAAGCCTTAAACCACCCTTTTAACAACTCAAATGACATTTAACAAGCTATTTGACAACTGATTAGTTAATTTCTATGTTGATCAGTCTTTCAGAAACCGGGCGATAGTCAGTTTTTTAATTCCAAAACACAATAAACTGTCTATTATAAATTAAAAATTCTAAAAATCCTTCTTTCATTACATTTAATTGAGTTCTTATGTGGTCCTATGTTGATTTCATTAATTGTGTATTGGTTGATTCAAAGGACTCCGGAAATACAAAAGCGGACCCTAATGACCCCCGAAATGTGGTGTGAGTGTAACATTTGAAGTCCATTTTGCTAGAACAATTTTATATTTTATTAGATTTGTGGTGCAGCCAATATATATTTCCTTCAGGCAAGAATTTCTGGCCAAAGCTTATAGATGCGTGATGTTATGACAATTGTGACGAACTAAAGAGTTGTGATCTGATTGCAGAGTTTCGAGGATACAATATAAACCCAATCGATGTTGGAGGTAAGCTCCTTAGCCGAGCTTTTCAGCAACCTGTAGGAGCATTAACAATCTTTTTGTTTACAGCCTTAGTTTCATTCGCCTATAGTTATGTTATTTATTTTAAGCTCTTACGGTACACACTGCTTTTAATAGGTTGTTAAAGGTGTTCCGTTATAGGTTAGGTTAGTATTTCAATTTATTTTTGTGCATGCAAGCTATAACACAAGAGCAATTTTATTTTTTATAGTACAAGAATATGTTCAAAATATTTCTTTTTAACCACGTTCATCAGTTTGTATTGTTTTGTTATTACAAATCACGATATTCATTTTTTACATCATCATTTCACAGTTTCGTAATAATATGTTTATCAAATTGAATGGCTTTAGCATGCTGTTTTGATTATTACATAATAAATATAAATATTATGTATATATAACAATAAATAAATAGTTGAAAATAAGTGCTGCAATTGAATCAAAATGTTTTTTGATGCTATATTTAATTACAATTGATACAACTCATGTAACATAACAACTGAATACATTACTAATGTATATGTTCACGTTTATACGGATTTATCTACGGATAGGCTATTCATAGTCAGTAGTCGGGACACGCTGTAAAGGGTTCGAAATGTCTGGAACTACAAATAAAAAATTGATGCAATAAATGGGTAAAAATATTTTCATTTAGTAATGTTTATATGAGGAACACAACTATTCCTGTATCATAAATGTATGTGCGCAGTTGTCATGTTATCGATTTAGACGCTGAGGGTCATGGGTTCTATTTCCAAACTAGACAACGGATAACGAACGGATCTGGGTTATACTACAGTAAGGGGCGATGTTTTCGAAGGGGCGACTACAATAAGTATTCTGTGTCGCAGTAGTCATTGAGGCTTATTACCCGACTATAATGTAAGGGACATGAAATTGAACATGCATGCGCGTTGGCAGGTTTCATCGGCTGGAGTCGAAGGGAGGCGGCGGTGGCACGGCTGGCGACCAAACGGGCCGACGAGTCTGACGACGACGGCTTCTTCGAGCAGAGCTCCCTCGGCGAGGAGAACGGCGAGGAGTCCGCGCACATCACCACCCACCCGTCCCCTCTCTCCAGCCCTCAGGTAATTGCTTTTCCCAACCGTTTTGAAGTTGAGATTAAAATGGCGACTCCGTCGCGCAGTTGCCATGGCCATTCCCGCACGGAACAGTTGTTTGTGTGACCCACGGATAGTTGTTTCAAAGAATCCTATTCATTGTGCGTCCGTATGCCGCGATAGTATACGACTACGTGTCGTACTGTTTGGTGCTGCCGGCGCATGCCCAGCTAGCAATGTTCAACTAAACTCAAGCACGAGATAATGTCAAAAGACGTCCTCCGTCATTGTTTCGTTCGAAAGGTAACAAAAAGTCCAGTGAACTTAGCACCACTTGGGCGCATTTGATAGTAGCATAAATTAATTATTTAGATCCAAAAATACTTTCCATGTAGCAATAGTACGTAATTTAATTTAGTTGGATCGCATTATATCTCTTTGAAAGGGACAGGAATATATATGTTTAACTAATATATTCGTAAACCAAAAATAGATTATGATCTTCAGAAGACTTAAAAAGGCGTAATTTGAATAGTGACAAATAACTTTACATTTGATACAGGCGGAAATCACGAGCGTGGCAGCGGCCAATGCCAAGTGGAGCGCGTGGCAGGAGCAGGTGTTGCAGCGTGCCGCTCGCCAGGAGGGGCAGGTGGTCGACATTCAGGCGACGGCGGCGCGCGTTCTGCTCCACGTGCAGAAGGAGAAGGAGCGCAGGACCCTGGAGCAGATAATGCAGCTTGATGCCGCCGCACCCGTAACAAATGGGTACGGACCCATAGAGAATGGACACGGACCCGTAGAGAATGGGCACGGCCCCATAGAGAATGGGCACGGACCCACGGAGAATGGGTTCGGACCCGTAGAGAATGGGCACATGCAATACGAGCACCAGAACGCGCTCTTAGAGAATGGTCATCCGCAGCAGCAATGCGATGGGGATGACTCGATGTCGTGCCCACGACTTCTTAGCATCGCCGAAAACGAGACAGACGTTTCGCGGTTGTTCCTATCCACGCTCTTTTTGGTGAGTAGTTTTTAGCTTATATTATAAATCGATGTTTAGTGTACCGGCGGTATTTTCTGCCATTCAATAGAAGCTCAAAATAAGTCTATATTGAATAAAGAAATGTCGACTTTGGATCATATTTGTTTAAAAAAATTTCCAATGGTAAAACGCTTGTTACATATGGTTTGTAATAACTGCACCTCTTTAATAGCCGTTTATTCAAGACCGGGCGTAATGGATAGAGATCTTGTCGCTTGCGCCAGATGGTGTGGGTTCAGTCACCACTACTGTATCTACTTTATAAATTTTTAAAGTTTTTTATAGTGCTAATCTCTGCACTTAAGATTGAACATTAAAACATATAAGAAAAGTTTGTCGCCGCTGTGGGAATCGAACCCACGTCTTCGGCATTCGCGGCCTGATGCTCTTAAGTGCAGTGATTAGCACTATAAAAAACTTTAAAAATTTATAAAAGCAATGGCGACATCTCTCGTTCGAATTATCGTTGTAAAACGATATTCGAAACTGTTTGTATGCTGGAAAGGATATAACAATAGATGCGCCAAGCATTGCTTCAAATGCTAAATAACAATGTAGAAAGAAGGTGTTAAGATTTTCGCCGCTGTGGGTATCAGCCGTTTAGCTCAGTGGCTAGAGCGTCAGGCCGCGAATGCCGAAGACGTGGGTTCGATTACCACAGCGGCGACAATCTTTTCTTACTTTTTCTACATGTTTTAATGTAACTTTACTTAATACATGATTATTCACTTTCAGGCAAACGCGGGGAACATAGAAATTGTCCAGGGTCCCCCATTGACCATGAACTCTTTCTCCGTTCGCCTACTGTCAACAGACGAACGGCTGTACCGCGCTGTCACCGCCGCGGACGAACAGATTCTACGGTAAAAAGGAGGTAAATTTTGTGACCATCCGGCATACCAAAGCTCAAATTCTCGCCAAGCTGCTTCGATTCGACAGGGCAACGGTGAAAAGTTTTAAGATTATGACTTAAGCTAAGCGGGTGAACCGCATGTTTCTATTTGTTTCGTGTAGAAGTAAGAAAAACCAAGCACACTGGGACCAGCCGGCAATGGACAATGTTCTCTGGACCTTTGTGTAATCGGTGAAATATTGCTGAGTGTATTATGTTGTTTTTGAGTTCCTACAAATACTCAATGTTGGGAAGGATGCAACATTTAATATTTGAATGAACTCAAAGCGTAGTTGTTCTACTTTGTAGAAATTTATTGTTTCTCTCAAAGCTAATAAGAAAAATGTACAAATTTTACTATAATAATGACTAGGTTGTACACTGTTTGAAACCAATTTTACGAAAGTAGCGTATTTTGGTGTTTAAAAGTAGCTACTAAAATAAATGAAATCATGTTAGAATAAGTGCACTTTGTGCATTAATCAATTTATTATGATTGTTTAATTCAGATAACTGTCTCTGAAATGTACTTGTACAATGTACTTTTTAGTGACGCATAACAAAATGTAGAAAAGTTTCAATTAATTCAAAAATCTTGTTTGACATATCTACAAAATTTAAAATCCAATTATTTAGAATTAAGATAACATTTATGTAATTGTTTAGCATTTGATATAGGCGAAAATTTGATATTGATCTTTTAGATGATTCAATTAATAATATTTTTTTATTAAAAATATTTTTTTACGAAAATTTTTATATCTAAATTGAATTCAGCTCTAAGACTATTTCCTTTAGTGTTATTTTATAGACATTATTAATGCTTAACATGTTCCACTTATTTACATTTAGTATATATGAAATAGTATGTGTTAAAATTGACGTTAATAATAGATTTATAGGATTTATCATACAATTATTCACTTATGCAGTAGATTGTTCTTAATACATGTGGACGTTAAGTCCGCCTAATTTTTCTTAGGTGTCTGGTATATGAATTAAAAAAAATGTGTGAATGCACAATTTACATAATTATATTTATGAGATGTTTGTCTTTTTCACTTACTATATAATATAATTTGCTATATTATATAGTAAGTGAAGTTATCTGTTTTCTGATAATTTTGAGCAGAAAGGAATCAATTATTTTATTGTGAATTAATCATGGTCAAATAAGTGTTGTCAGAATGTCATTGATTTGATTTATGTAATAGAGTATTTTCAGTTTTGTATAGTTTATTTAGAAAATTTATTAAACACCCAAATACATCTTTTGTAAAAAAATTGTATTGGTTATAGTAATTAAATTCCTTACATACTATTTCTGTAAATATCATAATTATATAAGGTATACTATGTATTCAGACTTGTGTAATACTATGAATGTAACATACCATAGGTTAAGTTATTCATTCATGAATGTAATGAAATGGGGTGGCTTTATAAACTTAAAGGTTTAGATTTAAGGAAACTTAGTTTTGCTGAGCTTGAATTGTATTTGTGAACTGTGTAATGAGCACACATTAGTACTTTTTAAACTTTATGATTGTCATGATCCATTTCACAAATTGTATAGCAAATAGAAGATGGAAAGCACTAAAACTCGAGTTTTGTGCATTAAATATCTATTTGAATGTAGATTTCATGAACAGAATTCACTTAATATGTCCTGTATAACATGTTTTCGAAAAGGACTTCTCATCCGAGTGTGCCAAGGTGAGTGATGTCGATTCTCAACTTAGAATCGCGCCTGCTTATTGTTTATGTCTATAATAAGACCCTCTAGTCATCTTACATATCAAGCAATATCTTATTTAGTTTGCAAAGCCGCCACATTTTGTTGAAATAATTAATGTAGTGTAATAATCACTGTTATGGTGGATGCAGGGTACCGATCTCGAGACCTCATTACTTTAAAAAGGCCAAGTTTAGTGCACTCAATATTATTTTTTATGTCAAGTGGCAAGATGAAAATTAAATTATGGATTTTTGTAATATATTACACAAAAAAGTATTGAATATACATAGTACAACTTGAGCCCCCGGCACTTTGACGAAGTATTATACGCTATTAAAAAACAATTTAATTAGTACTAACCTCTTGTTAAGTTTAAACCAAAGATGTTCAATTATTATTAGATTTTTTTTATTGTTGCGTTACGTATTTCGTGGGTAAATATGTTTGGTTATTAAATATTTCTTTGACTTATTTCAATAGTTAGACATTTACACGTTTCTTACAATTTTAATCAATAAGTTTTCTTCATAATCATTTTTCAACAGAGTTTGAGTCCGTCCTTATTTTTAACATACAATGTACATATTAATGTATCTTATTTACACTTTAGATTAAGTCTTAAATGTATAATGCAATGCAATTCCTTTTATAAAATTATGATTACTCTATTTGCACTATAAATACCAAAATCATATCTGTGAAATATATTATCGCCAGCTTCATATTTTTTTTTGACAGATTTTCATCATTTTCAAACTAAAGGGGCTTTAATTGTCCATATGACATTAAATGTAAAATTTTTGATAAGAAATTCAAATATTTTGGGAAAATTTATTGGTGCCTTATCATAAGGTGCAAATTAGTGATAGGGCCTAAATCTCTGGCAGTAGAAGATCTAAATCAAATTAGGTAGAGTGCATTTAAACTTGGTCTCTATATTTTTAAGTAATATCTTTGTAATTTCTCAACTACCTCTGCTATGTGTACCATAAAATCGGGAAATCATACCTTTCATTGAGATGTATACCCATATCTAAATAGGCTTAAAGCCTAGTTAAAGACAAAACATATATGTGTTTTTCGCGTCGTTATCAACAAATACATTGCAAGTGGAATTTTATGATTTATTATCAATAAATTTTTGTATTTGTTGCTGTGTAATGCGTAACGTCCTCAAAACTAAATTATTGTACTGTTTTGAAAACGAATGTGTTATCTGCGGTTAACAGTACGAGATCCGGCTGCAGGATTAGAGCGCTCATCGGTTATTTGCTAAAAACCAAATGTTCATGTATATTTATAAATAGGAGAATATATCTATCAAGTTGATCGATCGCAGGGACGCGTTGGATGCAGGCCGCTAACGACCGGTCGAAGTGGAAGTCAATGGGGGAGGCCTATGTTCAGCAGTGGACGTCCTACGGCTGATATGATGATGATGATGATCTATCAAGTTGCCAATCACAATTTTTAATTGATTTTTGGGAAAAAATTTCGTTCACTTGTTTTTAAAATAAAATATCGTCTACATCCTCGTCTGACAAATGATGTTACGCGCTAACCCTCTTTCACTCTACCTTAAATATTTATCATCTTTAACAGCCAGCAACCCTTATTTGCGGCCGGATTTAATTAGACAACCATATATGATATTTAATAGAAAAAAAAAGCTTTCATTTGATATATGATTAACAAATATACGCTATGAACGTATAAACGTATGTGTGTCGAAATCATACCTGTTTCCACCTGGCTGCGAAGAGGTGCGGCCAAGTGGTCATTTTTTTAGAATGTTTATATAAATTTCCATGATGTAGACGATATTTTATTTAAAAAACAAGTGAACGATTTTTTTTTTCCCAAAAATTAATTAAAAATCATTTATTTAAAAATACTAACCCAAATTTTGATAGGCAACTTGGTAGATATATATTCTCCTAATTATAAATATACAAAAAAAATGGTTTTTAGCGTATAACCGATGAGCGCACAAATCCTGCAGCAGGATCTTAGACTTTTCATTTATGTCCTATGCAGAATTACAATGAGCGGTATGACATAGCATAGAACTGTTGAGAAATTATTTAAAAAGCTAAAAGCTTTAAAAACGTCTCTGTGATGACTATAATTTGTGTATAACTGTATATTTGTATAGGTGAACTGTCGTCTATAAGTTGCACATTGGTGCAAAATTAGGCATTGGTCTGTGGCCAAATTAATAATTAATTAATTTGTTATTCAGTTTGTAATTTGGACTTAATTTAAATTGGTTGTTTCATTTCTACCCTGTCATTGGTTAAAAAATAGATCTATTTGATGGCTATTGGAATTTGCGTATTTGGATTACTTGCGCAATGATCACCATTGTACAGTTTACAATTAAATTTTAAAACTTTTAAAATTTTATTGTATTATATCAGTTATCTAGTTATCTAAGGCGACACGTAATAACATCGACACATGGTATTCTGCTCGTTCGAGGTAATATTTTATTTTTATTTTTTATGTTTTAAACCCTAAGGGTTGAAATAAAAATAAATAATAAAATATCTTTATTCACATAGACGCTTGCGCGTTCTTATGAAACGTCGAAATTTTACAAGGAAGTTGCAAATGCGTTACCACCTTTTAATAAGGTGGGCTCCGGCTACCTCACTCACCAGATAAATGTTACTTCAGTTACACCTCCACTTCACGCTGGTCTTTGGAGCCGGACGGACCTGCCCATCAGAAGATGGGAATGGTCTTCTGCTCTTTCGATAAGCCTTCCAGTTATTTCTTTAAAATATTCGCGTAGCGTTGGGACTCTTCAATCACTAAATCGTTACGTTAATAACATCACTCTCTAGTTGCGAGGCGGATGAACTTATTTTGAATTAAGTACCTAAAGTTAATGCTGATTTGAGGGGCTTACATGCGCAAAGGACAAACAAAACAAGCGTATGACATTATTAGCCGAACGCAAGTCTTGTGTTGCAAAAGTTTGTGCCTTGAGCATTTTACTCTTAAAATGCGAAAAAGCAATTTAGATGAAATACGTTGACATTATATTCGGTGTGGCAATAAATAAAACATTTAGCATAGCTTTTAAAGCGTTAAGGCGTTAATCCGTTAGACGTGGGTGCGATTCCTGCAAAGAACAATGGCATGACTCCCTCATAAACAACTTTATTTTTAGAAGAGCAAAAGGGAAGGAGCCTTCCGAAACGCCCGCTGTGACAGGATGACTCGTGGAGAATGTACTCGCTACTCGATACCTAAGAGTGATTCGACAGAAGGGCTACGAGTCTGTCTGGTGCATTGAACGCGATTTGTGCCAAATAAGTGAACTACGGATGTTGTGATATGTTTGGCAAAAACATATTTTTGCGAAGTGGGAGATGATTCGCCGCTCTACGCAGTACAGTCGGAGTGATGAACATGTCTTCATTCAGCCGTGGCACCGGCTTCGACAAGAACACCTATATATTTCATTTCACCTCTCGCTGAATCGCATTGTTGCCAGGAACTGATATATTGGCGCATTGCCCTTCTAAGTTCTTTGCTCTGTTTTGAGGTGTAAGTTGGTTTCGCCTGTGTGTTTGGCCGAGCTGCCGTTTAAAAATCATACATTAAAATGTTACATACTAGCGATCCGCCCCGGCTCTTGAATCACTCTTATCTAGTAAAAAAAAACCGCATTAAGATATGTTGTGTACTTTAAAAGATCTAAGCATATATAAGAACAGACAGACAGCGGGACGGCTTTGTTTATGCAGTGACCATGTAGTGGTCATTTTCATTCAACTTTTTTAATTTTTCTCTCCGTAAGTATTCCATCCTTGTACTTCAATGAATATTATAAAAAAGAATTAGCGAAATCGGTTCACATACTCTCAAGATTTGGGCTTAGCAACACATTCGGCGATTCATTTATATATATAGAGATTATATAGAAGTCGATGATAATGTTAGGTGACTTTTTTCTTCTCGATTAATTTAGAATCGATTATTACTGCCTATTAAACTGTTTCGATATTAACGTCTCGGAATATTGTGACATTTCTAATCTAAAAGCCGGTAATTTAATTACTCTGTGAGTGTGATCTGTTCTGTTAGACTTCAACCAAGTCCAACCGTGTTTTTATTTTTTACCTGAATTTTCAGCGCAATTATTGTGTGTCTGTCACTAGGGAAAATAAATTGCTTTTCACCAGTAGGTATCGGGTGTTCACATAATATTAGAAAGTTGAAAGTTTATTGCGACTTCAGTTACTAATAATTATAGTAAAAAAATCTCAATTTCAGAGTCCGTATATGACTTGCAAATAAAATGCGCAAGTTATTCGTCCTCCTGGCTTTCGTCGCTGCATGCGCAGCTGACATTACGAGGTATTTATTACCTAGTTAATGTTTTTATTTATGAACAATTAAATGCATAATAAGTAACTAAAACAAGAAGCATTAATTTTATTTGTTTTTTATAGTTTCAAAAATAAACACATTTAGATGTGTAAGAGATGTGTTGTTATTATATTTTAGTACTTTAAATATCTACTAGATATTCTTTCTTAATTTTTATTATGTTATATGAACACAAAAATGAAATCTGAAGATCAGCAATATTAATTGACCATAATAATAGATGCATATTAATTAATGTTGTTATTTGTAACAATTAAAAATGAAGTACATATGTTTTGAACATTAGGATCCCTCTGTATCGCATGCAGTCAGTGCGCAAGCATTTCCATGAGGTTGGCACCGAGTTGCAGCAGGTACGACTGAAGTATGCTGTCTCTGGTCCGGCACCAGAACCATTATCAAATTACCTTGATGTAAGTAAATTTCTTCTAAAACACAATCCTTTTTAAGTTTTCAATAATTTGCAGTTTAATTTATTGATTGTTAGATGTATTTTTTTTTAGATTTATGATAAAAATAAAACTAATTTATTTTTTACTTTACTACTTCAAGAATATTGTAAACATAATTTTAAAACAAGCAATTCAAAGGCAATAGGCATAGTAAATAAAAGTAACATTACAAATTAACATTTGGTTTGTCAGTTTTTTTTATTGTTATATTGTTCAATATTTGGGTTTAAAAATTTATTCAAGTATTTTTAATTAATAATTAAATTTTAAAATGAAGTTTACTTTCAATACTTTCTAAATTGAGAGATTCAAGTATCTATATTGTTTTTGAAAGCATTCACCCAAGTTTCTAATATGCATAAAACTAATCAAGGCTGAATATTGTTAATTTGCTTTTCTTACTCTCTCTTGTCAACAGATGGGGGATTTGAATAGGATGTGGGTTTTGATTCTCGTTAGTATACCGTAAAAAAGTTACTTGACTGTGGTACGACCATGCAACAGTGTTCACTGTTGCACAAATGGGCAGGTCCGTCTGGGTAAGTACCACGACCTAACACGAGACCAGCTTAAAGTAGCAGTGTTACAACTCCTGCTTTTCGTCTGTGAGTGAGGTAACCGGGTTTCACTTTATATAAAGGTGGCAATGCATTTGCAACCCTACGGGAGGTGCAAATGTCTGTGGGCGGTGGTCATCACTTAACATCAGGTGAACCGCCAGCTCGTTTGTCAGTTTCTCACATTTAAAAAAAAGTAAAATAACAGCGTATATAGTCCCACTGAGCACTTTATTATACAGAGGGTTTCAGGGCATAGTCCACCAGGCGGCCCCATATTAATACTCCGTCAATCTGCAGTATACAGTACATGAATCTAATTGAATTAAAAGAAAGATTGCCGTAATCACCGAGAGGTGACATTGTGTATGCCGCACGATAACCTAACGCCTCAACTATTTCTTATCGGAGTCTGTGTACTTGCTCATGTTTACACTTATTGCCCGTGTCTGGTCAAACAACTCTTGTCTGTCATTATCTCGTCCTGTTTGCAAATGTATAACTGCCCTGGTGCCATAATGTGTTCGGGCTCAAAGAAACTATGAATAATTGACTAACGATGGAACATCGCTGTAAGTTGGGGTCCTTCGTGTGTAATAAGCGCCCCCGCACTGTTTTATCGCTCGTGTGCCAGGGATTCCGAAGTCCGGCGGCTGTATCTCCCCGGAGTTCTATTCGTGGATTAAACAGGACGTTTAATAGCATTTAATAGTTAAATCACAGTCAGAACACGGTCAGAGATTGATTAATTTTCAACCGACTTTAAAAAAGGATGAAGCTCTCAATTCGACTGTATTTTTTTTATGATTGTTACCTCAGAACTTTCGAGTGAATGCACCGTTCCCACGTGGTCCCATATTGATTTCATTGATATTGGATCTTGGGCTCCGTTACTTAGGAAACTGCTCAAAATCAATTATAAAATGAATACAGAGCCGAGATATTTGAAGTCGGTTTTGTTTTTCGTTAATAAAAAAAATAGAATTGTATTTTTAGTGCTTATAAATGAACAGGACCGTTCAGCTGAGAGATTGATTGTATTTAGGATTAGGATTTCCTCGAATCCTTGAAATAATTAATAAATATAAATAAACTTAGGTTTGCACTGGAAACATTCACGTGTAGCTCTTTCATCAGAGTACATAACGGTGTTTTTTTTCTATTAACCGACAAGAGCGCCATTAAATATTTTAGAAATTCAGTGCAAAGTTTGTTCTAAACGCAACGGCTTTTTAAAAATGTTAACCAAAATTCAAACGTCGCGTTAGTGATTTATCCCCGAAGGGTTTCTATTGAGACTTTTAGCTAGGCAAAATATTTGACTTTAAATAGATGTAATGGAAAAATACAATTATTTTATACAAAACTAAAGAAGTACAAACTATACTCTATTGAATTGATAGAATAGTTATGTAATAATTAGATCGTCAATAAGTCACGAATAGACTGCCAAACTTACTCTAAAAAATTGAACAGTATATATCGTCAGTAAAAGAAGAAATATTTATGATGGTTCATCATACACAGTCGATATTTGCTTGTTTTAAGGCCATTATGAGTCACGACAAAATTTAATTTCGATTGAAACAATAGCTCTGGCATGGACCGTTTGTAATAGGCTGGTCCACTGACTAGTCAACTAATAAAGTTAGTACAATTAGGAAAACGACTAATCCAAAAAATGTCAATCATCTGTGGTAGTAAACTCTACGTGTTTATGTCCATCATCATATCATTTCAGCCTGTGGTCTACCACGTAGTACGATCCCGAGCCACCTGCATCCAACTCCATATTTATGTCCATAAATATGGAATATCTAGAATTCATATTGTTTTTCAAAGGATATTATCTCTAATATATAAAATTCTCGCGTCACGGTGTTTGTAAATGAACTCCACCGAAACGGCTCGACCGATTTTCGTGAAATTTTGTGTGCATATCGGCCAGGGTGGAGAATCTGACATCTATTTTTCATCCCCCTAAATGTTAAGAGTGGTCCACCCCAAACATTTTTTTCTTTATATGGCAAAACATTTGCCGGGTCAGCTAGTAAACAGATATTATAAACCACATAGATTTTCGATGGGGTTTATACCCGTTGTTTCTGCAGACCAAATAATCACCACTAATTCAGGGAACCAACCCGATCATCGTATGAACTGTGTTTATGCCGGCGTTGTCGTGGACATATAATACGTAGACGTACAACTCTGTAAGTTCATCAGCTGGATATAACTTACGAATGCTCGGAAGCATACTGTCCTAAAGTAACAGCCTATACATGTCCCACTGCTGGGCAAAGGCCTCCTCTATAGAGGGTATCAGGGCATAGTCCACCACGCGGCCCAACTGCGGGTTGGCGGACTTCACATATCTTCGAAATATATATTTTTTTGTTATTATTTCGAAAATATGCAGGTTTCCTCACGATGTTTTCCTTCACCGCGGAGCACGTGATAAGTCAGCACTTAAAGTTAAAAACTTCATTGGTGCCGGCACCGGGGATCGAACTCAGGTTGCTCGAGTATATTGAATTAAAGGCGAGCGCCCGGACACTGAGCTATCACGGCTCGTCCTACTATACTGTCCTAACCGTTACGTAAATTGCTGCGCTTGTCATAGGCGGAAGTTTAACAAGTGCCTAATCCATCGCCCCCTTCCAAATTCACATGTCGGCAGATATGTACGCGTCCAGAACTAAACATTCACATGAACTGATCCCCCAATTACCTCGTTCCGTTTATTCTCCAGAAGTCTCACGTGTTGGGATGTTTGGGAGCTCTTTTCATCGATAAAATAAAATAAATATTTAGGACATATTTGTACAAAACATTTCCTAGTCCCAAACTAAGCAAAGCTTGTACTTTGGGTACTAGAAAACTGATAAACATGAACATGAAAACTGATAACAACAACATACTTTTCTTTTGTAAATAAATACATATTATATAGAAACACCCAGACACTAGAAAAACACCATGTTCATGACACAATATTTTTCCAGTAGTGGGGATCGAACCCACACCCTCTGGCGCAGGAGGCAGGTACACTACCCACTACACCATTCGAGTCGACAAAATCGATGTGGCTCCAAAGGAAATTTCAATATGTTCGGGCAAAACTCAATCGTTCTGATACTAGTTGGCGCCACTTCCTTGGCAGGATGTCAGTATTGAATTTTTACGAGAGAAGGTGGCATGTCGCCAGCTCGCATGCCACTTTCACACAAAAATGTGGCGGTTCACATGATGTTGAGTGATATCCGCCGCCCATGGACATTTGCAACACCTACGTGGTTGCAGATGCGTTGCCACCTTTTAATAAAGTAGGCCCCGGTCACCTCACTCACGAAGCGAAACGCAGAAGTATAATACTTCCAGTAGTGCCAGTTTTCTATGAGGTTGTGGTACTTCCCCGGATCTGCCCATCCGTACAAAGGACTGTTGCGTGGCCCTACCCTGTGGTTGGGTAGGGCCTCGCCAGTCATACTGTTATAATTTCTAATTATTACTCTCGGCGCATCAAACTTTTTTAAACTTTTGATTCATGTTTTTGCTTCCAGTTCGTAGACTATTAAAACTTCATCGTACGTAGAACTCGTGACATAGCCAGATCACACGAGCTTTATATCGCCCTCCGCAATTTCTACGGCCGCGTATATCGTAAATACGTGCGTTATCTATGGGGAGGAATGTCCTACGGGCCATCTGGGTACGGTACGGACCGTGACCCCGACGGGCGTTGACTGTACTAATCTTTGGCTGTAGGCGGTGAGAACCGCCCTGGAGTGTGTTTTGTTATTGTTTGTGTGTTTGCACTGTATGCGAGTGACACCAACATTTCGGAATAACTAGGTTTTATAGAACCATTTTCTTTTTACTGTAGACTGTAAATTTTTTGTCTATTGATAAGAATCAGGCGGCTGCCAGAACTGTTTTGGCGGTATTCAATAAGATTACCCTCTTCTGGATGTCTCTTGATACAGTTAGACCTTAGAGTCTAAGTAATATTACGATTTCAAGATATTTCACTAATAAAATAGGCAGTTCCATGATGTGATATAAATTCATCGCCATTATCAAATTGAATATGACGTAGAATTATTATCGATCGAAAGAAATTCAAGGGTAAATATAATTATGACATCAATGATGCATAATGATTATAAAAAAGTACTTATTTCATTTCATTGTATGACACTGAAAATTAGCTAGAGCATATTTTTTCAGACTTCTTAATGATTGGGTCATCAAAAAGGTTTGATATTGATATAAAACTAGATTATAGGGCAAAGGCGTATACTTTAATTTTTTTGACATATTTATTGACCCTTAATCACATCAAGCAGGTATAATTTCACACGCAGTTATCTGATTAGTGCTTTAGTTTCAAAAGTTACGAAAAGTCTACGATTTAATAATGGAATGAATTATAAAACTTAAGGTCTTCGCACTCTGGCTGTACAGAATAAAACCAAAGAGGCCATAAATCATCATCTCTGAGGAACAAGGCTTAAGATGAAAGAGGAAGGTACATTATATTAAAAAAAAAATAGTTTAACGCTGCCACGCCTCGCTGTGATTTTCCTTGCCTTACTTTGGAACTATATAAATAAAACCGGCCAAGTGCGAGTTTGACTCGCGCAAGAAGGTTTCCGTACCATTATTTATAAAAACGGCAAAAAAAATGATGTCAGTTGTATGGGAGCAGTTTTTAGTATTTTTTTGTTATAGCGGCAACAGAAATACGTCATGTGTGAAAATTTCAACTATCACGATTCAAGAGATACAGCCTGGTGATAGACAAACAGACAGACAGACAGCGAAGTCTTAGTAATATGGTCCCGTTTTACCCTTTGGGTACGGAACCCTAAAAGTATATAAATACACTCGTCTGTTTAATAGCTATGTTGTGAACTAATATAAAGTTAATCCATCGACTAGTTTTCCAGTTTTGTGAATACAAACATACGGAAGCTAAGTTTTTACTTGTAAAAATCTGATAATGTGACTCTTTAAAATTTATTGTTTTCCGTCCTTACATAGATGTAAATTAAGTATAAGAAATCTGCCAATCTGCTGAAATCTCGGCCGAGGTCGTCAATGGTGAAACACGATAATTAATGAGTGAACAATGTATTCAAGAAACTAATCTGGGCAACCATATTGATTAGGCACTTTATTATGTGATGCAATACGAACCACGTATCGAGATAACTCGATCAGTAGACCTTTCTAGAAAAGTATCAACAAGTAACACTAAAGTAGGTAATTATTTTTCTTAGCAGTATTAAATAAAAAACAAAATGGCTAGCCTTACGCCCGTTTTCTGAAACTCTGAACATTGTAGAAGTTAACTAATCAGCTGTCAAAAGACTTTTCAATTTAAGTGGCCAAAAGGATAGTTAAACTCTTTGAATTGATACCATTTCATTCATTCTGATCATTAAGAAGATCATTCTGATCAATTCAAAGAGTCTAGTTAACTTCTACGATTTGCCAGTATTAAATTAAAAGCAAATTTGTTATCCTGAATATGCAAAGAGAAAAAAAGGGCTTTTACGAACCGTTCGTGGCTTTGTGACCTTCATAAAAGGTCTGAAATTAAATTTGTAATTATGGTTTTAAATTGATTCCGTTAATAATAAACTTGTAAAGTTTTACTTCCCCATTGCAAGATAAGTCTTCAATCAAAAAGTGTGGAAAATGTACAATGGAATTTTAACTAGTATTACATTGGCTTGTATATCAGCTTAACTATGCACCAACAGTGTACAGTTATCGAATTCAATGTAATGATTTCATAGTTATCACGCGTTCAGAATTTCTATGAGTAATGCAATTGATCATAATCGGCGATGCTGTACTAATCTGGGTAACCGTATAATGAAAAGATGACGTTGACGTATTCGTCAACTATATAATTCTGTATAACTATGAATAGTTTACTATTTTATTATTATTATCGCGGTATTAAAATTGAGTTCGTATCTAGCTGGTATATATTTCAATGTGCGTATAACTTATAAACAAAAAAAAAATTAAAAACAATTGTAGGGGACCGAATTGTGATACAAAACCATTCTCGAATCGACCTGAAGACACACAAAATTTCATTAAAATCGGTCCAGTCGTTTGATTTGATAAAGATGTATTTTTATTAGTCTCATCTACCTTTTTTTTAGACGGTTCACGTGATGTTAAATGAATACCGCCGCCCATGGACATCTGTTACATACTAGGGTTCCAGATGTGTTGACAGCCTTTTGCAAATTGGGCTCCGGCCACATCACTCACCAGACGAAACGTGAAAGTGTTATACTTCCACTTTACGCCGGTCTTCTGTGAAGTCGTGGTACTTACCCGGACGAGCCTGCCCTTGTGCAACAGCCGAGGCTGCTGCGTGGCCCTACCACCGTTAAAACTACTACTATAATAGAACTTAAATAATGTAAATCCGTTTTTGTCTATAATAATTGTAGATCACAAGATGTACGTACAATGTAACAAAGAGCTGTGGGTTTTGTTGTGAACGAAAATTAAAAAAATCTTTAGACCTCTTCCGACGAAGCGCTCAAAGGCACTACACTAAAGTAATTATGTCCCACCGCTGGGCAAAGCTTTTTTCTGTATAGAGGGCATTAGGGCATAATCTACGGTACTCTACTACGGATTGGCGGACGTCGAATATCATCGAAATATTTTTTCTTGTTATTATTTCGAAAATGTGCAGGTTTCCTCATGACGATTTCCTTCACCGCCGAGCGCGTAATTATTCAAAAAGGCGCTTAAAATTAACAGTTTCATTGACATTTATATCTTTATATAATGAGACATTTAATTGCAGGCCCAATACTACGGACCAATCTCGATAGGCAACCCGCCGCAGACCTTCAAGGTGGTCTTCGACACTGGCTCCTCGAACCTCTGGGTTCCCTCCAAGAAGTGCCACTTTACCAACATCGCATGCCGTAAGTATTAGGCGATAATAAACATAGAGGATTTGTATTATTTATGATATTTTCATCATATTGGCGTTGTAAGAAAAGCCGGTACTTTCCAACTGTAGTAGAAAATTCTATTTATCTGTCTTATGATGTTGACTTTCACTCACGTCCAATGCAGAATTACTATAAGTCACTGAACGACGACCCGATTGGCCTGGGGAGTAGTGACCCTGCCTCCTGCGCCAGAAGGTGTGGGTTCGATCCCCACTACTGGAAAAATATTGTGTGATGAACATCGTGTTTTTCCAGTGTCTGGGTGTGAATATGTATTTGTTTACAAAAGTAAAGTTTATCTTCGTTATGTATAGCGTTGCATAATTGGGACTAGAGAACGTTGTGTAAAAATGTATCCGGAAATATTTATATTATACTGAACACATAAAATTGTGTTTTAGTGTGGTAGGGTCACGCAACGGTCTTCGTTGTTGCACGACCATTCGTGGTCATGTCCGTCCGGGGAATGACCACGGCCAGACAGAGAAAAACGGCCTAAAGTGGAAGTGTTACACCTCTGCTTTTCGTCTGGTGAGTGAGGTAATCGGGGCCCACTTTATTAAAAGGTGGCAACGCACCTGCATCCCTACGGCTGTTGCAAATGTCCATAGGCCGCCGCCCACTTACCATCAGGTTAGCACAAAACATCAGGTGAACCGCCAGCTCGTTTGCCATCTTCTTACATAATAAATTGTATGATTTGAGCAACTGGTAGCTGAATTAAACTGATGCTGATTGTAGACAAGTTTCATATAGGGTTATATTTTCTTTGCCTACTCGCCTAAAATAATTCCTTCATAAATTCCTTCGCGGTTCGATTAGACCGTAAAGATTTCTGCATCAATGTACTGTTGACACATTTGTCTCGGTTCAACTACGATAAATTTATCGTCGGAAATATGAACACTGGCCGGTTTAATTATTTATTTAGCGCGGCATAATTTATTATATTTTATTCAATGAAGAATCAACTAGGAATAATTTCTATTTCTCGTGCCAGTCTCTGCACTCACGATGAAACTTGAAATGTGATTTCAATTGAAGAACAAGTAGAATATAATTTAAAAAATCCAACTGCGTTTCTGTGTAATTATTTATTTTGATATACCCAGTGTCACTCGCACAGTCAGTCAGTTTTTCAGCGAGCAGACGGTTCACCTGATGTTAAGTGAATACCGCCGCCCATGGACATCTGCTACAGCCGAGGGTTGCAGATGCGTTGACGACCTTTTGAAAATTGGGCTCCGGCCACCTCACTCACCAGAGGAAATAAAAAAAAAAACAAACGCGAAAATATTATACTTCCACTTTACGCCGGTCTTCTGTGAGGTCGTGGTACTTACACGGACGGGCCTGCCCATTCGTGCAACAGCTGAGGCTGCTGCGTGGCCCCACCACCGTAATATGAACCGTATGTTTGTTGAACGTCCTTTCAACACAGGATAATGTTATCCTAAAGCAAGGGCAGTGTTAAAATAGAAAAGAACAACTCTCGCCAACGTCTCACATAAAAATATTACTATCCCATGTCCTTAGTGCTGCACAATAAGTACGACAGCAGCAAGTCTCGCTCGTACGTGAAGAACGGAACAAACTTCGCGATCCACTACGGCTCCGGAAGCCTGTCGGGTTTCCTCTCGCAGGACGACGTCACCGTAAGTAACAAGCCTTCCTAATGGTTATGCCCGGTTTCTGAAACACTGATTGTCGTATAAGTTAACTGATCAGCTGTCAAATCTCATTTGATGGTTAAACCATTTGAATTGATCATTCCGATCATTGGGAGGATCATTCTGATCAATTCAGAGTTTGACCGTCCTTTTGGTAACTCAAATGACATTTGAAAACCATTTGACAGCTGATTAGTTGACTTCTACGATTATCAGTTTCAGAAACCGGGCGTTATTCCCGTTTTAACCATCGATCCCTCACTTTAAGGGACACTTAAGTGCTAGTCACGTCCCTAGAATTACATCTAAACATTGATTTCTTTAAAAGGAATTGGGCCCAGTCCTATTTCGCTCGCATGAATTGGCAGGGTTACTTATTAGGTAATTTTCTATGTTTCGGATCGCAAACAGAAAATTACTTTTTATCAACTTATATTAGAAATATATTTGTATATGTCCACTATTAGCGAACACATCGTGCACAGAGAAATAATGCTCTAAACATAGTTATGTATAATATATAGACAAGAATTTAAATTACAATAAAACACAGACATTTAAAGTTGTTTTCTTTTCACCAAAGTATCCTTATAGCTCCATCGAAGTGTATTCACCAGGTAATATAAGTTAACTATAATATAAGTTCACCAGGTAAAATAAGTCACCAGGGCCAGATTTATAAGTCTGGAGGCCTCGGGGCAACAAAGGAGTGGAGCCCCTTATCCCCAAATTATTTTCCAAATAAAATGAACGATTTTTTTCTGTCGAGTTCTCCTATATATAAATTATTGTGAAGCCAAGTGTCGCAAAATCCATTACAAATAACAATAAGGGAATTGAAATTAACATGGCAACACCACGCAGGTGGGTGGTATCACAGTACGCGGCCAGACCTTCGCCGAGGCGATTTCGGAGCCCGGGCTGGCCTTCGTGGCTGCAAAGTTCGACGGGATACTCGGCATGGCTTTTAAGAGGTATGGAATAGCGCTAGGGAGACGCACACCCAAACACAAACACACACACACCGACACAAAGACACAAATTCAAAAAAGTTTCATCTTGAACGCAGAGCACTTAAAATAAACGATTTAAATTTAATCATTTATAAAAGGTCAAAGTATATTTATTCAATATTGGCCTAACTTAAGCTCTTATTAAACGTCAACAAAAGATCTACCACCGGTTCACTAAACTAGACCTGCACAGAGAAGAACCGGCTAGAAACTCTGCGGTCTTGTTCTTTTTATGCAATGCAATTATACATACTTATTTAGGTATAAAATCATAATATAAAAAAATCATAAAATCAAAGGTAGGATATAACCTTATTTTTTGCTCTTAGATAAGCATTAGTAGTAGTAACAACATTTTGTTACTACTACTAATTGTTTACTTAAAATAAAAATCAAAACACAACGATGTTTTTATCATGTGACGGAACCGGCATATTTTCGAAATAATAAAAAAATATATTTCGAAGATACTTGGAGACCGTCAATCCGCAGTAGGGTTGTGGATATGCCCTAATACCCTCTGTAGAGAGGAGGACTTTGCCCAGCAGTGGGACATATATAGGCTGTTACTTTAATGTTTACTTAATAAGATCCACGTGTTTACGCATGAATGCCGTAAGTATCGCTCTCTGATCTGTGCTTTGTTTGCAACGTCAGCATTTCGGTCGATGGAGTCACGCCGGTGTTCGACAACATGGTGGCCCAAGGATTGGTGCAGCCCATCTTCTCCTTCTATCTGAACCGGTGAGTGCATTAATCCCTCTTTTTCCGCCGTTATCTCATGTATTCTCTTCTTATTGGATTTGATAGTGAAATTGTGTATTGTGATTTTTTTTTAGCTATATTGATATTTCCGCTCATATTTTTTTTTATTTCAAACAAATCATGTACGCATTGGTGCCAATATAAACCCATCGCGCCGCCTCATTGCCCGTCGGAGTGTTAAAAATCGAGTACCGAGCAGCACCCAGTACTCGACCTAAAAATCGAGCACCGAGTGTCGAGCGGTGCTCGGTGCTCGAGCTCCTCGCGATGCATTCGTCGACACGTGGCCCGCTCCGCAGCGACCCCAGCGCCGCGCAGGGCGGCGAGATCATCCTGGGCGGCTCTGATCCGGCGCACTACCGCGGCAACTTCACCTACGTGCCGGTGCAGCCCACCTACTGGCGCTTCCGCATGGACCATGTCAAGCTCGGCGAGCACACCTTCTGCGCCAAGGTGGGCCGGATCACTCACCGTCCTCCTGCCCTCATCCCACCTAGGTGGGGTCGGCACACGTGTATCATTCGACTATGTTTTTTGCGAACAGGCGGCCTTGCCTGGCGTCAACCCTCCTTGGGGAAACAAACCCAGATCCGGGACAAGTATTTGTGCGTCACACAAATACTAATTTTTTAATTTTTAAATTAAATTTTTTAAGTGCATCACATCTAAAGTTTTGTTCGTTACCCTGTTTAAATAGATTAAAAAAATATGATGGCTCCGTGGCGGCTCACACATTCCTCGACACATTCGACTCATGTGCTCTATAATATATGGAGCGGGGCTCGTTGATCCCCAAAAGACCGACTGAGCTAGCTCAGTTGGCTAGACTCTGGGCGCGTTGCCTTTTTCTTTTAAACCATTGCTTTTACTGTGGGCTAACATTATCCTGTGTCCTTTATCCACATATTCCTCAGTAAAGTGCTACTAAGGAATCCTTTATCCACACATTCTTCAATGCTGACTAAGGGGTCCTTCGTCTACACATTGTTCGTTGGTAATTGGGGGGTCCTTTATCCACACAGGGGTGCTCGGCCATCGCGGACACGGGCACCTCGCTGATCGGCGGGCCGGTGGCCGAGGTGGAGGCGCTGAACCGCGCGCTGGGCGCCACGCCCATCGCCTTCGGCCAGTACGCGCTCGACTGCCAGCTCATCCCCACGCTGCCCAAGGTGCTCTTCTCCATCGGCGGCGGCAGCTTCGAGCTGGACGGCGCCGACTACGTGCTGAGGGTGAGTGCGCCCGCGCAGCACCGGCGCGGCACCATTCACGAGAGGAGGCCCAAAAACGTCCACGTGTTCCCGTGGCCCCGGCCGATGCGACAGGGGCGGGGGCAACGTGGCTTTTTTAGTCGGTGCCCGTTTTTACGGGACTCCCACATACCCCTGCCGCTCTCCCGATCCAGTGGCAGGGGGAAAAAAAGGAGTTGCGGGGGGCCAGTACGGTCGTGGTAAATTAACGGAGTCAGAAAAACAAGGGAGCATCGAAACGGCCGCGGGCTGGTGAGGGGTTGGAGATTGCCGCTACGTGGGGAAGCAACGGTCCCGAAACATGGCGCGTTGGGATCTCGACCCGACAGTGTGGAAAACCCTCGACTGTGAAATAGTCCAATAAAATGACCGGTCAAATTGCCATTAAAAAGGCAAGCCTGCATTAATGAATGTAAGTTCATTTGAGCATACGTTCTGAATTATATTAGCCAAGGATTTATAGTAAAACAAATTATATGTTAGCCCCTTGGCTACATATTTTTTTTTTTAACTTTAAATCCTTATTTATAGTAAAGAAAAATGGTCGGTAGAAAACAATTAAAACTACCCCTTAAAGTGGTACACTTACCTACCCCTAAGAAAATCAACATTTTTTTTAACAATAAATCTTTTAAATGTACTTGCATTCAAAAATGCAATCATGCCTTTTACAAGGTAACTTGACTGGCCCATTATTGTATAGGACTAAAGGGATCCAATTTTACAAATAACTATGCTATAGGGCAATGAGTAATTCAAATCTTATTAGGACCCGACTACAACCACAACCTGTAGACGATTTTTTTACCTCTGAAATTATGCCAAATGGCAGATATTTCAGTGCACTAATATTGAGGCACGATGACGAATCAGTTTGGGTGGGGGCAGGTGTCGCAGTTCGGCAAGACAGTGTGCCTGTCCGGCTTCATGGGGCTGGACGTGCCGCCCCCCAACGGCCCCCTCTGGATCCTGGGCGACGTGTTCATCGGCAAATATTACACGGAGTTCGACGTGGCCAACCAGCGGCTGGGGTTCGCGCCCGCCGTCTAATTTAATAACAGGTTGCAACGACACCGAGTACCAGCTCCCTGACGATGCCTCCACTCGTCGGTTTTACAAAGTATCAGCTCTCCGATTCCCTGACAATAACTTCTCCTGATCAGTTTAATGGTTTGTTGTAGCATACTACAGTTTCTTGACCATCCTTGTAAACAAACTTTCCGATACCAGTTCCACGAGTCTTGTACCACCCAGATAAATGTTGTTACCAGTTTAAACGTTTTTCTGAGACCATCTCAACTAAGTCCCGTTGCCTTCCAAACACCCAATTTGATAATTTTTCAGAGATCAGTTACAAATACCAAAATCAAGATCCAATAATACTGACTGGCCCTTATGGTCATAGTTATTTACATACTTTATGGCCAACAGCTAGATGGTTACAAGTTCCTGCCACCATATTCATCTTTAGATGTCAACACCACAATCTTTGACTACTAGCTCTCTTCTTTTTGACACCGGTCATACAAATGGACGGCGCACTAACAATAATGAAGATCATGGGTGCTGCTAAAGGTGTAGTGATGTTCATGAATGCTGTAATAGTGCCATGGACACTATTAACCTGTTTAAACTAATTATTCTTCAGACTTAGTTTGCAAATTACCTTACAAATATGGTTTGTTATGCGGTCTTATGGATATCGCAATTTTATTAATAGAAGAACATATTAAATTACTTTAAGCAACGAACGAATAAGCACTTAGGTTTAGTAATCTATTCTATAGCAAATATTGTTTGTTATAATTAAAATCAGTTTGAAAAAACATTGCTGTTGTCGTGAATATTTGCTAGAATCGTTTTAAATTAGTTATTCAATATGTTGCTTATCCTGGCAAAGTAATATTAAATAAGGAATGCATAAGGAATTTAAATGCACTACACTTTCCCCAGAAATCACTTGTGAAATTATTACATCAATCTATAAGATTATTGCCAATTGCATCTCTATTCTTGACACAAGCAATGTCATCGCAATGTGTAAAGTCAAATGATATCTCTACGCGCCTCATTGCTAATGTCATTAAATAAGTTTGTACACACTGGTAATTAGAGGTCATATAAGTACTTTACATTGTAAAAGACATGATAGTAAATATATGGGTACTATTATAATTATTTGGACACCTATGAGTTTTAATTAAATCAGTGATACTCAGGTGTCAGTGTTGTTTGCTTTATTTTTCATTTCGCTTTTTAAGTAGAAATATTTTTACGCAACTATAATAGCTCTCTACTCCCAATTCGCATTTCACGAAGATGTAGTTATATGGTTATTTAGTTTATCTCATTTATTGCAATAAACAATAGAAAAATTAAATCTTGTGTTTTTTGTTTCATTACCATTCTCGTGCTGGTTTATTTAAAACGACAAGTTATGATTATACATACGGTTGCATTAGATAACAGTCCATTTGGAAGTTCAAGTTCATAATTTAAAAATCAGTTTTCAAATCCAATCTATTTTTCTTTACCTGAGAAGCTACAAAAGGCAAAAACTGCCCTTGGTGTTAAGTATGTATGTAATGTTTTGCCATTTTTCTAAAGAGATGAGCCTCAATTACCTTGCTGTCTAGTTGAAACCAAAAAGTATAATATACCTTACGGCGGTCTTCTCTTAGGCTAGGGATGCTGCCATATGTTAAATACTTCTCAACTTTATATACTATGATGGCTAACAACTATATATAATTCTATATATTTATTGTCTAATTTATTAATTTTTTATACTTGGAATAGCAAGATTTTCTCTGTCTCTATAAGTCATATACAAATTCGGCCTGGTAGACTAAAATAATACGAAATAAATCACTATTATCATTATATCGTTGGTTTAAAGATTGCATTGAAATCTTTAGGATACAAATTATGTCGTCAGTTTTCGGAGGGCTGTGGATGAATTATATTTAAAATAGGTTATTCTTTTAATTATTGCAAAAACTACTTAAATAACATTGGAGCGATTAGGTATATAATCACATGATAAATTATATATTTTATCAGAATTTTTTTAAAATAATTTCAAATTTCAATCAACACTTTAAAATTGCTAAAAATTTCGGCTATCTTCCAGATATAATATACTATGGAAATTTCTAGCTATAAATTACCATTATTTAAATATAAACTTACATTATCCCCAAGTAGCAAAGACTAAAATTTTGTTAATCCGTGGTCATGTAACTTCAACTAAAAAATAATTTGCAAAATTACAAACAAAAAATGTTTACCTACCTACCTTCGCATAAGTCAATTTTAATAAAAGTTATTGATTGATGCGGAAACAAAGACGCTGTCTTTTTGCAAATTAACTCTATATTATTTTATTTAAATAAAACGTAAGTAAAATACATTGTCCGTACATAAATTATAATTACAATAATCTGATAGAACATCGGCCAGTGCGCACACCGCACCGTCTCATACTCTGTCTACGCCTAAACTAGCTTGCACTATACTAGACCCAGTTTGTGTTTTTTCCTGAACTTCTTCACATAGGCCTCCACTAGTGCTTGGATCTTGGTCGGATTGATTTCGCCGGACTTGTTGTGGCAGATCTGAAACAGCCACAGCATTGTAATTATTGCAATAGCCAATGATAAACAACATTACAGCATTGAAATAAAAAGAAGACATTTTTGGAAATGCTCATGTACAGACACAAAATGTATGTATACATATCCCAAAGAGCATACTTCTATACTAAAAAAATGTTTAATACCACTTCATTGATTAAAACCAGAATTTACTTTCTACTGCTATTTAACAATGTAGATTACAATAAGAAAGTTAATTTCAAAACCGTTAATTTCAAAAAAATTATATTGATTATAGCAGTAGTTAATTCTTAAGAAAATATTGTATTGTAATTGTTTCTCAATATTTGACCAAACATTCAATTTATTCAGAAATGAGTTAGTGGATAAAAATTATTCAAAAAGTATCCTAATGTGATACATACATTATGTACATGTTAAACTAGTATGGAAATGAAATGCAGCAATTATTCATTTATTCCCAAAGAGCAATTATTCCTCTTCTGGTGTAAACTCTAATATGATGACTTGGTCAGAATAATTGGTAAGTTTTAAGCAAAAGCTTTAACATTGCAGTTTGTGGGGTTTAGGTCAATGACTAGGCAGAATTTATACCTCTTAGAATTGTCAACAATCAAAAGGGATAATTTTGTATAGGAGGGATAATTTTGATTTTAGGAAAAAATTAGGTGTGATGGTGTCCTGGTAAAATAATGTAATAAAAAAGAAGTGACGAGTACCTTAGGTACGGCGCGCCGAAGTATGTCTTTATATTCCTCCTTAGTTACATGTTTCTTGTTATAGTGAGGTTTCAGCACCAATTTGACTTCCTCGACGACCCGCTCCTGACGGTTCAGCTTCTTCAAAAACTGCGAAATGAATTTCTTTTCATCATACATCCACCAATGAATTAAAAGTTTGTCTCTATATAATTAATGCATTTGAAAAAAGTGCGTGTACCAACCTTACTCTTGACTTGCATTTCTACCGCGGAGCTCGGCAAATCGTCCAGGATTTTAAGGTTGTCTTCGTCTATCTTTACACCAACTTGGGTTTTATTTCCTGTGAAATTATAATCACTTTACATAGGAGGAAAAGGATAAAAATATTTATTTAACTAATAGACAAGTACATAGTAACTTGATCTAGAGTTTGGTGATAAGATCTATCTGTAAGAGAATGATTTCTAACCTAGAACTATAAAACCCAAAAATAATTTTAGTTTATGCCACAGTTATGGTCACAGTTCAATGGGTCATTTCAATTTTCGAGTTGAACCGGGTAATCAGCACAAAGTAGAGGTAAACAGAAAAAAATATGGCAAAATTTAATTAGAAGGTTAATTAAAAATTGCTAAAAACAAAAATAAAAATAAAAAGAAGACTACGGCTCGAATGTGTACGTGAGTTTTTGTTATATTATGTTTAAATCTTCCTTTATTGACTTCTTAACCAACTTCAAAAGGGGGAGGTTCTCAATTCGACTGTATTTTTTTTAATGCTACCTCAGAACTTTCAATTGAGTGGACCGATTTCTGGCTGGTGGCATATCAATTTCAATGCTATTGTAACTTGGGCTCAGGAGAAACTTAGTTTCTTAGAACTTAGAACTTCTAAAAATCAATTATAAAATCAATACGGCGGGAGATATCTGAATTCGGTTTAGTTTTTCGTTGATGGACAAATGGACTTGTTAGATGTGTCGTGCGGCACATAAACGCTCTCGGGCAACGTTATCCCGTGCAAGGCAAAAACAGTAGGTCGTCATGTTGTCACCTTTCTTCTTGTTGAGCTTAACAGGCACTTTGGCGGCGGACGACCTGCCCTTGCGCTGCTTGGGCGGCCTCTCGAAGAGCGCGTCGAAGACGTCGCGCTTGGCGGGCGGCGCCACCTGCTTGGCGGCGCCGGGCGGCGGCTCGAACAGGTCGCCGAAGTCGCTCGAGCCCGGCGAGTAGGGCGAGTCGCCCGGCTCGTCCTCCCGCCGCGCCATCGGCTTCACCGGCAGCGACTTGATCGGCTCCGCCTGTTTACCCAAACGAGCGGACGGTTCACCTCGTGTTAAGTGAATACCGCCGCCCGCGGACGTCTGCTACACCCGAGGGTATGCAGATGCGTTGACAACCGTTCTGGGAGTTGAGCTATAGTATTAAACTTCCACTTCACGCCGGTGTTCTGTGGACGTGGTGCTTACCCGAACGAGCGTTTGGTTGCGTTAAACGTTTAATGCTAAAATGGAAGTCGTATGAAAGCACTGTTGCGTTAAACGTTCAACGCTCCCGGGGAGGGGGGAATGGAAAGAGACAGAGCGAGAGTGAATGCGTGGCACTCGAAGTTTCACTTCTTCCGCGCGGAGGGACTCCATGCACTATTTCTTTCTTTTATTTATATATTTGACAAGGTGGCAAACGAGCTGACGGTCCACCTAATGTTGAGTGATAACCGCCGCCCACGGAAATTTGCAACACCATATGAGTTGTTACCTTAGAGTGGGCTCCGGCTACCACACTCACGCAAAAAACGCAGTAGTGTAACGCTTCTACTTCACGCCGGTCTTTTGTGAGGTCGTGGTACTAACTTGTCCATTCGTGGTACTATACCGGATGGACCAGCCCATTCGTGCAACAGCGAAGATGTGGCGTGGGGCCCTACCACAGTTATTCATTTAAGGATCACAAACCGAACATTACACTCACATTACAGAATAACGGTACAGGAGATACGGAACTTGAAAGTGAATGTAGTTCTATTATGAGCGAACACAACATGCACAACTAGCACTCAACAATAAATAATCTTAATAATTGAATTTACCTTGCCCACGAATAGCTTGGGGGGCGCGCGCGTCGGCTCGGGCAGCACCACGCGCGGTACAATCGGCTCCGGCTCGGCGCCGGGCGGCGGCTCAGGCGCCTCGTCGCGCGTCGATTGCAGCAGCGCCAGCACCTGTGTTTTTTTTAAAGTCAAGCGAGCAGCCGGGCTCCGGATGTTAAGTGAATACCGTCGCACATGGACATCAACACCCGAGAGCTTGCGGGTGCGTTGACAACCTTTAAAAAAGCGTTCCGCGAATACCTCACTCATCAGACGAAACGCGAAATATCAATACTCCTACTTCACGCCGTGTTCTGTGAGGTAGTGGTACTTCCCCGGACGCGCCTGCCCATTCGTGTGACGGCAGTGGCTGTCGCGAGGCCCTAGCTCGGTAAGCACCTTCTCGATGGGCGAGAGCGGGCGGCGCGCCAGCACCTCGTCCGCCGACAGGTTGGTGCGCTGCGCCGCCTCCAGCGTCATGGAGCGCGGCGGGCTGGCGGCGCGCGGCGAGGCGGACGGCGAGCGCGTCGGCTCGAAGGGGTCGTAGGCGTCGGGTGAGCGCGCCGAGCCCCGCGAGCCGGCCGAGCCGGCCGAGGCGGGCGAGCGCGCCGAGCGCGGCGAGGCCGAGGCGGCGGGCTCGGGCGGCGCCGCGGGCTCCGGCGGCGTCTTGGGTCCCGCGGGGGGCGCGCTGGGCGCGCGCTCGGGCGGCGGCGGCGGCGCCTCTGCGGCCGGCGCCTCGTCCGCCTCGGCCACCTCCTTGTCGCCGGGGTCGCTGTCGCTCAGCACGATCACGTTCTTGGGCGACGGCGTGAGCTCGCGGAAGGGCGAGCGCTCGAGGTCGATGATGGCCACGGGCTTCGCGGTCTCCGCCTCGGGCGGGACGGCGGCGCGCTTGCGCTTCCTCTTCTCGCGCTTCGTCTCGCGCCGCTTGCGCTTCTCGCCGCCCTCGTCGCGGTCCTGGTCCTTGAAGCTGACGCTCACGAGGATGTTGTCGCCCGAGGTGAACACCTCCTTGGAGGGGCCGACGGCGTCGCGGCCGCGCTTGTGCCGCTGCCGGTCCGGGTCGCGGCGCCGCTTCTCCTTGCGCTTGCGCTTGTCGTCCGCCGCGACCACCACCCGCAGCTGGCAGGGGTCGGGCGAGAGGTCGGGCGGCGGCGTGCGCGGCGACAGCAGCCGCGAGTCCATCGACGGCGGGGACCACTCGGGCGCGGCGTGCGGCGGCTCCGGCTCGGGGGAGCGGCTCGCGGGACGGCGACCTTCTTATTCTCGAAAGAGATTTTCGTCCCCTCGACATGGATCTTCGACCTCGGGAAAAGGATCTCCGTACACGCGTGGGCGACTGATCGCCGAGCGGCGACAGTGAAGTGGAGCGCATTCGCGGAGAAATATCTCTCCCGAACGGATCCTTTAACTTCTTTCTTTTCTCCGTTACAACTGTACGCACATCATATCGTTCCAAGTCCTTTCTTTTTTCTTTACGCCTCTTTTGTTTTTCTTCAGCAGTTTCGCTAGACTCTCGGCGTTCTCTCTTACTCTTGTTTTTGTCTTCCTTATCTCTTTCTCTGTAATTCCTTTCTTTGCCGTTTTTACTCAGTTTCTTAAAAGAAATTTCCGTTTTTTTGTGCTTACTTTTATTTTTATCCTTAGTATCCTTCTTGATCGACTCTTTCTTTTTCTTCTTTTTGGCATCGTCGCGATCTTCACCTTTGCTTTCCTTCTTTTTTGTTACTGGCATCTTCTCTTCATTACTAGAAATTGGTTTGGCTCTAACGGGGGATGTGTTTGATGTTTCGGAAAGCGCTTTCTCATTTTCAGAAAACATTTCATTTCCTTCATCTTCAGATATCATTTCAGTGTCAAGACCTTCTAGGCCTTTGTCCTTTTCAAATTCAAGCGACGTGTCTTTGGATTTGTTCTCGTCCAAACAAGGCGTGTAACTGCGTTCGTCTTCAGTTTCACTTATTGATTCTGTCATTTTTTCAACTCCTTTTTCATCATTATCAACGGAGTCCTTTTTCGGAGATTCAGTGTTAATGCATAATTCGTCATCAGAGTCGCCTTCTTCCTCAGAATTCGCCTCGTTGTCAGATTTTTCACTCTCCGATTTTACAGCTTCTTTAGCATTTTCGTCATCTTCTTTCGCTTGCTTGTTTTCTTCTATTGCTTGTGATTCTTTTGATTCGTCGTGAACTATGATTTCCGCATTGGTAACCGATAGACCATTTTCCTGTTTTTCATCCTGAATGTTACTTTCTGCGTCAATTAGGCTATTGTCCTTTTCAACACATTCCTCTATGAGTTTGTCGTCAATTGTTATCTTTTCTTCTTTTGAAAGAGCGTGTTCACTTTTTGTCTCCTTCTCAATAGGAGTTTCTAGCTTTTTATCGGAGCTCTTTTCGAAGTTATCAGGTGGTTTTTCTTCGCGTTGTAACTCACAAGCGGTTTCAGGCTTAACCGATAGCTTCTCCGGTAATTCAATTTCTTCGCTGGTGTCTTCATCATCATGAAAGTTGGAACTTCTACATTACTTTTGTTGTTCGTGGATTCTAAAGTAGTCTCAATGGGCGGGGTTATTGCAGGTGGAGGTGAGAAATCGTCGTCTTCTTGTACAAGATCTTCTAGATTGTCCTGAGGCACTTCTTTGGCGACTTCTTCTGTTAAGTTGCTACTATTATTGGCTATGTGAACACTTGCGGCGGAATAAATAGAGAAGTTCGGACAGTCGCCGTCCGAGTCTTCGTCACTTTTGTCGTTTTGCGATGCATCGTGTTGCACGCTCTGGGGAACTATTAAGTTTTTGTGTTCCTTGAGCACTTGTCTTACTGCACTATCTAAAATATTTGGTGGCACGTTTATTGTACTGGTGTCTATTCCCGCTAATATGTTCTGAACGGCGGCGGGCGTCGCCGGTGGGGACGGGTCGGCGGTTGGCGGCAGGGTGGCCGTCTTTTCCTCGTCGCAGCTGTCATCGTCGTTGGTGGGCTCTGTCGGGTCGTATTTCTCCGTGTCTATCACCAGGCCCGAGTCGCTCCTCTCGTCCTCGTCCTTCTCCACGTCGGTCATCTTGGAGAAACTGAAGACGGGCGGCTCCGGCAACGGCTGGAAGCTCGCCGTTTGCGACTTGTCCACGATCGGGCTCTCCGTGCGATTGAACATTTCGCTGTTTGAGTTGATCAGCGCGACCGGCGGCGGCGCCTGGCCCAGTCGCATATCCAGCGGGTTCTCGAAACCGCCGAAGGAATGTCTCTGCATCATCTGGCTCTCCGGCCTCGGTCCGTGCGCGCCGCTAGGGTAAGGCTGGCCAGGCCAGGAGGTGCCCAGGCTGTAGCGACCGTGGTTTTGCTCGTTGAGCCTCTGGTGCTGATGCATCGGGTGCTGCGAGTAGTTGGGCCTGTTGTTCTCGTTCGGCGCCTGCCTGCGGCTCCGGTCGAAGTAGGAGTCGTCGTGGTGCGGGTACTGGGGCTGGCGCCTCGCGTAGTTGCCGTAGCCGTCGGCGTCGTCGCGGCGCATGTTGTTCTGGTAGTTGACGTTGGCCTGGCGGCCCTGGTAGTTGCCGCCGTAGCTCCCCTCGTATCCGCCCTGGTTGAGGTTGTTGGCGTTCTGCTCGCGGTGGTAGTTGCCCCGGTAGCCGCCGCCCCAGCCGCCGCCGCGTGACTGCCCGGGGTAAGAGGGCGCCTTGCGGGCGGCGTCTTCGCCCTTCGACAGATCCAGCCTCCCGTCGCTCGACTGCTTGGGCGCTTCTTTGGCCGGTGCCCTCTGCCTCTTCGTCTGCAGTTTTATGTCGACGTTCCCGTCCACGGATATTGTGACGATGGAGTTCTTCGAGTGCAGCAACGTCTGTCTCTCCATTATATCGGAAAGGAGATCCGGTGCCGAAGTGGCATGGGGCGGCGATGGGATTGAAACCATCTTTCTTCTTGCCTGCAAAGACGGAACACAATATTTTTAGTCTTTACTCAATCTATTTATTTTATTTAAATTATTGTTAAAATTTAATTGCGTTTAGTTTTTGAAATCCCAACCATAATTTAGTCACTTCAGTCACTTAATTGATAGAAAAAGGCCAGGAAAGAAAAGCTAGAAAATGTATCAGCATAAGTCACACAAAGTAATACCATGGTTATATAATTTATGTAATAAAGGGTAAAATATGTAATGCGAGATTTGATGCGATTAATAGCAAGTATTTTAGTATTGTCTAAAATACAGGTTATGAAAATTTACCTGTCTATAGGCAGTAAGTATGTTAGATGTTGGTCTCATGGCAACAGCAGTCATTGGTCCATTGGAGATGTTAACATCCTGCTCTTCATCATCAGTGAAATAATCTAACTGGCTATTGCTGCCGAAAAGACTAAGTGAGGTGATGCCTGCCCTTTGCCGTTGAACAGTTAGGTCCAAGCTTTCAGAGGTCGCGGATTGTGTTGGCTCTAACTGCTGACTTGTTTTCATATGAGCCAGCTTTGCCCTGACGCTTGCGCGCACGTGAGATCTCCTTGCAACTGTGCGAGGCTGCCGTCTTTTTGTCTGTATGAGAAATAATTTCTTTATACAAAATAATAAACATGGTTCAATGTAATGCAGATGCACAAATAAAAGCTAACAGTCTATATCTGTCTATCTATATAGTCTTATGGCCAGTTTCAATATTTAATCTACAGATAGATTTGGTTACTCTTCTCTCTCCTGTCCTTATAGCCTTAGTGAAAAGTATTTGATATTAGATGTAAGATGCATTGTCTTGTGGACTGCAGTAGTGAAAAAGTTATACTTATTAAATTTTTGATTAGCAATCCCTTTAACCACTTATTTTGTGAAGAAACAAACCAATAATAAAGGCTATTTGTTATAAGAGGATTATAATATTAATCTCAATTATACTATGTACTTTTTGGAAATATTAAACCCAGCAGATTGGCAGAAAAAAATGCCTAGAATCTTTTCAACTATTTTAAGGTCAGCCCATCCATACATTAAACAATTGACTCAATAGTATGTCTGAATTCAATATTTCTTAATAAAAATTGTTTCTTTCTTATTACTCACCCTTCTCTTCTTAACTCTCCGTTTAACTCTCCTTGTAATAGGAAATTTGCCATTTTCTTCAATTTCATATTCAATAATAACTGTTTTGGACCTTCTTGTTTTGCGTCTTCTTTGTTGCTTACCATTGGAACGCCTCCTATTAGAATGACTACTATGTGATGTTCTAGAGCCACGTGATGTAGTGGGTAAATCACTAAAATTAGCACTATTTCGATAACCATTTGATGTGGAGGGCTCTTCTGTTACATTTCGATTCCTAGAAGACCTTCTCGTATTTCGAGGCTCCCTGAGTGGTGTGGGCCTAGGGCCTACAGGCATTTCCATATCCTCAATACCAGAGTACAAGTCATCTACTTCAGAAATATGGATGAAGTCAAAAAGGTCATCACAATGTGGACAGAGCCATTGATCTAAAGGCACCTGGAAAAAGAGTCAATATTGATAAATTACATAAGTATAATTATGAAATAATCAACCTGTTGATGTTTTGAAATTTCATAACTTTTATTAATTAGCCAAACTGAATTTGTATTAAAATATTTTTCTGAAGAATATTTACTGATTTATGTAATGTATGATTAAGCATACATCAAGATCATAAAACACATAGACAAACTTATACCTCTGTTAGGGGTGGGTTCAGGCATTGCATGTGATAGCCACGGTCACAACCATCACAAAGTAACATGGTCTCTTCATTGTCTGCTCTTGCACACACCTATTTAAAAACATTTTGGTACAGAAAACAATTTTTTTTAGGAATTTGCTATATTAATAAAGACATTTAAAATGGATTATGTAATATAGTTTTTTAATTATTAATCTTAACAAAAAGGAAAAAATGTAATTAAATTTTATTATAATACAAATTATTTATACAGAAGATATATTTTTTAAACATGTTCAATTGTTTCCCTAAATTCAACTATGATATATAGTATTTATTAAAAATAAGTCTTAAAACTAACCTCACAGGCTGTTACATCCTCTATTACAATCATTTCTAAAGAGGGACTGCGCTCAACCACTTTAACTGGTTCTGTGCGCAGGACCCGTCCACCAGCACAAGCCCTCACAACAATAAAATCAAATGTCATTCTGTCAACAGGGCATGTATTGACATTCTTTGACCACTCCATTATGCAATCTAGACAAAAAATATGCTCGCAATTTTGCGGAGTCCCAACTTCTTGGCTAGTAAAACGTAGGAGGCAGATTGAACACTTGTCTGAGTTGCCTTCAGAACTGTCCGACGCAAATCCTGACACTGTTTTTTCAGGAGGGGCTGCAGGGGCTTTCTTAGTTGCATCTGAATGGTCGGTGGCCCAACCAGATGTGTCGCTATCTTCATCTGAATCACGTAACTTGGGTAGGGTGCGTCTACGCATAGCCCCGCCGAGCACGACAGAACTTCCACTACTGCTACTGCTTGCATCGTCATCGCTAATTACCTGAAAATCCAAGAAAATTTATCACATTGAATTTAATTCGTTATAGAACTAACTCCTTTAAATTTTATGCCTGTATTCACCCTCAGTCTCTTTCTACGTGTAACCGCCACGCTGACGCTATCATCGCTATCGGACTCCGAAGCAGACGAGAAAAGCACCACTTTTTTTATTTTACGCCTAGACCGCACGGGCGAGTCTTCGCTGCCCTCCTCACTCATCCTGAGACGTAAACACCAATTCACAAGTGCTGCTTAGGTACGCACGACACGAAGCGATGTGCAAAGGTGTAAATGACCTTTGCGGGTAAATTATTACAACATCTGTGTCGGAAATGATGTAGTTCATCCAGTCTTGATATAAAAGAACTACGTGAAAACCGTTTAATTTCATATAAATAGGGCATGTGCACTATTTGAAATTATTTTTATATTTTGACAGCAAGCCGCTTTCGACGGTCAAGCGGCCATTTTCATTATTGTAATCCATAGACAAAAATATTTTTCATTATATTTATTTTTTCTTGAACCAAATTTTTAATTAAAATATACATTTACAGAAATTAGTTTATGGGTTTTTAGTTTCACTTTTAAGTTTAACGTGAGTTCCTAAAAAGAACAAAAAATGCAGTTTACACTTTATAGCATCGGACTTCGGACAATTTACTTGATTTTCATAACGTCACTATATTTCTAGAGTCGTGAATGAATGAAACAAAGTCGAGTATAATCTAAAATGATAGGACTGTAGGACATCACTACTATATCTCATGTGCGCTATACTGCATTGTCGCTTTGCGCTTTTTCGTTTAGTTTATATTTTTGAAAAACAGCTTTTCAGGCTGGTTGTTTAATAAAGAGATAACTAAGAAATGACCGCAGAGAACGAACGCGAAATATATCACAAACTAGAAGCTATGAAAGAGATCAGGTACTTCTATTTGTGTGATAGTTTACGTTCGTAAACGCCGTCGCACCTGTAGGCTCGATCAATAAGTACAAACTTCACAAAAATATTCTGATTTTAATTTTTAACTTGTATCCTCACTTCAAATTTGATGCAATCAAAACATTAAAAAATTGCTTAACCTTTCGTGTCGAAAATGTGGTAAAGTTGTCTCCTAATTATGTCTTACAAAAAGCTTATGTGTTAGCGAAGAATAAAAAATATTATTTTATGTAGGAATAAGACTATTACGTTGGAGCGCCTGAAGCGAAGCATTTTAAATGAAGTTCGCAGCGGGGATCAAGAGGGCCGATGTCTCGCGCAGTATAAGCGCGAAATGGAACTGCTGCAACAGGAAAAAATGAGCCATGTGGAAGAACTCCGACAGATACATGCAGATATCAATGCGGTCAGTATATATATTTTTTTCGCTTTCTCTTAATGTTGTATTATGATAATTTTCCAATGTAATGAGATGATGATCTTATGACAGAGTATAAAGAGGGCTACTAAAAACATGCAGGGATTAAAACATTCAGGGATAACTTAATGTTTATATGACCAACTCAAACTATTTCTGATAAAAACTGTAGTATTGTAGTATTCTATGTTATTTGCCAAAATTATCTTTGTATTTAAGAAAAATTTTGTATGCTAAAGTAGCATGACCACTAAAATAAAAAGCTATAGCTTATGAATAGTATATATTTCCACATTCTATTTTCAAGTGATTGATTAGTGATTAGTGTTTAAAAATCAAATGTAGATAATTTTTATGCTTTATTAAAGAATTTACTTAAAATTTCAATGTTATGCACTGGTATGCACCAAACAGTTTTAAGATTTGGTATTTATTAAAATCATTATCAAATTTGTGCTAACTAACATTAAACGAAAGGCTTCGAGTATTCTGATTCTATCACTTCATTCGGGAATCAGATCAATTCAAGATTAAATATTTTTATAATGTCTTCTGTTAATGATTTTTGTTTCAGGATATTGAATTGTTTTGCAATACAATTATAAAAAAAATAATGTGTAACAGATAAGTGAAACATGTGAATTTGAAATTTCAATTATATATTGCTTGAAATGTTTCACAGTGTGTAGAGTTAATACCTCCATATAAATCACCATATTATACATATAAGGTCTCATAGATTGGACATAATGAAATTTTTGTGAAATAAATTATAAATAACAGAAATAGATCATCTGTGAAAATTTCAACTGTCTAACAGCATGTTTCATAAGATACAGCCTGGTGGCAAACAGTGAAGTATTAATAATATGTACCCAAAGGAACTACTCCTATGGGTCGGAACCCTCAAAATGCTACTGAGGTTTGAAAACTTCCATGAATTTATGTGACAGCTACAAAGCCACCGTTGCCACACTATTTATATTTTTTTTGGACTGGGCTTATTATAAGTTTTCCTATTACAAGTTCCTTACAAAAGCTTAGTTAAAGATTAAGAGTTCTTGATGATTCTCTGGGACTGCATGTTTGTTGTTCCAGCTAGAAGCAGGCTATTGTTGGCACACAATTGTAACATGTTTCTTTGTTTATTATGTTTGCGCGAGAGCTCTCCCGCGTCGGCGGCGCATAGACCAATGATGTAGTAGAGTGGACAGATGGGTTTCGTTGGTATAGTTTTTTTTTTCCTATAAAGGTTTTGAAAGATTCCTGACAAACATTAATCAGTTTGTATTTCCAGATATGCATACAGAAAATAATTGTTATTATTGTTATGATTAATATATTCTTATAAAACAATATTTGGATATGAAAATAGAATAAGTAAATTTTTAGTGACAAAAAAGCGAAACCGCCTTCAAATACCTCACTTGCTTTATATATATGATATATATTTTCTATCTGATTTTAAGGAGTTCACTGATGTATTTCCAGTTTCCAAAGTCTATTATGAAAAAAATTAACATGGGACCACATAGGATACCGAAGCCAATGCAAATATAATTTTTAAAATTGGTTCATATAGTTCTTGGTAACAAAAACAAAAACATGCAGCCAAATTGAACCTTCTCCTTTTGAAGTCGGTTAAAAAAGATTACATAGAATGATATGTTAGAATAAATTTATTTGTTACTTGATTATCTTTATGATTAATTTATCTGGACATTTATTAAATATGTAATTAATGTATAAGATAACCAATGAAGGCAAACAAGTTTTGTTTTACTGTCTAACATAACCAACTTTCATCTCACTAATAATAAAGTTATCCATTGTCAATTGTTCCGCTGCGGAACTCATTAGCCACTATTTCGCACTTCTAAATTATAAACTTCATGTCTGCCTTTTTCGATATCGGAACTCGGAACCTAAATGATTATAATCTTAGTTGCGTGTACGCCTGTCGTTGTTTAGTTCTATTTTCTATTATTGTAACACCTAAACAGTACGACCATGCTCTGAATATTTAAAAGCGAGAAGTTTCCGTAAAGAAATGTGTTAGGAACACTATGTGCTGTTTTATTGATTTTTAAACAATCCATAGAAAAAAATTTGTAACATCACTGCACACATTCGACACGTTCTATTTCCGAAAATAAATGGTGGGTTAAAAGGTTTTTATATATAGCACTCGTGAATTTAAAACATATTATACAGAAATACATATTGTGGTAGTAATCAGTCTATACGCTAATCACCTCCATCCCACGGACTTCGACCGCTTAGCTATGTGTTTGATGTCTGGACGCGTAATGCGGAACGAGTAGGTTCGAGTCCTGATAGGGTCGAAATATATTGTAACAGTTTTATCTACACATTTCACAATTCTTGTAGACAGTCATAATGGAAAAAGAGGCTAGCTTCGTGAATTTCATTTGTGAGACACTCGGGCATTTACAAAATTATAGGCTTAGAAATAAATGATTAATTAAAACTGTTTAAATTACCGCTGGACTCAAGATGCAATGAAAATTTCATCTCCAGGCCAGAATAAAATAAACAAAAGACTAATAATGAAGAAACATGTATGAGTAAACAAGTAATAATAAAAGACATGAAATTAAAGGTTCTCTCAGAATAATGACGATTTAAGAGTTAATGTTTATTTTATGAACCATCTTTAGTCTGCCTTTTGTCCGACTAGGATGAATCCTTTGAAATTATATAGGTAATCCTTTATTACCATTATAATTTTCAGATGGAGACTGTGATTAAGCAAACTGAGGAGAGCATGGGCCGTAAGCTGACCAACGCGTCCCGTCTCCACGAGGACTACCGGCCCCTGAAGGCTGAGGTGGACATGCTGAGGCGGCAGTGCCTTGGCCTGGACCGCTTACCTGATCTTCACGAGGAGGAAGGGTCTCCCATCACACCGGAGTGAGTTTCCAACAGTGAAATCTCCCGTTGCTTTCTCTTATTGATTTCTTTGTGTCTACAATAATTTGGTCTAAATCAGAGCTTCTCCTCTAACTCTGTTAGTGGCTGTGGCACGAATGGGCAGGGTCGTCCGGGTAAGTACCACGACCTCACAGAAGACCGGCGTAAAGTGGAAGTGTAATACTTTCGCGTTTCGTCTGGTGAGTGAGGCGACCGGAGCCCAATTTTCAATAGGTCGTCAGCGCACCTGGAACCCTCGGGTGTGGCAGATGTCCATGGGCGGGGGTATTCACTTAACGTCAGGTGAACCGTCTGCTCGCTTAGAGACTTTAAAAAAGAGAAGAAGATGAACATGAACGGTTATTCGCAGCCGGTTCCCGGCGTCGCGGGGCTCCGCTGGCGCGCTGGGCGGCGCGGGTGTGGGCGCGGCGGGGCCTGCGGCGGCGGGGGCGGGCGGAGGCGCCGGCTTCCTGCCGCCCGCCCCCCGCAAGCCGCCCCCGCCGCCCGCGTTCAGGTCTGCACTACAACAAGATTTCATTACCGTCTCGCTGAGGTTCGATTATGATTTCGTTTTGTTCAGTTCTAACCCCCCCCCCCCCCACCCCCACCTCTTTCATCACCCTACCCACCGCCGTGACATTACAATCCATCCGTTGTCCACTCTCCCGACGCCACTTGCTGTGTAATGTTAAATTATGGAGCGATTTTATGTACAAGCCTTATTGTCAATCGCTACTACAACGAAATCCCAGTTAATGCGCAAAGCCGGTTTATGAAATTTATGAAAGAAAAACTTTTTAAAAAGGGTTATTATAATGTAAATGAAAATATTAATGACAGTAACCTTTAACAATGAGATGATGGCTGACATTCTTTGTAAAAAAAAATATTATTATTATACTGTATAATATTCATTATATTTTTATAATATTTTGAGGAAAAAAAAAATGACAAAAAGGAGGGGATTTTTCGCCTGTTGGTTATGACTCCCATGGCTTCGGCGCCGTGCGTCCTAGATTCGATTCCCACATGGGACAACTATTTGTGTGACCCACAGATAACTTTTTCGAATCTGAGAGTTAGTCCATATGAATCATATATTTGTTAAACATCCTAACAACATTGGATATTGTTATCCTACTGTAAAGGCAATGTTTTAAATTAAAAAATTTATGATAACAAATCTACTTCAAAAGGTTTACGCTTAAAGGGACCTTTTCCCTGGTACATTTTTTTTCTAGTATGAAAACATATGCAGCAAGTTTTCCATTTATTTCCATTGTTCTTAATTAATGTTTATTTGCTTTATGCATGAACTTTTTGTTTGGTGAATATTTTTTAATTGTTTTTGTTTATATTAGGCATTCAAATATATTATGGATTACTCTGTTAAAAAATTTTAAACATATGATTAATACTATTATTGTTGTGGAACGGATTGGGTAGTAAGTCCCAATGACCACGCCATATGTTTATGCTAACATAACGGTGCATAGATGACGGAATCCGTGTTACAGACAACAGCCGCCGCCGATGAAGTCGTGCCTTTCGTGCCACCAGCAAATCCATCGCAACGCACCCATCTGCCCCCTTTGCAAGGCCAAAAGCCGTTCCCGGAACCCCAAAAAGCCCAAGAAGAAATAGTCAATTCTGCCCTACTGTTCCATGAGCTCTCTAACTCTGAGACTGCTATCCTCAACTATATAATAATATAGCAGTTTTGTTGCAAACTGTCTATTAACAGTGATAGCAAGATTATGTTCAAATAAAATATGCAGTGATAGCTCAATAGGTAGCTCTTAATCAATACAACAACGGAGTATATGTAAAAATGTATGTAAATACTGCTTCAGTATTTTATACCCAGGACAAAATTTTGTGTGCCAAATAGTGTTGCCAAATTTTTGTTTTACTCTTGAAATAAGCTAAGAGGCAAAAAATGAAAATGGAGTGAGAAACAAAAAAGGTGTACTGCTATTGCCTTATATAAGCATACATATATTCTTATATAACTACTTGCATGTAACTACTGCAATGTTTTTGCACTATAACAACAAATAGAAACCCCTGATTTAGTACAACCAAGTGATTCAACCAGTAACATAAGACAAAAATCTTCTTTTCTATTAAAATTAATTTTGTATTAGTAATCAATAAAAATTACAGTTCAGTTTCTAGGAATCGTTTCAAAGTCAAGTGAGTGTCATAGAATAAGATATTTCTGTAGTTTGCACCTTTCGTTATTTCAATATAAAAGATTGGTGTTTTATACAAGTTCTAGAAAAGTCTTTGCAATCCTTTTCAATTTAAAATATTATCTAATATCTAAATATTGTATAGTCGTGTGCAAACTGCCCCCTTGCATATTATTTTCTAATATTAAATTTGTTTGCTTGCAATACATTGAGCAACAACTTTTTTATATTTAAGGAAACAAGGTAATGTACAGTGTATATATATTTGAATTTAACGGTTTTAAGAATTAGATACTTTATTGTTGTAAGAACCAAAAACATTGTCTTGTTAATATCGCCTGTCATAAAAGCAACTATCCTCTGAGTAAAGAAACTTGGAATCACTCCACAGGCATAAAATTAAGGTATTAAGTTATGTCAGTACTCAGAGTGGCCATTTAGCACTTATATAATTAAATTGTGTCTCTTGTGAATGCTGTACTTTTCACATGAATATTACAAAAAACCTTGTTTGCGAAATCACAGTTTCTCATATTTCCTCCTTTTCTAAATTTATAATATTTTAAAGTTCTTCCCTTTTAATGCAAAACATTGCTTGGTCTAAATATGTGTGAAATTTAATTAAAATTTGGCTCATAAGATGACTATTGGTTCTTGACCACGACTATTGTTTGTTGACTCTTATAGCAGATGATTTGGAAGGAAATGATAGCATTTTCAGGACCAATATTTGGTATCATTGTAGTTTATATAATCAATAGTTGCGATACTATTTTTTTTTATCTCAATGTCAGATGTCTTATGGTGTCTCTATTAGTAGCTAATGTAAATATATCGAGATAGAAATAATTATCGATTTTTTCTGTCTCCTAATGTACAATAAAAAGTGTTGATAGTTTAAAATATTTCTTGGTTAAGAATTAATCTAGTCATTCTCAATATTTTCTCCAATAAATATGACTATTGTTGAAAAAAATTACACCACTAAATGTTGCTTAATACATTGCTTGATCTTGTAATTTTGTTGATTTGATAATCATCATGGAAAATTAGTGTTTTAATGCATGCCTAACTTTATAACACACTTTATAGTTGTGACAAAAATTTTATGCCATTTTACTTTGAGAACATTTAAAACAGGGTTGGATTTTGTACCTACTATAATTTCATGCTTCATACTATATACTATCCATATAAGGATAGTACGGAACTACTATTATTTCGTTAATTTACATAAATAAACAACACAAAATGCCAACCCAACATCTAAAAGGTTCATTGGGTTGTAATAAAGTTGTAAAGTTTTGAAACAGTACAAAGTGGATATTACCACATGTCAATGTAATGATCAATTATTACTACGGATTATAAATAATCTTTATGAATTAATTGTTTACGGGGACTTCCCCTTTCGATACTTCGCTTGTTCAAGAATATCTTTGCATATTGCACTATGAGGCAGGTTACTTTGACTAATTTATTATTTCCTAAACAAAGATAAGGAACAAACAATCCATAAACGCCGTTTCATTGTCTTGTGACGCTATCAAAGATGGTAACGAAAGTTGGAATTTTATTCCTACCGCTGATATTTTAATAAGATTAAATCCTATGGATGAAACTAATATTGGAAGAATTCATAAAAAGGAGTAAATTAATGCCTGTTAAAATCAAAATTATAAATATTTTTTTTATGTTTTTATAAATACTGTCGTCTAAAATTTCATACCTAAATCCAACCCTGATTTAAAGGAAACACTTGTGAATGTTTTTCCATTTTATAGAACAGTTAATTGTTAAATTAGCTGCGCAAACAGTGGAAAATTCCCTTTCCCACAGTGCCTAAGAAAATAAAAAGTTGTTGCGTTTTTCAAAGCACTTCCCACTTTAAAAATTATTTTACATTAATCAATTACTTTACATTAATCAATTACTTTACATTAATCAATTAGTTTTATAACTGTACCTACCATTCTGCTCGGTTCGAAAACTGTATAATCTGAGTCTTGACATTCTCAAGTTTCATTACAAAATGTATGGTGTGTATAGGTATTGTTAGTGACTGTAAACCGATACTATTTTGTTAATAATTGACAACGCCTAACAGTTCAAATGAGTTTAATTAGTACATATTACTATAAGAGATGTTTGCTGTCAGTGTAAAACTAATGCACAATTACACACTGTCGCAACGACGTGAAACTTTTAGTCTGCACAATTAACGACATTATAATTAACGTAACGTTAAACGTATTTTATATTTATTACTTGTAAATATTATATACTAAATGTGAATATAGTTGTTTTTACAATATAAACTTTGACTGTCTGTGTAGTTTTATTTCTTACGGGTTCACCAAATTTGGCGCGAATTACTCCAATCCAAAACTTGCGGCGCCAATCTCGCAGATCTAGGCCCATTTACACGGTGCAAGTTTCTTGCCTGTTATATACAATTAAATTGAAGCAATAAATGAGTTGCATTGTCTAAACAGCACACATTCTTGACTGTTGAACAAGACTTGCTTCAAGTTTTGTTTCAAACCTTTCCTTGGTGTAAACAGCACACACAATAATTTCTTAAGCAATTCTTGTATTCAATTGCATTCTCTCTTCCTTTGCAAATATGAATGCGATGAGTGAGGGTGTTTAATCGTTGCTGTTCTTTTGGGGCAAGAAATATTGAGAAAAGGTCGTAAAAAAAGTTGGACAAATAAATGAATAATAATAAATAAATCTCAATGAAATATATTAAATCGGCATAATCTAACTTGAACACTTATTATTGATCAATTTTTTTTAAATAAACAGCCCTTTTCAAAACGCTCAACACTTGAATGAAATATTTGTCAACGCAAATACGTGCAATACTTGAAGCAACACGCCAATAAATTGTACACGCACATACAAGCATGTGTTACAAGTCAAAACTTGAAAGCAATAATCGCCTAAACATAATTGCATTGGTGTAAACAAAAGACATTTGCAATTATTTCTTCTCAAGACTTGCGTACAATAATCGCATTCAATTTTGTTTACTATATCTGTGTGTAAACTGTTGCTTACAATTCTTGATGGCATTTATTGCGTGCAACTTATTGCATTCAATGATTGCTCTTGTATGTACAAGAAACTGGCACCGTGTAAATGGGCAAGTCAGGCTTGCCAGTTAGTTAATATTATGTTGTTTTGTTAAGTATTTAACCAAGTTGTAATGATAAATAATTAAAACTAAGTTATATTTTATTTACCTTAACAAAACGTGAAACTCATTTAAACAATATATTTGAATACAGGTCTTTTAGAGGTTATTGAAAATTGAATTTAGGGGTATTTCATATTGATTTTAGGGCCACGTCGCATACGTGCCATCGAGCCTGTATGTAACATGGTGGGCGGTGGAGCCCCTGGGGGCTGGGAGGCTTACTACTTGTTGGCACTGGCTTTCCTGATCTGTGGTCAGCAGACTCGGGAGAGTTTTGGTCCTTGCAAGAGGGGTTGAGTAAAGGCACGCTGAATATTCTAGCATGCCTTACCTGCGGGTTTTCGCAGGCATTTCCCACACGTAAAAATAAGGAATGCTATTTATTTTTAAATGTCGAAAAAGTTAATTCAGACGACTATGGCCTTGGTGAACTCACTCCTTGACAGTTACCGATTCGCGACGTGAAGTCACAACTGATAATCCCAAAGGCATGTACCAATGAGCTGTCCAGTCTTTTTAATTATCACAATTAACTGCAAGCTATATATTGGTGCCATGTGTACTCCAAATAAGATTATATAAATAGTTTCATTATGCAATATTGTTAGTAATGCATATATATCTCGGTGGTAGAGCCACGCAAGTCTTCGCTGTTGCACGAATGGGCAGGTCTGTCCGGGTAAGCACTGACCTCATTTACTTCCTCACTTAAAAAAAATTTTGTGGTAACATGCATACCACTATATTTACAATTGCACAATAAAACTATAGCAAATTCGGAAAAATATATCTTTATTAAAACTTATTTAACATTCGCTTCATAAAATTGCTAAGTTATCACATCCGCTACTAAAATTAAAGAAACAGAACATCTTCAAGAAATCAAAATTTTAATGAAAGCACAAACTCCTTATTGAATTTTCGCTTAAAATCTACATTCTTATACTTACAATTATAAGAGAAATGACGGAATGTCAGATTTTACAGATCTCAAGATAAAAAAATAAAAATTAATATAATGTCATGGTTCATCAAATGATTCACTGTAATATTAAATGTAAAATCACAATTTACATTTACCATAATTTTAATAATTGTTCTTCCCGCATTTAAAATTAATAACTTCCACATCTTGTACCTTATTTGAATAGCTAAATGATACATGGAATATGATATTATAAATTCTTTGTGAAAATATGATTTTCATTTGATGTTACTCGTAACATATTTGAATAAAATGTTATTATAGTGCTCTAAAACAACAAAAATTTAATCATGCAACTTTGTATTATATGTGGCTTCAGCTCTTTAATTAGCAATCTACCGTCTCTCGATTAAAGTTAACTTTGAATAATGTTGTTTCTTCCCTTTATTACATCTTAAAATACCATTAACATAATAAACATTACTTAAACATTTATACATATAAGGTTATTTTAACATTTATATTTTTTCATTTCACATGGGTACATGCAACTGTTTAAAAATTGAACGCTTCAAGCTCTGTTTTAATCACCAATGGTGCTGTTCGGTGTTGGTGATATGTGGTGTTGGTGTTAGACGAGGGGGTAGGAGGCGGCAGATGCGATGCCGCAGTGGTTGTCCCTGTTCCGCGCCATCTTGATGTAGCCGAGGTCACCCCAAGTGCGGCCCCAGGAGTTCTTCACCAGCCAGTAGTCGCCACCTTTCTCATCGGTGCCGTAGCCCACCACCAGCACCTGAGGAAGGAAGCCGAAGATCAGTTGCGAACTCAGCTACAAAGTAGAATATGAAAAGGAAAATATATATATATATATATATATATATATACAAACATTCGAAGCTATGTGAAGTCAGCCAATCCACAGTGGGGCCGCGTGGTGGACTATGCTCTGGTACCTCTGGTATGGAGGAGGCCGTACACCAGCAGTGACATATGTATAGGCTGTTACTTTACTTTTACAAAATCAAGATAGACAAGGCGATACAAGCTGCATCATTTTCAATCATGGGAGTCTCAATCAATTGCGATACTAACTACAAATTGGAATATGAAATGTGTTGCACCATATGATTTATGCAAATTATGAAGTCACATTTTCCGTCTATAGAGCTGAACCTGCCCATTTACCTTATTGGTAGGAGATAGTGAATGTGATACACAGATAAAACATTTTAAGTTGTAAAAACCAGGTGTAAGGTACTCCACCTAGATATTTAATCTGGGGTGCAAATTAAACACTCCTATGGCAAAAGTATTGCCATAGGAGTGAATTTAGTTAAGCCGATGTTAGTACAATGCTGGTAGAGGCTAAAATCTACTTGTCTAACAGCGATCATTTGGAAAACAAAACACTAATTGAAGCTGGCACATAGATGAGGGGACAAGTGTGTGACAACAGATAATTGTACCGGAACAGTGCGTTTGTCTCTGATATTTGTGTTAGCAAAACATTCGTACAACGCTGGATAATGTTATCCATCGAAGGCAATTTAAAAAAGAGCAAAGGCTGAGCTCACCCCGTGGTCCAGGGATGAGGAGGAGCAGTTCTCGTCGTAGTAGACGCCGTCCGAGTAGAACTGGAAGCTCTCCTGGGAGGCGTCGATGGCAACGGAGACCGGGCCCACGGTGGCCACCGCCTGCATCAGCTTCTCCTCGTCGCCGTTCGGAATATCCACGAAGCCCACGTCGTCGGCACCAGAGTTCTTAGGGTTGTACCTGGATGCAAAGCAAAATATACTTTATTGTACACCAATAGAAATAAGGGATTTATAACTGAAGACACATGGGCACAACAGGCGGCCTTATCTCTAAAACAGCTGTGTGAAGTCGAAAGAATGTTCAATGAATTGTGAGAAAGCTGAATGAAGAAGGAAGAATGTTCGAGACAAGGTAGGGATCTGGGACGGATTCGTGTGTGAGTGTGTAATTATGTAACATATAAAATACTCGTGTCACGGTGTTTGTAATTGAACTCCGCCGAAACGGCTCGACCGATTTTCGTGAAATTTTGTGTGCATATCGGCCAGGGTAGTGAATCGGATAACATCTATTTTTTATCCCCCTAAATACTATACAAATAATTTATATGGCAAAACAACGTTTGCCGGGTCAGCTAGTTATTTTTATATAATAATGATAATAATATGATGGGCAGGCTCGTACTTCCACTTATTAAGTGGAAGTAGTACACTTTTGTATTTTGTGTGGCGAGTGAGATTACTGGGGCTCACGTGGGCCAATATTTATTTATTTTTTTATTTTATGCGAAAAGTTGTCAAACGAGCAGACGGTTCACCTGATGTTAAGTGAATACCGCCGCCCATGGACATCTGCCACACCCGAGGGTTACAGATGCGTTGACAACCTTTTGAAAATTGGGCTCCGGCTACCTCACTCACCAGACGAAACGCGAAAGTATTTGTCATACTTCCACTTTACGCCGGTCTTCTGTGAGGCCCTACCACCGTTAACCGCGCCACGCAACAGCTGTCTTCGCTGTTTGAGCGAATGGAGTGGTGCGATGATGTGTTCCTTTTGCCCCTATTGTTGCTACAAATACTAAAAAACGGAAACAGAAACTCGCGCATGAAGGGTTCCGTTCTATTATCTATGAAACGGCAAAAAAAATAATGTCTGTTGTATGGGAGCCCTACCTAAATATTTTTAATAAGATAATGGTACGGAAACCTTCGTTTGCGAGTTCGACTCGCACTCGGCCGATTTTTTTTCAAAGGATTTCCGTATTTGTAGGGGTTTGGAAATTCAACCCCCTATCCACATACAACACGAACAAAATTTAAATTTTCTCTGTCTCTCTCTCTCTCTTGGACAGGATTAAATAATTATTGTAAAAACTATACTTATATGGTTTAGGACAGTAACAATAGTGTATTCTTAAAAACAAGAATAATTACACGCAAAAAGTAAAGTATGTATTACACTAAAGAAATCAGCAGACACCTCAGACCTGTTATGACTTTGCGTGTTGTCTTGCACCAATAAAATGAAAGCGAAAGTTCTAATATCTCCATTTCAATCACGCTGCAAATGCTAAAAGGATTTGGACGATAACGCTACAAACATTTTTGTTAAAACAAAAAAAAAAACTAAATTCATCTTTGGAACAGCTTGGTGTGTTGGCCGCGTGTAAAACTGGTTCGATAAAAAAAAACTTAGGAGACTAAACAAAAACAACGTTATAAAAACAGATGCAAACGTATTCGTTTTCCTTATGGAATTACTTGGGTACGAAAATGTCATTAGAATAAAGTTTCCATAAAGTAATTAAACATGATTAAGTCTATATATTGTGACTACAAAGTGGTGAAATGCAAAGTGCGTGTACTTTTTTTTTATTTCTAACACAAAGCAAAGGTCTCCAGTAGTGGGGATCGAACGCACACGAACGAACATTTGCATATGCAAATATTATTGATATATGTGTATGTAGTACGTCATATCTCAATGTTTGCTTTTTAACTGGGTGATTTTTATAGGTTTTTTAGGATTTATTTCTGTATTTTTTAAATTGACATCCGCGATGAACATCGTTTCCAGACTTCCAGATGAAACCAGCGGCAGGTTTTAAAGTCCGAAAATAAGCTGACCTGGACATGTTTCAGAGAGACACGCACAATGCTCTTTCTCGCTATAATTGTGTTGAAGTTATGTTAAGGATTTTTCGTTTGATTTTTTATTTAGTTTGCTTTTTCTTATCTGATGGTGCTATTAGTATTACTTTCGCGTTGAAATTATGTTAAGGATCTTTCCTATCATTTTTTATTAGGGTTTCCTTTTCTTTTCTGTTTAAACGTATGCCGTCTCTGTGAGCTGTTCCAATAAGTGCTTTTTTCTTTCTTTCTTTCTTTCTTTCTTTTCTTTCTTTCTTTCAATCGGGTTTCGGGAAGAGCTGTTGGGCTGGTCCGACCTCACCTGCACTTGTCGTCCACCGCCTCGTAGGGGTAGCTGCGCTCGGTGTCGATCCCGCGGTTGTCCTTTATGTACTTGAAGGCGTTGTCCATAAGGCCGCCGTTGCAGCCGTTGTTGCCGTACGCGGACGAGCAATCGATCAGGTTCTGCTCCGACAGGGAGACCAGGTAGCCGCTCTTGCGGTAGTGCTGACCCTCCAAAGCGCCCGTCTGTTACGAACATCGGGCGGTCGTTAGCCAAAGGGTTGGATTAGAGCTCGGTTTCTTGTACGGTTGCTTTTAAGGCAAATATGAGAGGTGTTACGAATAGATAGATAAATAAATATTTCAGCACACATTTTTATACATCTAGTCCCAAACTAAGCGAGGCTCGCACTAGGTTACTGGTGAACGTACTAAAACTTACTTTTCTTTTGTAAATCACTACATAGTATAAAACAAAGTCTGCTTAGATCTTTGAATCTATGCAGCGGATCTTGATGCCGTTTTTTTTACTAGATAGAGTGATTCAAGAGGGGAAGGTTTATATAAATTATTTATTTCTATTAATACATTGCACCCGTGCGAAGCCGGGGCGGGTCGCTAGTAAATACCTATTATAGATATTTAACCATACTGGCTGCACTTAATGAAAAAATGGCTGTGTTCATAACTTAAAATCAGATTATATTTTTGACGTAGTGAATAACCTTCTTTAAACTATTTCCTTAGACCATTTTGTTTCATTAACAATTGGTAAATGTTGATAAATATACAAAGTCCGATATATATTTAAATAATATGTATATTTGTACGGCATGCTTGTTTTTATTAACTAACGAACTTAGTCAATATACATTAGAGGACGATTTTATTTAAGATTTATATTCTTTTTTCTATGTGAAAAAGTGGCAAACGAGCTGGCGGTTTACCTGATGTCAAGTAATAACCGCCGCCTAGGACACTTGCAACAACCGTAGGGTTGCAAATGCGTTGCCATCTTTAAATAAAGTGAGCCCCGGCTACCTCACTCACCAAACGAAACGCAGAAGCGTAGCACTTATACTTTAACGCCGGTTTTCTGTGAGATCGTGGTACCCGGACGGACCTGCCCATTCGTGCAACAGTGAAAACTATTGCGTGGCCCAACCACAGTTAAACAACAAATACTTCCTTATCACGTGTTTTTCAAATAACACGTGATATTGAAGTATAAATAAGGTTCTATTTAGAGTATTTGGAATTTTCTTGGGTCGTTAAGCTATAACAAATATCCATTAATTACTAACTCTATCCGGAGCGTTACTTTGTATGTAATTAAATTACAATTCGGTGTGAGCTAACAAGACTTTGTCGAACGAAAAGCAAACATATAATGTTACACAGCTACGGAAGTGTTTGCAAACAATGAACTCGAACAAATGGCCGATTTACCTCGAAACTGTTAACAAAGGATTAGATGCAAAGCTATTTCTCTTTGTCTTTAGAAACGGGAACAAGAACGGATTTTGGAAAAAAAAACACAATGAAAATATTGGACAATTCTAATAATTATTCATAGACGTTATACTTAATCTTTACATATATAATGCGTGTTTATGTGATTTTTGGCTTGTCGAATTTTGATGAAATTTTTTTTTCAAGTGGATTCGTGAAGGTTTAGACTCACAATTCGATTCAGTACAAAACGTTTTTTTTTAAATTAATTTTTAATCTATAAATTGATGTCGGATTTAAGTATGTACAAGGCGTGTCGGGCGCGCTAGTTTTTAGTAACCTCTCAAAGTTATTACTAACCTCTCTAGAACCGTGATAGACAGTTGAAATTTTCACATTAGATGTTTTTATGTTGCCACTAAAACAACAAATACTTAAAATCATAATAAAAAATATTTCATTGTGGCTCCCATACAATAGACATGACTTTTTTGCAGTTTAACCCTTCGTGCGCGAATCCGACTCGCACTTGGCTGATTTTATTTTATAAAAATAAGTTTAACTTCTTTGGCTGTAGTTGAAGAAGTGGCTGATGAAGATAAGTATAGTTTCGTAGGATGACATTGAAAGTATATCTCAATAATGATTAAGTACTGCCAATGAGATAAATACATTACTATCTTATTACTTCGGCCATATTCTACTCTATAGTTTTAATATAGGTAGGTATAGCGATTAGTTGCATTCGTGATTAATTCGCATCTAGTTTAATGTAAGAAAACTACGACGTCAGGTAAGTGTAAACTGTTATTCCTCGAATGCGCGTGAATCAGCCACGCGGTGATTAATCTGGCCAATGTTTGAACACATTGTTGAGGGGGGCGTTGGAACATTTGTGCAAACGTTTGCGTATGGTGCACCAAGTGTGTGACGTTCATTACAAATCAATACAGTCAACACGGAAACTTCGAATGGAATCCAGATATTCGAGGGAGAAATATATACGTTTCCCAATCTTTTGTGTGTAATAATATGGTGCGAAAACATGTTGTTTTTTTTAAACTTTTTTATTTAGAAACGATTTGTATTAATTTAATTTCCATTTGTTATGTTCCGTCACCAGGCTGTATCTCATGAACCGTGATAGTTAGACAATTAAAATTTTCACAGATTATGTATTTCTGTTGCCGCTATAACAACAAATACTTAAAAAACAGAATAAAAAATATTTAAGTTGAGGGCTCCCATACAACAGACATTTTTTTCTTGCCGTTTTTATAGATAATGGTACGGAACCCTTCGTGCGCGAGTCCAAATCGCACTTGGCCGGTTTTTCCGGTCCGTCCGGGGAAGTACCACGACCTCATATAAGCGTCAAGTGGAAGTGTTATACTTTTGCGGTCCGTCTGGAGAGTGAGGTACCGGGGGCCCACATTATTAAACGGTGGCAACCCATCCGCAGCGATACGGGTGTTGCAAATGTCCATTGGCGGCGGTTATCACTTAACATCACGTGAACATTGCCACTTACCATCAGGTGGTATGGCAGTCAAGTGCTGGCCAGATGCAAATAAAAAAAAATAAAAAAAAAGAACAGCCAGCTAGCTTGCCACCTTCCCGCATAAAAAAAAAATGAATGCGAAAGACAAATCGAATGTAACTAATTATTTTCATGCGTTTTTTATCGCGTTCATTTTTATTCAATCTACTTTAATACACGTTCCGAATGCTTCAAGCATGCATTGCTTCTTGACAACCGTAAATAATATCCGTATAGTTTTATACAATTTATGAGAAAATTAATAGCGATAAACGATGTATAACCGTCAAAATTTTTTGAAAGAAACGTAGTAACAGTAAATACAAAAGGAAATTTGAAATGAATTTTATTGACAAAATAACTTGTTCTGTTTACAAGTTCATTGAACACGGTTGGAAGTTCAAAAAAAAAAAAAAGAAAAAAATGATATTAACTAATAATTGATGGACAGAACGCGAATACTTTTTCAAGTACCAAAACTTAGGTACTAAGTCAAAATTCGCATAGTAGGACGAAAATAATTTTTATTTTCTGAAAAATCGACTTTATTTTCAAGATCAAAGATTGATCTTAATTAAAAGCTAGCTGAAAAAGGTGGCGTCAAGGGTTTCGGCTATTGTTCCAGGCTCAGCTGGGTTCCAATTTGATGTCGCATTTAGACTAAAATTTAATTGAAAAATTGACCCTATTTAACTGGACCACAACATCCCTGGTTTATATTATGTTACTGTTACGATATAAGTTATACGTTACTGATTAAGGATAATGATCCCTACTTACTGCAAACGTCCAGTCGCTGAGTAGATAATGTTTACATGAGATTGCGAGCGACGCGCGTGTGTGCGTAAAAACAAAAACATTTAAGTGTAAACAGTAGCTTCCGCGTAAAATTGATAAGGATGTTATTGGATGTAACTATTTAACAATGACAATAAGAAATCGTTAACAATGCTGCTACTTGAGCTACGTATAAACTGCTATTAATCTGTATAAATTGGTTTCATTTATGCGTAGGTACCTTGTTAGGGTTGAAAATTTCAGTACAATATGGAGATGCGCAATGATGTTTAATAACACAGATGACGCATGTCCATACTGCGCGACGTTTAAAAATTGTTTCTTTACATTACGACATAATATAAGTGAATGAGACAGACGATATAGAACGTATGAAACGGAAGGAGATAGCAGTCTTTTTTTATGTGATAAGTTGCTAAGCGAGCAGACGGTTCACCTGATGTTAAGTGAATACCGCCGCCCATGGACATGTGCTACACTCGAGGGTTGCAGATGCGTTGACAACCTTTCGAAAATTGGGCTCCGGCCACCTCACTCACCAGACGAAACGCGAAAGTATTATGCTTCCACTTTACGCCGGTCTTCTGTGAGGTCGTGGTACTTACCCGGACGAGCCTGCCCATTCGTGCAACAGCCGAGACTGCTGCTTGGCCCCACCACCGTAACCTACCAGTCTATAGAATTGAAATGTAATTACACCAATTGGTGCAATTTTAGTACCTCAGTTTCGGTGCGATAGTGTTATATCTACCTCGTATATCAACGGAAATATGTATAGGAGATTCACGGAAGTAGTTGCATGCACGCCATAGTGCAACACGCGAGTTAAATATAACACAGCCACCTTAATACGTTGATTATACAGCGTGTCTTTACCATCTCGACAATAAATGAACACACATATAGAGGATAACTTTTTAAAATTGTATTAAAGATTTACATTCTTTAAACATCAATATTTACAGAGTTATCAAATTTTCCAAAACAAAGAATTTTAGAACACCTTGCGTATAAAACTTTAATGTAAAGTTCATTTGTAAAGGTCAAAGCATATGAATGGGTTGAATGAATTTAAAAGAGACAAAACATACCGTTAGAAGGAGAGGCTTGTAAAGCGGCGCTGTGGCAACGAATGTAAAAGTCAGTTGTAGTTGTATAGGATGTTACAAATTTTGTTTCTTTTTTACTTAATTAGTTTGTTTTTATGATTATTGTCAAGTAGCGTTAGATGTGTGTTCATTTATAGTCGCGGTGGTAAAGACACGCTGTATACGTCTAGATTCCTAGTGCGCCGCGTCAACGCGTCGAGGATTTGAATCCAGATGCAGGAAAATACTTGCATAAAATCAAGTAAGTTTTGGTCCGAAAAACTTAATTAAATATGTACATGTTCTTTACAGTGTAACTTTGCAAAGACTACTTTTATTTTATTTTTTATTTATTGGATTACTAACGTAAGATACAGCTAACTAAGATAAATACAAATTCTTTGTTACATAAAAGTAACAGCCTATACATGTCCCACTGCTGGGCAAAGGCTGCGCAGTATGGACATGCGTTATCTATATTATTAATCATCATTGATAATATAAGTTATCTTTATTGTCTGTAAATATAAGTTATCTTTATTATTGTTTGTAGTAAAAACTATTCAGGGCACAGAGAGTGGAAATCAATATTGATGCAAAATTAAATGTAAGGTCGTTTTTATTCAGGAAATTTTATTTGTCAAAAGGTTTTCGACCAATGGATGAATCGAAGCAAATATGAATAAGGCTAGATAAATTGAAATACATAACTCAACTTTTATATAAAATAAATATTTTATATAAAATTTTGACGTTTCATAAGAATTGTGCAAGCGTCTATATGAAAAAACTGTTTTGAATTCGAAATTTCAATTAGACTAAAAGTGGTTAAAAGATTTGCTTAATTTTAAATTTTCGAAAACACGGGGACCGTTCTCGGGTGGCAGACTAGTTATTATGATAATTGAAAGGACGGATTGGGATTAACTAATATCGGGAACCGAATGTAATCCCCCTCTTATTTGAAATCATTCCCCGAAGAGGTAGATGTAGTGATTCAAAACAGCCATGACGCCTTAGTAAACACAGGATAAACATAAAGTTACGGAAACGTCAAGAAAAGAGTTAGATTGCATAAAGACAGCTAAGCGCTTGTCATTAGATGACGTCAAAGTCCAGACTTATGACGTCATCGTGAAATGTCCGATCACTTTTTATCTCTGTCACTTTCAGCCAGTAGAATGTTAAAGCTTCATCGAACGCGGAAGCCGCTTACACGAGCTCGATACGACCCCCGCGTAATAGAGGGCGCGCGTGTGCCACTTACCGCGCTGAAGGACCAACAGGAGCCGCACTTGCCCTGGTCCTTGATGTCGGTGACGGCGCCCTGCTTGCGCCAGTCCACCTGCTCCGGGTAGCGGACATTCGCTGCCGGCAGGAAGGTGGCGCCGCGGAGCTCAGCGCCCTTGCCGTAGAGGGCGCGGTTGTGCCTGAACACAGAGCGCCAGTCGAATTTGAAATTTCTAAGGAAAATTCCAGAATCACGGGTATCGCACTGTAAAGTAACAACCTGTACATGTCCCACGGCTGGGCAAAGGCCTTCTCTACTGAGGGTATCAGGGCATAGCTCACCACGCCGCCCTTCTACGGATTGGCGGGCTAGATATATTATCTTCGAAATTTTCTTTTGTTATTATTTCAAAGAATGTGCAGGTTTCCTCACCATATTTCCTTCACCGCGGAATACGTGATAACTCAAAACATAAAATCAACAATTTCATTGGTGCCGGCACCGGGGATTGAAATCAGGTTGATGAATTTAAGGCGAACGCCCTGACACTTTTATACTTTGTGTGAAAGGGGTTGGGTAAAACGTGTACCGTAAAATCCTCGACGATTTTACGAACAAAAATTATAGTTACATTTTAGGAAATCACCAAAAATTATTGCAAATAGTTTTTTATGTAAAAGTAAATTTAACTAATAATTAAGACAAAGGCATACAGGTAATTATTGATTTTTAAAGATATATGGGTTCGTGCAAAGTAAATGAAATTAATACGAAGCCAGATCAGTGTGAAATATACGCCTAATAGGTTTGGTGTATGTTTCTAACAAAAGCGAGAATCCAACTAAATATATTACTATAAATGCAACCAATATAGGTCTTTATTTTCACTACTTTTTATGCCACATTGCCAGTTTGGCTGTTAGAGATTGGCAGAGGCATAAGTTAGCCTATTGAGTTAATATTTAGCGATAAATATACGAAGTGAATCCGCAGGGTTTATTTTAATGGTGCAATTTTAAAGCCTCATTCATAGGCAGAGAACCATAGTATACACTTTTATTGTTTAGAGAAAAATTTTAATCTGTCCATATTCAGCGTGTCGTTACCGTCGCGACAATAAATGAACACACGTGTAACGCTACTTGCCAATAATCATAAAAAAATATTAACTTTAAACAAAATCCATAATTAAAAAAAAATATTTTTCAAACAAACTAATTAAGTAACAAAGAAACAAAATTTGTAACATCCTATACAACTCGCACCACAGCGTCGCATTACACGCCTCTCCTTCTAACAGTATGTTTTGTCTCTTTTAAATTCATTCAACCCATTCATATGCTTTGTGACCTTTACAAATGAACTTTACGTTACGCTTTTATAGGTAAGAGTGTTCTAAAATTCTTTGTTTTGGAAAATTTGATAACTCTGTAAATATTGATGTTTAAAGAATTTAAATGTTTAATACAACTTTAAAAAGTTTTCCCCTATATGTGTGTTCATTTACTGTCGCGATGGTAACGACACGCTGTATACATCATCATGTATCGCTTTTAGTGTTATCAACATTCCAAATTACATCGGACAGAAGAAAGTAAACGCTAAGATTTTTTATAAGGGATTGCAATCACAGAATTACCGCGGAAAAGCGAACAGCAAAGAATTTTGAATAACCGTACTATCGTAGTCGGGGGTCGTAGGTACCATTCCCACACGGGACAACTATTTGTGTCACCATCGGATAATGTTTTCGGATCTGATTTGTTGAAGGATGATTACCATAGACAAGAGCCGTTTACAAAATGAATCACGTGTTGTGGCGACCCCATTAGGTAGGGTAAGAGCAGGAGGATGATGACATTAGTACGCAATACGATAGGACGCATGATATGCAATATGTCAATAGAAAATATATATCAGTAAATTTATCGGCATTTGTTCGCAGATGCGGCAGGCGGTGTCAACGTGATGATGCATTCGTCACAGATCTGAGTCAACTCGGTAAAGTGATACTAGCGTCTCTGGTTTCAACAGTATTGCTATTAATTCTGTAGAATTTTAAGTTACCCAGCTAATTTTATAAATAGTTAAGACGCTACGGACAATTTCATCTAATTAACAGTGTTAGGGACCACGCAACAGACTGTTGATAATGTAGTGGGCTGCAATATAATTACTACTGAACGCAGCACATTTTCCGTATATATCATACAGTGGAGCTGTTTGTTATTCCTAATAAAGTAAAGCAGTCTTCGCTGTTGCACGAAGGGCCAGGTCTATCCGGGGAAGTACCACGACCTCACAGAAGACAGGCGTAAAGCGGAAGTATAATAAATACTTTCGTGTTTCGTCTGGTAAGTGAGGTAGCCGGAGATCAAATCTTCAAAAGTTTGTTAACGCATCTGTAACCCTCGGGTGTCGTAGATGTCCATAGGCGGCGGTATTCACTTAACATCAGGTGAACCGACAACTCGCCACCTTATCATACAAAAAAAACTTTTCGTTTGACGAAAAAGGAAATTGTGCACTTAATGATCATTTGCATTCACACGGACGTTTTACGTTATTAAATGGTACTGTTGTTATTGGTTTAATATGAGCCAATTTTAGCCCGAATAACTAACACTAGACGAAAACCTGCCTAGGGAAGAGGTCGGCTTTCGAGCTGGCTATTAGACATTGGACCATATATATACAGTGTGACAAATTGTCGAGAAGACCAAGGAATTTAGTGTGTCATTGTATTGCTGTTTTATCGACTACAACAAGGCATTTGACTCGATTGAACACGAAAATATCTTGGTAGCTGAATGCGCGCGCTTGCTTATAATTTAACGGACTGTTAAAGTGAAAGCCGTGTCTTCAACTTAAGATGTACTAGTAAAAAACGAACAAAAATCTTGTTTCTGTCAGTAGCCAATCACGTTGAACGTGAAATATGACAAATCGTTTATCAGATAGGAAACGATGCCACCATTTTGTCTAACTTCAAAACGCATTTACAAACCAACACACCCGGTCGTAGTTCAATAGAAGTAAAGTGTCAGTTAAAGCAATCATTTTTGCCTGTAAAAAAAAATTACAAACCAAGACCCCAGTTCAAAGTTCAATTGAAGCAAAATATCAGTTATTTTAGCAATCATTTTAACCCTGTGAAAAAAAAAAGACGCAACTTTGAAGCCGCCAGATTTCGAACCTTCGACATGAAATTCGAAGTAACCACTAAGGCTCCGGATTCTATTGCGTCAGTCAATCTATAAAGAAAGAAACGATATGGTACACAAGTTCATGAACCTTTAGTAGGAGCGAGTGACTTCTACGGATTATCAGTAAAACAATATCACGTGCTTTTATAGTTTGGTTCGCTTATCATAATTGGCACAATTAATATCGTTAGACGTATCATAACTGGGGTACTGAACGCAATATTACGGATAAAGAGTGACGGACCATATAACTAAGAGCGATTTCTAAAGCCATACACGATCATAAATATATATTTTATTATGTATTTGTGATCATTTATATCTTTATAAGTGTAGAATTGTTAAATGTTTAAAGGCATATGGAGTTACATTTATTTCATTTCTATTTTATCGCACATTATATGCAATGTTTGGGGACATGATTGTTTTAATTCCACTGACCCCTTTAATTTTATCTTTCGGATTGACATTATTAAGAAGATATGTTATATAGAAAACTGCTTAATATAAGGTAAACAACCCATCATTTCCGACAATCTTTTCTTTTCAGACCAGCCGTGCCTTCGAGTCACCAATGCCAGGCGTGGGCTACCTGATCCATACACAAAGCAAAACTTAAGAATATCGCTCTAAAACTTCTTTACGTGAGGAGGTGGCAAAGGGGAAGCGATTTAGAATGCAGTGCGAAGGAGATGACAACACATGAGTATAGCCCTCTCGTTCGCGCCGCATCATCTTTTAGGTATAATGGAGAACCTACCCATGCTGCGTGGCACTATCTCGGTAAAGTATAAAAATATACGTAACCTATTTATCTAGAAAAAACAACTTCAAAACTGAATGCCAGCGTTCGCGAATGAGCTTAGAGGAAGCGAGATTTAGCGGCGCGAAAGAGAGGGCAATACTCATCGGCGTGGGCTCGCCACATCACCGGGACCTGTTGAGCTACGGCATACGAGATACTCACTTCACGGTCTTGTTGAAGCCGTTCATTGTGTGTACGAACTCGTGGTGGAGCATGTCGCCGTACTTGTTCTGCCTCAAGCGGTAGGTGACGAGGCCCTTGGCGAAGCGCTGGTTGTGCTTAGCGATTTTGTGTTTGTTCTCCGCGTATATCTTCAGCCGGAACCTGTCCTCCACCTCGCTTGTATACTCCTTCTTGTGCTCCATCTGGTGGCGGAACGTGGCGTGAGACTTCGAGCGTCTTTCTCATGGTGTGGAGCGGGGCGCCGGGCGTTTGGTTTTCGCCGGGTCTGCACGCGGCATTATTGGTGCTTCGGCGCTTGCTGACGTCAACTACTCGTAAAAGTATGACCTCGAATGGCGATCGTATACAATACTGCTATGGTACACGTTAAAGCAATATGTTTTTTTTTTTGAGCAAAACCAAACAGAAAAACTACGGTGAAATTAATCTATACCGATAAATAAAATTGGAGTGTTTGTTTCTATTGTGATATTAAAAACCGGTTAGAAAGCAATTGAAAAAGGATAAAACAATTTTAAAAAACCCCGACTTAAAAACTAAATGTTCACGCGAGATAATAAAAATATTTAATAACAAGTAAGTAACAGAGTCGGTTATATAGGTAAACTAAAGACTATCAGTTTTAATAACATTTCCCTACCTAATTAGTTCTCATTTTTTTTGATGTGGCAATAACATAATCAACTACCTATAAACTTAAGAAAAAATTAAATATATATACCAAGAATATCCGTCAAGGGCTGACATGAAATTAACTAGTTTTGCAGTTTTATAGTAACGTGAATAATTGGAGATTTTTTAACGCTATACTTACACCCTTAATGGGTAGGCCGTGCCCAATGGGGACCTTTAGAAGTGGATGAATATAGTTATTTTTATTTACAATGAAATTTAAAAAAGTGATGGCAGCCCCCGATGGATATCCTTGGGTTCTTTATTAAGTTTATAGATAATTGAATGCTTTAATAATTTTATCAAATATGGTCCATCTATATGTAATAAAATTATTAAAAAAAAAATAACTACTAAATGAATCCCTTTAAAACATCTATGATAAATCAAAACAAATTTTTTGACGAAACCCCAATAGTGCCAAAAAACAAAACATACAAAAATTCCCAAACTTCATAAACATTAAGCTCTCGGGATATTTTAGCTCTGTCAATTGCCCATGCATCGCATAGTTACGAGAACGCCCGGTTTCTGAAACACTGATCATCTAAGAAGTTAACTAATCAGCTGTCAAATGGCTTTTCAAATGTCTTTTGAGTTTGCCAAAAGGATGTTTCAACTATTTGAATTGAGGAGATAATTGATCATTAAGGAGATAATTCCGATCAATTCAGAGATTAAACATCCTTTTGGCAACTCAAATGACATTTGCAAAGCCATTTTACAGCTAGGAAGTATGTTAACTAACCAACTTCTACGATGATCGGTGTTTCAGAAACCGGTCGTTAGTTCTTTCTTTCTTTCTTTCTTTCAATACCTTAAAGGCGTCCCACTCCTCCTTGACCAGGTCGAAGAAGGAGACGGCGCTCACCGCCGCCACCGCGCACAGCAGCACCACCAAACCCCTCATTCTGAAGCTGAAACAAGATTGGCACTTGGGACGTCATCGTAGATAGTCTGATGCAACTGCATTAGCACCGCAAGACGCATAATATGAGATACTGACGCTGATATATGTATACTCAGTAGATCTAAGCATACTAGACTAGTTGGGAATTAATACAAAATCAAAATTATTTCGAGCAAATAAAGGTTGTTACTTTTTTTAATTACGGACTTTTTTAACGTTTATATTTTTTATGATTCTTGGCCAGTAGCAATAGAAGTGTTCATTTAAGATCGGGGTTGTAACACCACGATGTATACATTTTATAGTAGCAAAAAATTTGTGAAACGTGATCACGCATCTCATCTATTAATTCGTTCAAAACTATGATCTCAATAAATTTTATTGAATGAAAAAAAAACATTAAAAAAAAGAGTAGAAATTCTGATTAAAAAATAATATACGCTATAAATCTTGAAGTTCGTCACACCCCAACTAATGAGAATTAAAGTGTTTAATAAATAAAGTAGCAAGCTGCCTATATTTGACCCACAGCTGAGCAAAGGCTTATACAGAGGATATTAGGGCGTAGTCCACCACGCGACCCCGGATTGGAGGACTTCACAAATATTTCAAATATTTTTAATAAACATTAAAAAAATATTATTTCGTTATTAAATTTGACTCTTCCATGTGTTTCGCCAGAACACTCGCTATGTCCGTATGTCGCCCCTGAGTGTCGCTTCACCCACTCGACCTTGGCTCCGTTTGGCCTCGCGGGTTTGCTCCACCTCCGACGCGAGGTTCTGGCTCCGCCTTTTAATGTTCACTCCGGGTTGGGACCACAAGAGCACATGGAGTCGGGATTACAAAAGACTGTACAAAGGCGAGCTTAACCCTAAACAGAGTTCTCTGCCAGCAAACCTTTCGTAATAATTAAAAATAAATAAGTAATCAAAGGAAAATAGGTAGGTGTGTACAATAAAAATCGGGTTGCTATGTGTCGGATTTTTGTGATTCTACTTTATTGTTCTCTATCGTTTAATTTTGTTTTTGTTTGCTATATCGAAGTATTACTTCCTGCTAAAATTTACCTTAATTATGGTCGAAAAAGGCGACCACTAGTAACGTTACACTATTTAAAAACGCGATTAATCATAACTAAAGCTATTGAAGCAATTTTCCTAAATTATTTTAATAATAGATAGTAATCATAAGGAGGTACGTCGAAAAAAGTTCACTATACCCAAATTCTATTAACAGGCTACTTTGAATTTTTATAGTTAACAACAGAAATTGTAATCTATATTTACTCAATTTAAATTAATATAAACATTCCTTGTTAACCTTTGTTATGTATCAGAACAATGTTTTATTAAAAATACAGAAATACGAAAAAATATTTAAGACAAAAAAGAAAAAGATTTCTTGTATTTGTATAATTATAATATTTCAGAAAATTGTTAAAAGAGAAATAAATAATTTTACTTACTGTACACCGATTTTATTACGCTATACATCTTTAACATTGCAAGCCAAAGTTACTAATTATATTTCATCATGCAATATATATTAATTATACCATCACAAATAATGAAAGTTATAAGACTTCCCGGTCCCCCCCCCCCCGAAAAGATAGCGATGATATTGTTTATTCATATTACGCATCGGTCGAAGCTGATGAGTTGACATCAATAATAAACAAAGAAACAAGGTACTTTTAGATCTAATGCTACATCCTTGATATCGACAATGAGGACTGTCGAGGAAAATTACGAGGTACAAACCTACAGGAAACAATCAAAAAACTGACACTCACCTCGAATCTTAACAGGATAAAACGAAATCAAAGGTATATTTCCTAAGAAAAAAAACGTTTACACTTGGTAGAAATGTAAATTTACTGTAAGTAGTAGTCCGTTTCGTACAGATCGTAGATTTCTTATGAATGTAACTGATACCGAACTTGATTGATACTAAGCGAATGAAGATGAACAAAATTACTGATTCACCATTCGGTCACCATTCACCGCGAACTTAACATCGTACGTTAGTGATGGGAAACATAAAGCGTTTTAAACAGCTCACAGTTATTTAAGCAACGAAAATAGCTTTCCAATTTTAATTGAACCATAATTAATATTATACTTAGTAAAAGCCTGCTTAAAACATTTTCCAATGTTTATAAATATTTTAAACAACAGTTAATTGATGAATAAAGGAACATACCTTATAAACACATGAATAACATAACTAATATGAATGTTTTATATACGCTAAATAATAATAAAAACTGATCTGTAGTAGGTTAGGCAGTTACATCGATATTATCTAACATGTTCAAAATTGAAAGTATGATATTCTAAAAGAAATAACGCCAAATATTGTAAACTATTTAAAAAAAAGAGTTGTCATAACCCAAATATTTATTTCGTTTAAATAACATTTGATTTATCTGTAATAAAAATGGTTTATAAGTGAAGCATACTTTAATGGCCATTGCAAGAAAATCTAACCTAAAAGTTTTTTTTGATGCTCAAATTTTTTAGATATTCCGATATTTAAATATAATTTCAGTGCTACCATGTAATGAATGTAGTAACCACAGACTTAAAATGAGAACTTCTCTTAATAAGTATATAAGGTATGTCATTTTCATATTTTTTAATTTTCAGGTGTGAATTATGGGCAAAGTTTTGCTTCCCAAATGAAGCCACACAGGTCTTCACCAAAGTTCCAGGATAGAATGCAGTCCTTCTAAACATAAGGTGCTTTGCAGCAAACATTCTAATAGCACATGCTTTAATGAGAAGAAGTTGTTCAGATCAGCTGTACCTGATGTTCAATCCCTTAAGGTTGGTGCAATAACCAATTTAAAAGATTATTTAAAATACCTTTATTACAGAGAAATACTGACATTATGTTGTAAATAAGGGGCACTATACAATTATTTTAAATTTATACCCTTTGTTACTTTTGTCAATGTATGATATCCCATAAATCCACATCTATTTAGGCATTTAAAGTTATGATGGAATAAATAAACTCATATATATACATAGACCCTGAAAACATAACACTCCATTTTTTGAGCTGTCATGTGAAGATGACTCACTTTGGCATGTAAAGTATTAACAATTAATTATTTTTGATGCCAAAACTGTACTTTGAGTACAAGTTGACTTTTTATATTAACAATGGTTTGCTTAAGGTTTTCTTATTTTCTTTTAGGATACAACAATAATCTGCCTGAACAAACTGCAGTGTTTGAACCAGGTGCCTGTTCATCCAGAATTTACCCCTTAAGAAAACAGAATGCCAATATCATCACTCCAACAAGTTCATAAATGTTTGTGCGTGACTCCTCAAATCAAGAAGGTGCCTTTTGTGAAAGCAAAGTGTTGATAAAGAAACTGAAAAGGAGTATGAACAAGGTATATTGATCACAAAAAACTGTAAATCTTTTAAAAAATAAAGCGTTTTTAAATTTTACTTGTAACAGTAAAACGGTTAAAGTTTGTAAGCAACAGTGCCATAATTACAAATTTTAAAACATTTCTGAAGCCAGCCACAGACTTGAATGTAATAATGCATGTAAGAAATTTTTTTTACAGGTCTGTAAAAAATCTCTTCCAACGCCGCAAAGAATTTATTAGATTGTGTAGAAAAAAGTGCAAATATCTAAAATAAATAAAGTATAAATATATTTTTAGAGAAAGATGTTAAAGAGCTCTATAAATTATGACTTCCTTGAACATAGCATTTTGCACAAAGACTTAAATATAATAAGTTACATAATAAACGGTGTCTTCCATATTAGCATTAAGATATACTGTGTATTAAAAAACAGAATGTATTCTGAAGACCCGGGTAAATCTGCACTACAAAGAAAAATGAATTATGCATAAATAAATGCCATCAAAAACAAGAAATATATATATATATATATATATATATATATATATATATATATATATATATATATATATATAATATATAAAAAACTCCACAACAGATAGTTGTGAGATCTGTAATGACTAGGCGCTCAATGAAGAACTTAACATTGTATTATTTAAAATACTTTATTGTCAAAATTGCATTCAATAGTAGATTATTCTTATATATCTATGTTGCCGTGCGAGCGCCGAGTGATTACAGGACACGCTTTTTGACTACAAGCTTACACTATGAAAGGTAAACTGTATGTTTTTATTTTGAGTGAAGATGTCTGAAATACCTCAACTGAATAACTTTCTGTACTTTCAAATTTTCTGCATAATGTCATTTATATTCTTTATTGATCTAATATTTACAGGATTAAATCTATCTAAAATTACATTTTATGTAAAAAACCTAATCCACGCGGCATTTATATTTTATTTTAAAAATATTATTTTTGTTTGTGTTTAAAATTTGCCGATGTTTGAGATTCATTATCATTACACTGAAAAATAAAAAAAATTCTCAATTCTTCACAAATTTCTGGAAATGAATACAATTCATGTATGAATTCATGTAAATGTATGTCTGTTATAATATATGTTACATAAATGAATATCTCATATATTGTATTTATTATCATGCTAAATAAAAAAAGTTAAGTACCAATTCATTGGTTTTTTTTTGTTTAATTAGACTGCTCTCTAAAGATTAATAAATATAGCAATTTATGTACAAGTATACTGTGTGTTAAAACGCATTGTACTTGTGCATTAAATGCAACGCCAAGTACCTTTAAAATTACTAGTTTGAAATTCCCGCCCTAGCATTTGCTCACTAGTTCTTTTGGGCAGAACACAGATGGCGCCGGTCGGTTAGAAAAAAAATTCCTAAAATTTGTATGGAGCCGTCATTCTTCTCTTTGAGTATAAGTGTTCTGTTCACGGCATGGAATCTTAGAACAAAAAAAATTAGACCGTGTTAAGACCATAAACAAACGGTAGTAGTCTAGAATATGACATTTCTTCTTTTTTTTTTACTTATTGTACTAAGGCTACTCGAAGAATTCGGCCAACAATATTAAGACGATGATAAATAAAAAGATATTTATTATGATTTATTAATGTTCACTCGGAGAATGTTAATTGTGAAGAAACTTCAGGAGAAAAAATATTAAAATTAAAAAAAAACTTTTTAGACCTAAACCAAAGTAAAAATTTGTCTCGGAAAGATTCCGAAAATATTCAATCGGCTAAACAGAATGGCTTATCGTGCACTCTCATGCATTTAATGTGGGATGAGTTGTGAAAAAATGTTTGAGTAAATTCACCATAACACGTAATAATAATACGCCGAGGTTCAGGCTAGGCGCCTCGTGCGCCATGCCACCTCAAGCCCGTCGGAACTGTAAAGGCCCCTAAGGCCAACAGCGGCTCATCCAGCCCAAAAAAAAATCACCGAGTTAGCAAACGGAATTAATATATCGCCATAATACAGACTAGGGATATTTTTGTCCAATTTGGCTAACATTTTCGTATTGCCAAGAATAATGGCTTGGCATTTTAAAGGGTTTATTGTAAGCCGATACTTAATAGAACAATCTTTCAGTACTTTTAAATTGTTGTTAAGTTTTGAAACCGCATGGTGGATGTTATCTATTTCTGATTGCACATAAAGTTGTAAAAATATTTCATCTTAATTTTAGGACCATTTTTTTAGTAGTTGGCAACACTGGGCTGAGTGCAAACTATGAAGCTCGTTTGTAGCTGAACAAAAATCGTGGAACAGAATTTATCCTCATTGGCGTTTTGCGGCTGAAAAATGTACCCCTTTCTCAACAGAAGCGAGGAAATATTTCTTGTAAAATCTTCAAAACTGCTCTCAAAATCATAATTATTTTTGCATCTTTCATGTCTGTATACTCCAAGTTTACATATGTTCGTACTTCGAATTGGTTTGGATAGTTTGGAATTGTATATTGTCATAGCCGAATCTAACCTCGATGGCGCGTATGTGACATTCCTCCCCAGAGGCATCAGGCTATCTTACGACTTCTGATTTCGAAGAAGCTTTAATAGCCTACGGACTTAAAGCAAAAACATAAGTCATGGTAATATGATATGCTGAAAAAGGGGATAGAGGAAAGGGAATTCCATCATCAGGCTACAACTGCTGTCAGTTGTTTAACCGGAAAGTCCTCATTTATTTTGCTTTAATTATGAGTAAGTCGAGGTATTCTCTTCCTTTTGGAAAGCTAAGTTTAATAAGAAAGTATTTTAATACAAAATTGCTTCTTTATTAAAAAGAAATTTTAATCAATAATTATTTATCAATATTTAAACATTCGTAAAAGCTAAACAAACACCTGGTCGAGGATAAATAGTTTTTAAACAAGCTGTATGTAGGTCACATTATTCGACCGTCGATACCATATCAGTGTCACGTGAATAAAGCTTACTCATACCGTTAGTCACCTTCTGGCCTTTTTATCATGTTTGTCGAAAAGACCGGTCAAGTGCGAGTCGGGCCAGAGCCGATTATCTGTAAAAACGGCTAAAAGAATCATGTCGGTTTTATAGGAGCCCCTTATTATCGCGACGTGTCTTGTTCGGATTATCGTTTTACAACGATAATTCGAATAAGACATTTCGCTATTGCTGACTGAAATTTTAAATTTTTATAGTGATAACCACTGCACCTAAGATGTAATGTTAAAATTTATAGAAAAAATGGACGAAAAGTTATTCGCCACTGTGGAAATCGAAACCACGACCGACATCTTTTTTTTGTACCGACAACAAAACAATATACCAAAGTAACAACCAAATAAAATTATTAATCATCATATTAAAACCTGTAGAAAAAGTACGAAAGGCCGCGAATGCCGAAGACGTGGGTTCGATTCCCACAGCGGCTTGACGCTCTAGCCACTGAGCTAAACGGCTGATAGCCACAGCGACGAAAATCTTAACGCCTTCTTTCTACATTGTTATTTAGCATTTGAAGCAATGCTTGGCGCATCTATTGTTATATCCTTTCCAGCATACAAACAATTTCGAATATTGTTTTACAACAATAATTCGAACGAGAAATGTCGCCATTGGTTTTTAAAAATTTTAAAGTTTTTTATAGTGCTAATATTTTCGTACTTTTTCTACATGTTTTAATGTTCAATCTTAAGTGCAGAGATTAGCACTATAAAAACTTTAAAAATTAATCATCATAAATTAATTTAATTAGTGTAAACGTGTGGCAACATGTATTATCATTGTTGTTGCCGAATTAAGTTCGGTGACTCCGCGACCTCTCATTACATGCTTGATACTAAATCGATTATTCATTGCAAACGCTATTAAATTATTTATTCATAGCTTACTTTAAGAATTTAATGGAAATTATCTGCTGATTCGTCGAAAAAAAAAAAAAAAAAAACAAAAAAGCCACAGAATTTAGAGATAAGGAGGATATTTGTGTGGCGGCTAAATATTTAAAATAAATATCTATTTGTTTATAATATTTATTCATTAAATCTTATTTTATATATGTTTCTCATATCTATATTAAGTATATATTATTTTCACATATTTTATTATTAATCACATTTAGCGCATTAATGCAATGTTTACGATCGTTATCAACGGTCAGCTGTGCCGCGATGCGACGCGGCTCACCTAACGTTTTTTATGTACGATTTACCGATCGGGCGTCCGGCAACAGCGATTCCGTCCGAGCCCGTGCTACGTCATAAGATACTCGCGAGACGCGGTACATTAAGTCCTATTGCCAGTCGCTTGTTGCTTCCCGCTGCGCTTACGCTTTATCAGATATTACGTGTTGTCATAGTTCCGCTGTAGTTGCTTATTTTCGCTATCCTCTTTTGTTATTGTTTTGTGCTATCTTTTACTCCTTCTGACTTTCTTTTGTGGTCGTATATGTGTGTAGACAATAAATGTTGTGAACAGTGTATTGACTTTATATATTCACCCGACACACACGAACTCACTTCCACCCCCCTACCAAACTGGTGACCCCTCAAAGGACATTAAATCAAGCACAAAATGAGTGATAGCAGCGATAATGTGAAGACTGCCGGTTCAGGGTCAGACGCTAAGGTGACCCTAAGAAGGGCGCGCTGCGTGCGTGCTTCTACCCACCGCGAAATAAACGAATCGGCAAAAATGAATTTGAAAGTACCACCTTTTTCGCCCGAAGACCCGGAATTGTGGTTCGCGTTACTCGAAGGTCAGTTCAACTGTAATAATGTAAGTGACGACGACATAAAATTTCATAATGTCACCAACAATCTAGACCTACAATACGCGAAGGCAGTGAAAGATATTATCATCAACCCTCCTTCAAAAAACCGTTATGAGAAAATTAAATCCGAATTGATTAAACGGTTATCCGCCTCACATGAAAAGAAAGTTAAACAACTACTGACCCACGAAGAACTCGGCGACAGGAAGCCTTCACAGTTTTTAAGGCACCTCCAAGACTTGGCTGGACCTTCCGTACCTGATGACTTTCTCAGGACGATATGGAGCAACCGGCTCCCGTCTAATATACAGACAGTGTTGGCATCGCAACCTACGCACTCACTAGAGCAGCTTGCAGATTTAGCAGATCGCATACAGGAATTGACGTCACCATACAACGTCGCCGCGGCATCTTCGAGCAGGGGACTTGCGTCACACAAAGATGACGAGATCGCAGAACTGAAGCGGATGGTGCAGCACCTCACACTGAAGTTGGAGGAACATACCCATGCTGCCTGCTGCTCAACCGAGCGTGCAAGGGCGCGGGATTGTCGGCGCTCCACTTCTAGACCACGGAGCCGCTCAAACTCCAGCTACCGCAAGTACCCTTTGTGTTGGTACCACGCTAAGTTTGGTGCACAGGCTCATAAGTGCCTAAAGCCCTGCGACTTCCACAAGGCGGGAAACTCCAAAGGCAGTCGGTAGAGGCGACAAACGATTGCCCATCATCCAATGGTCGCCTGTTCGTCACCGACCGCAGTTCGAATATGCAGTTCCTGGTAGACACTGGTAGCGATTTATGCGTCTACCCTCGTTCTGCACTTCGGGAGCGGCGAGCCAAGACGAACTTCGAACTCAATGCTGCTAACGGTTCGGTTATCGAAACATTTGGTTTTATAGAGTTAAAATTAGATTTAGGCCTTAGACGTAATTTTGCTTGGCGATTTGTTGTAGCTAATGTAACTAAGCCAATAATAGGCGTTGACTTCCTTAGCTTTTATAACTTAATTGTAGATTGCCGTAATCAACGCCTAATTGATAATACCACTACATTAATATCGAATGCAATTTTCGCTAACGATGATATTTGTTCCGTCAAGGTTGCAACAGGCGATTCGCGATATCACGACATTTTAAGTAAGTTTCCGGAAATCACTCGACCGTCAGGCACACCGGTGGCCCCAAAGCACAATACGGTACACCATATTAGAACCACACCTGGTCCTCCTATCTCATGTACCCCTCGCAGACTGGCACCGGATAAACTTAAGATTGCCAAACAAGAGTTCGAGCTTATGATCTACAACGGCACCGCGCGTCCTTCTGAAAGCCCCTGGTCCTCCCCCTTACACCTGGCGCCTAAGAAGGATAATAGCTGGCGGCCATGTGGCGATTACCGGATGCTTAATTCACGGACTATACCAGACCGTTATCCTATTAGGCACATCCATGACTTCTCCCATTCCATTTCCGGTTGTACAGTCTTTTCCACGATCGACTTGACGAAGGCGTACAACCAAATCCCAGTGTTTGAGGATGACATCCCTAAGACCGCCATCACTACACCTTTTGGCCTGTATGAATTTCCCTTTATGAGTTTTGGGTTAAAAAACGCGGGCCAAACATTCCAAAGGTTTGTGGACGAGATGACAAGAGGTCTGGACTTTTGCTTTTGCTACTTGGACGACTTTCTTGTCTTTTCCAGGAACGAAGCAGAGCACGAAACACACCTCCATCAGCTCTTCAGCCGCATGAAGGAATACGGTGTTCTGGTTAACACCCCTAAGTGCGTCTTTGGGGCATCTGAGGTAACATTTTTAGGCTACCGAATATCCGCCTCTGGCACTAAACCTCTAGAATCAAAGGTTCAAGCCATAACGGACTACCCAGTGCCTAAAAACATAAGGCAACTGCGACGATTTTTGGGGATGCTGAATTTTTATAGAAGGTTTGTACCACACTTCGCTTCAGTTCAAGCCCCCCTTAACGCCTTACTCGCTGGGAGCACAAAAAGCTCTCAACCAGTCGATATTTCTGGCGACACTTTGTTGGCATTCAATGAATGTAAAGAAAGTCTCGCTAACGCTGCACTACTGGCACACCCAGATTGTCAGGCCGAACTCGCTCTGGTAACAGATGCGTCCGACCTGGCAATGGGAGCAGTTTTGCAGCAGCTGAAAAATAACGTTTGGGAACCGTTAGCTTTCTTCTCACGGAAGCTAAGTCCAACCCAACAAAAATACTCACCGTATGACCGTGAGCTTTTGGCTATCTACGAAAGCATAAAATACTTTCGTCACATGCTTGAAGCCAGACACTTCGTGGTGTTTACTGACCATAAGCCACTAAGTTATGCCTTCAGTGAGAGGAAAGCTAACTGTTCGCCTAGGCAGTATCGTCACCTCGACTACATCTCACAGTTCACGACCGATATCCGACACATCTCCGGTAAGAATAACGTCGTCGCCGATCCATTATCTCGTGTCGATGAGCTACAGATGCCTGTCGACCTAAATGCGCTGGCTGAATCACAAGCTTCAGACAACGAACTGACACAACTGCTTCAAGGAGAATCATCACTCCGATTAAAAAAGTTGAAAGTTCCGAATTGTCACACCGAACTTTATTGTGACGTCAGCACAGCTACTCCAAGACCATTCGTGACCAAGCCATTGAGGAGACAAACCTTCGACTGTCTCCATAGTCTCAGTCACCCAGGCTCTAACGCATCGGCGAAACTGGTCGCCGATCGATTTGTTTGGCCTGGGGTGCGCAGAGACTGTCGGGAGTGGTCTCGTCAATGTTTGGCATGTCAACGCGCTAAGGTCCATCGACATGTGTCATCTCCTATGGGCACCTTCGATCTTCCCCGCGCACGATTTGCCTTTATTCATGTGGACATTATTGGCCCTTTACCAATTTCTCAAGGCTTTCGCTATTGCTTCACCGCGGTGGATCGTTTCACTCGCTGGCCAGAGGTTACCCCTATGGTAGACATGTCAGCTGAAACAGTTGGGAAGGCATTATTATCCTGGATATCCAGATTTGGATGCCCAACGGATATTGTCACTGATCGCGGCGGGCAGTTTGAATCGTCACTTTTCCAATATCTTGGGAAAATGATCGGATTCAAACACCGCAGGACAACCGCGTACCACCCAGCTTGTAACGGATTAGTGGAACGATTCCACCGTCAGCTGAAAGCAGCCATAATGTGCCACGCTGATTGCAACTGGGTAGACTCATTGCCTTTGGTGTTATTAGGCATTAGAAGTGCATTTAAGGAAGACCTCCAAACTTCTTCCGCCGAATTGGTGTATGGCGAGCCATTACGTTTGCCCGGGGAATTCTTCCTCCAGGCAACGTCCCCCCACTCCACCGACGTTTCGGAGTTTACCACTCGCTTGCGCCGATACGTATCAAAATTGCAACCAGCACCAGCAGCACGGCACAATAAAGGTAACATCTTTATTTATAAAGAGTTGACTTCTGCCAGTCACGTATTTTTAAGGGACGACACAGTACGTGGGGCATTGCAGCCACCCTTCACCCGGTCCCCATGAAGTATTGGAGCGAGGGGAAAAGACCTTCAAAATACAGGTCAAAGGGAAACGTATGACGGTATCCATAGACCGCCTCAAGCCAGCCTACATATTGTCTCACACACCTGATTCCCCTTCCACCACCACGCCCAATTCCCATCCTAGTTCCCTGCCTGACCCTGTTCCTATAGGGCAAAATACCACACCACAGGATCGCGTCAGAAGAACGCGTTCGGGCCGCAGAGTCAGATTCCCCGATTTTTATCGCCCGTAGTAACGGTCTCCGGGGGGGAGTGATGTGGCGGCTAAATATTTAAAATAAATATCTATTTGTTTATAATATTTATTCATTAAATCTTATTTTATATATGTTTCTCATATCTATATTAAGTATATATTATTTTCACATATTTTATTATTAATCACATTTAGCGCATTAATGCAATGTTTACGATCGTTATCAACGGTCAGCTGTGCCGCGATGCGACGCGGCTCACCTAACGTTTTTTATGTACGATTTACCGATCGGGCGCCCGGCAACAGCGATTCCGTCCGAGCCCGTGCTACGTCATAAGATACTCGCGAGACGCGGTACATTAAGTCCTATTGCCAGTCGCTTGTTGCTTCCCGCTGCGCTTACGCTTTATCAGATATTACGTGTTGTCATAGTTCCGCTGTACTTTGCTTATTTTCGCTATCCTCTTTTGTTATTGTTTTGTGCTATCTTTTACTCCTTCTGACTTTCTTTTGTGGTCGTATATGTGTGTAGACAATAAATGTTGTGAACAGTGTATTGACTTTATATATTCACCCGACACACACGAACTCACTTCCACCGCCTACCAAATTTGTACCAGTACTTTCGTACTGCATGAATATAATGTATAAACCATATTCATTTGGCTAGGTCTTACAGCGGTGAAGCCAAGAGCATTGCGTAGCAACGTTGGGTCGGCTGGTAATATAATTTTCGGTAGGTGGCGTATTGAGCCAACTCTGGATGCGTGCAAGGACAGTGCGGTGGGTGTGATAGAGTTAGAGCCACTCTCCTAGTCCTCTGCAACCGAAGTAGAGTCGCGGGGGAAGATGAGGGTATTTCGTGGCTACTCTTCATTATTTTTAGGGTTCCGTACGCAAAGGGCAAGGTAAAACAGGACATTATTACTAACACTCCGTTGTATGTCTGCCTGTCACCAGGCCGTATCTCATGAATCGTGATAGTTAGACAGTTGAAATTTTCACAGATGATGTATTTCTGTTGCCGCTATAACAACAAATACTAGAAAAAAAGAATAAAAAATATTTCAATGGGGCTCCCACACAACAGAGATCATTTTTTTTTTCATTTTTATAGATAATGGTACGGAAGACTTCGTGCGCGAGTTCGACTCGCTGTTGGCCGGTTTTTATTTAATATGTTCACGGTTATTTTGTTCAAAACAAGAAATCGTGCAGTGTCACGTATATTTCTTTTGTCGTGCATATTTACTTACCCTCTCAATGGGTTCAAGTGTGTTCATCGTTCCGTATATAATAATTAAGTACAATAACATCGGTGTTTACAGTGATATAAATACTCACGTTCGTCATTATTAATTTAAAATAAATGACAAACACTGTAAATTTTCCGAAACTTCGGGAATTTAAAACGAGATAAAATCCGTAAAATACTTTTAAATTACTCAAATTAATTACGTAAAATACTATTAACGTAAATACAAGAAATCATTATACATAAGACAGTTTTTTGTTATCCGCACGATTCAATGACGCCTTCGTTGCGTCTCTGAGAGGCGGTTTCTCGATGTTAAGTCGCGAGTTCAGATTCCAAAGGTCTGTTCCAATAGTTTTCAGTTATCCGGTTTTTTGTGTCCAAAATCCTGTCTCTGTTAACTTATCAAAAATATCTTTATGCGTATACAGTACAGCGATAGATTGAATACCCAATATTTGCATATTTACTATAAAAATGCATTGTAATGACGGGACTTGATAAATAATAAAGATGTTTGCAGTTTTATGATACATTTATTACTTTTATAGTTTAAAATACTTCCATATCCGTAAATATATGAGAAAAAGTAAATGATACTTATCTTACTTATACTTAGGAAATATAGAAATTGCTTCAAATATTATGATTGAAAGATGTTACTTGTAAATCAGTAAAAGTCTCTCAGTCTTTCTATTAAGGATCAAGTGGGAACAACAATACCAAGTTGTTATTGTTGTCTTGTTGATCGAAGCTTGATAAAATTTATTTTGAATAACTTTATTTATTCCCTTTCGCTTAAACTATCATTTATATAATTAATATGACTTAAAAATGTATTGGTCATTGTAACACTATGTATTTCCTATAATTAAGGGTACATGCTTCAAGCTCTTTTTCAATAACACTAATGGTGCTACTTCTGCGGTGGTAAATTGTGGTGCTGTGGTGCTGGTGTTGGTGTTAGACGAGGGGGTAGGAGGCGACACTAGCGATGCCGCAGTTGTTGTCGCGGTTCCGCGCCATCTTGATGTAGCCCTGTTCGCCCCAAGAGAGGCCCCAGGAGTTCTTCACCAGCCAGTAGTCGCCACCGTTCTCATCGGTGCCGTACCCTACCACCAGCACCTTCAAAAAGGAAGCCGTGTAACACTTTTTTTTCGACGCCTCGTACCCTTAAGATTCGAGTGCCTTATATTGGCAATCCATGGTGGATCGTATAGCGATATCTATCGTGAACAATACAATTTAGTTGAATGGGATCCTTAGAAAATCTATATTTCATTTATCATAGATGGCGTTAGGTCACCTTGTTGTTTTGTCTTTGTTTATTTCCTTAGATTATTTCGGTACTAGTGATTTTATTGTCTTATATATAATATATAAGACAATAAAATATAAATATAAAATACTATCATTTTAATTATGTTGAACTGATATCAAGCAAATTTGTTTTTACATAATTTTCGATTAGAAACATTGTCTTGTTTAGCATAGTCTGTTGTTTGTATCATCTGTCGTTCCTGCGAGAACGGCAGTCAGCTTCGTCTTGATCGTATCTTTTTTTTTGTATTGATTTCTCTTTCTATTTCTATTCTACTGTATCTCGCTGATCTGCTTTTCTCTGATGGCTTGATATCGAACCACGTGTTCGCCTAATATGCAACTGCATATATACTAAGAATCTGAGGTCCTGCTGTCCACGTGCAACTTGAAGCCGCGGACTAGCTGAATGCCCCTCGGTGGCATTGTGAGCATTGCTAAGCTGAAGTCTTCACACTTATTTGGAAACTAGGAAGGCAAGCCTGGTTCCTTCTGGTATGTTTTTGCTCTAATCTATATCTAGCCATTAAACTGATGATTGTGTTTATATACTGCTATCTAACGGTGATTAATCTAATGTACTCCCAAATCTTAATCTTGATATAATATAATGCCTGATTGGTGAGATCTCACTCTTTTCAATATCTTTAAATTGATATAGTTTAGTTTTATATATTCAAACCTTGTATCAATAAATTCTAAAACTGTTAAGTAATATATCTTTTATTTCCACTAAGTAAATCCCTTAGAATAAGCATTATTCTGTCTTGCACGGGGCGGGCTGGCGCCTATTTAATATAAATTCTGTCCGTCCCCGTGACTGGGTCACCGAGCCTCACCCTGTGGTCTCGATCGGTCCGATTGAGTCAGCCGGAGCGAACCCCTACACCGATCTCCCACTGGTGGAGCCGGGGAGGATGTTTCAGCCGAACGTCAATTGTATTCTTAACTACAAAGTAGAATATCAAGTGTCGTACTATATGATTTTTTAAAAGAACAAGATAGAACAAGCCAATACAAACTATTATATTTTCTATCGTGGGAGTACCAGCTTAGGGTTGCCCCCTCTCTGCCGAAAGAGCTGGTGCAGACCATTTAGTTTATTGGTAGCAGTAAGTAAATCTGATATATAACGTTTTTTAAAGGTTGACAATGCATCTGCAAGCTCTCCGGAGTTGTAGATCCATGGGCGGCGGTAATCACTTAACATCAGGTGCACCGCCTGCTGGCTTGACCACTTTTCACATCCTTACTATCCTTACTAATATTATTAAGGCGAAAGTTTGTATATATGCATGGATGTTTGTCACTCTTTCACGCAAAAAGTACTGAATAGATTTTAATGAAACTACAATAATATAGCTTATACATCAGAATAATACATAGGCTATAATTTATAAAGATATTGTTTGAATTGTCCAAAATATAGGTGATATTCTGGTGTATGATAAAAAAACATTGTTAATTCCCTTTGGGCGCGCGGGCGAAGCCGTTAATATTATTTCGTTCCATACAAATAACGACTCGTGGGCTCTAGCCACTTTAATTGAGCTGTAGTATTGGGGGTTGCCACAATATTAACCTAACCATAATACATATAATATTTTTAATATAAGCACTTTGTCACCATGACCATTAATTTCACTATAGAAGAGTCCCATTGAAGTTAAATTGCCTGTAGTAACATGCCGATACAACGGTATGATGACGGCTTGATTAATACACAATGTAATTGAAATGTTAACTAATTGTCATGGTATCCAGTTAACCAATGCTCGTCTGAAAAACAAAACACATTGAACATAGATGAGGGCACAATTATTGGATTTGTTATTATTACGACGATATTAATTTTTATAGCGCAATGAATTTTTTTAAAACTGAAAAGTTCTTCACCGTTGCGAGGATTTGAACCTGTGTCCTGCATGATACGCGTTCGGCGCCCTCGCCACTGAGCTAAACGCCTTATCGTCACACTGACGAAAATCTCAATGTATTTTATCTACTTCGTTTTTTATTAGGTTTTAAGCAATGTTCGGCGTTACTAGTGTGTTTCCTTTTCTTTCCTTTACACATAAAATTTATACCATTTAATCATCATTATTATATATTATTGTTTTATAATTAAATATTTGAAAACTGGAGTTGAATCTTTTGCTATTAATTTTTTTAAAGTATATTAATTTTTTATAGTGCTATTCTCTGCACTTAAGTTATTTTTGTATATAATATTTGTGTACGTAAAACATACATAATTATAATGTTACCAGGATAATGTTACCTCACGGTAATGGAAACGTTAAAAATAATTGAGGAACTCACCGCGTGGTCCAGGTTGTCGGTAGAGCAGTTCTCCTCGTAGTAGACGCCGTCAGAGTAGAGGTGGAAGCTGTCGTGAGATGCGTCGATGGCTACAGAAACGGGCCCCACGGTTGCCACCGCTTGCATCAGCCTCTCCTCGTGGCCGCTAGGGATGTCCACGATGCCCACGTCCTCGGCACCGGAGTTCTTGGGGTTGTAACTGGTTGCAGAAGTGCGAATGCCTTTAAAAGTATGATGACTTCGTGGCGCCGATGTCAAGGTATTGGCTTCGGCGTCGGGGTCTTGGGTTCGATTACCACACGGGAATATAAAAAATACATATACTATTTGTATGACAAATAGTTTATGTATTTTCTCGCAATAATAAATAAAAGCGAAGGTACTGCTGGTTATAGCTGAAGATGTCATTGAGCATGCGAGCGCAGTTGGGTTGATAAGATTTGAATCTATGAGATAATTTGATCAGCTTTATGGATAGTTGATATGTTTAAGTCATTGAGGGAACTAAGCCCGTAATTGAGACAGCCTGAGCGACTGTTGAAGACAAATGGCGTGTAAGTAGTCTCGGTGTTTGGTACTACTGGCGGACGGGGGTTGCTTTAGGCCACATTGTTAAAAGAGCCGTGATACATCAGTGTCCGGGTGCTCGCCTTTAATTCAATGTATTCGAGCAACCTGAGTTCGATCCCTTGTGCCCGCACCAATGAAGTTTTTAAATTTAAGTGCTGACTTATCACGTGCTCCGCGGTGAAGGAAAACATCGTGAAAAAACCTGCATATTTTCGAAATAATAACAAAAAAATATATATTTCGAACATATGTGAAGTCCGACAATCCGCAGTGGGGCCGCGTGGTGGAATATGCCCTGATACCCTCTGTATAGAGGAGGCCTTTGCCCAGCAGTGGCAAATGTATAAGCTGTTTCATTACTTTACTTTTTTTACATTGGCGTAAAGTTCGACCTCACCGGCACTTGTCGTCCACCGCCTCGTAGGGGTAGCTGCGCTCAGTGTCGATCCCGCGGTTGTCCTTTATGTATTTGAAGGCGTTGTCCATCATGCCGCCGTTGCAGCCATCGTTCCCGTAAGCGGTCGAACAGTCCACCAGGTTCTGCTCCGAGAGGGAGACCAGTTTGCCGGTCTTGCGGTAGTGTTGGCCCTCCAATGCGCCGGTCTGTTGCCGGCAAACGGTTCGGTGAAATAAGGCATAGGATAGTTCGGTTTTCTGCACAATTATTTTAAGAAAATATCGATTATGAATGTGTAAACCAGTAAATTATATGTAATGACTCAATTTTACAAGTAAGACGGAGAAGGAGGAGGGAGGAAGGATTCGATCCCCGAAAAAAAAACCCGAATACGTTTCTGAGTATTTTTTTATTTTGATATACCCAGTGTCACTCTCACAGTAAATACGAATCTAACGACACCTCTCAAGCTAAAATCCATCAAGCCGTTCAGGATGCGGAACGTGCCAAACAATTATACATACAAACACAGCCCTCCTTCTGGCGCAGTCGGGTAATAAGAGCACGCGAAACTCACCGTGCTAAATGACCAGCAGGAGCCGCACCTGCCCTGGTCCTTGACGTCGGTGACGGCCCCCTGCTCGCGCCAATCCACCTGCTCCGGGTAGCGGACGTTCGCCGCCGGCAGGAAGGTGGCGCTGCGGTGCTCTGAGCCCTTGCCGTAGAGGGTATGGTTGCTCCTGATCGAATAGAAACCTTCGGGAAGCTAGGGCTACTAGCGTGAGACTTTCGCACCTCACGCGTTTTAGAGAGCGACCCGCTGTGGCACTCTTAATTTAATATTACATCGCGCTTATATAGAAAAACCGGCCAAGTGCGAGTCGGACTCTCGCACGAAAGGTTCCGTATCGTTATCTTTAAATACGGCAAAATCATGTCTTTTGTATGGGTGTCCCAATTAAAATTTTTTTATTCTGTTTTTCAGTATTATTGTATTTGTTGTTATAGCGGCAACAGAAATATATCAACTGTTAAAATTTCAACTGTCTAACTATCACGGTTCGTGAGATACAGCCTGGTGACTGACATACAGACGGACAAACGGAAAGACAGACAGACCGCGAAGTCTCAGTAAAAGGGACACGTTTTACTCTTTTTCAATATCTCTATTCACTGTGAAACATACATGTGGTATCAATATTAAAATGCAATAAATTCAAATTAGAAAAAATAACGTTCATATTTTCGTCCAAATTCTGCGAAAACCTTTTCGCCCAATTTTTCTACAAATTTAAACTTCCTTTCCTAAAATTTTACTTACGTGCATATATTAGCACAATAAAAATAATATCATGCAATAATATAATATTAGCTTGAAGGAGAAGACAAATAGATTTTCTGTAGATGTGTATACGGATATTTATGGTTTTCACAATTTGTATTGTACAGAATACAGAGAAAGATGAAAATTTATAAAAAGAGAGTTCTTAAGAACGTCAATACATCATATCTAACGTTCATATGACGATTTTAGTTGTACGAATTTAATATAGAAAATGAAGAGATAAGATATTCTACAATATACAATATATATATATATATCTACTCAACAATTATTGGTTCCAAACAGTGTAGACATGTAAAATTCATATGAATTTTATGATATAATAATCGAAAACCAGACTATTATTTCCGTTTAGGACAGCTTAGTAAAAGTGGGTGATATCTAAAATATTTGCGATCTAGTAACAACAAAGTTATAAACTTTATAACAGCGCTCGCTAATGAACCAACGCCTAGAGGAAGCGAGAGGGTAAGTGATTTAGAATGCGGTGCGGTCGAGACAGCATATTCATTGGCTTAGTTCGCCATTATTTCCAGGAACTGTTGAGCTACGGGATACTCACCTCACGGTCCTGTTAAAGCCGTTCATGGTGTGCACAAACTCGATGTGCAGCATGTCGGAATACTTGTTAAGCTTCAGGCGGTAAGTGACAAGGCCCTGGGCGAAGCGCTGGTTGTGCTTCGCTATCTTGTGCTTGTTCTCGGCGTATATCTTCATCCGGAACCTGTCTTCGATCTCGCTCCTGTACTCCTTCTTGTGCTCCATCTGATATCGACAGGCCTGGGTGTTATATCCGACCTAGCTGCTCGTTGGCGATGCTTTATGTAAAGAACGGTTTCTGGAACTGGGAACTGGGTAAGCACGCGACATTATTGCTGGTTTGTTGCTTGCTTGATAGTTGACTAAACTAGTGGCGTTTGCAAATTAACGACATCTGCTTGTGACACTGATGCTGGTATGGGGGTAATGTTATTTATTCATAGTAGGCTGAATAACTTCAAATTTAATAAAGAAACCTCGACCTTGAACGGCAATTGTGTGCAATACTGTTATGGTACAATTTAAAAAGAAAAAAATCTGATTGAAAATCTACGCTCACGATAAATTAAAATAAACATCTTAACATTATCTCAGTGTGAAATAGCCATCTCAGCCCCGAACTGATAGGAGAGATTGTTTATGTTGTAAAAGTTCAATAAAGTTTAAAAAAAAGTAGTTTACAGATTTTATCGGGGCCTATTTTAATTTTAAACTCGGGACGTTTTGAATAACTTAACAGCATGCCGACGCGTGAATAGTTTAAACTAATCGAAACGTCAAGATTTTCAAAAATAATCTTTAAACTTATTTAATACCAATTCTATATTTTTATTAACGAAAAACAAAACCGACTTTAAATATCTCGCTCTGTATTCATTTTATAATTGATTTTCAGGATTTCCCTAAGTATCTCTGGAGCCCAAGATCCAATACCAATGAAATTAATATGGGAGTACATGTGAAGCACCAGCTTTCAAATAAAAAAAGAACCATCAAAATCGGTTCGGTTAAGTCAGACGAAAGTTCTGAGGTACGAAAAAAAAAATATAGTCGAATTGAAATTTACGATAGTTGGATAACATTTTAAAATACATCTCCAAAGGAATTATAAAAACTGTTATCTTTACAATAACTATCTGAACATCAACGGCAGTCAACATAGTAACTTTGCTTTCTTATGCATAGGACTTGGTTCATCATCGCATATAGCGACCCGTTTGGCATAGTGGGTAGTGAACCTGCCTCTTTTGCCAGAGTTTGTGGGTTCGATCCCCAGTACTGGAAAAATATTTTGTGATGAACATAGTGTTTTTCCAATGTCTGGCTGTTCATATATGTATAATATGTATTTATATACAAAAGAAATGTAAGTTTAAGTATGTATGTATGTATATCTAATACCCATAGTACACGCGTTGCCTAGTTTGGGCCTCGAAAACGTTATATAAAAATGTGTCCTAAAATATACAGAGTGATTTTTGGACGAAGTACATACTTTGACCTAATGTTAATTGAGCGTTCCATAATTGAAAAAAAAATATTTTACTTTAACAAGAAATAACCAGAAAAATCTTAATTCAAACATTGTTTGTGTTGGCAACACTAAAAGAAGTGTCATTCTATGTGGTTTAGATAAAGCTGCACGAAGCATTTCATGGCTTTTTCTTTGGCTGTAATCAAGAAGTATACACGATAGTGCTGCCCAATCAGGGTAGTATCAATTGGTAAAAGAATTTACATTTCTACCGTATATAAATATAAGTAACATTTGTTTATCCCGTTAAGAGTGGTCACCCTATTGATAGGCGGTTAAGTAAGTATGCGTTCAGCGAAAAGTTTTAGTGCTCGTCAATAGGTTATTGTATTGAGACGGTAAGGTAGGAATTTCTTAAGATGTCCATAATGTTTGAAAAAAGTAAAAATAGTCTTTGAAAAAAAAAATGAGGTCACAAGTACCTCAATGTATTGTAATCTGTATCTGGTATAGTACCAGATTCAGATTTAGAATCCAATTCTGCATATGCTCTGTTAATCTGTCCGTCGTCTATAAAATCACCCTGTATTTATGAAAGGACGAATCTAACCAATGAAAAAAGCAGTACCTTAAAGGCGTTCCACTCCTCCTTGAGTAGGTCGAAGAAGGAGACGGCATTTGCCGTCGCCACCACGCAAAGCAGCACCACCAAGCCCCTCATTCTGAAACAAGATTGAACAATGTCGCGTCGTCGTCGATAGTCTGATGCAGATCTACACACTGCTTACGTTCTTTTTTGTGTGAGAAGGTGGCAAGCAATTGGTGGTTACCTGATTGCAACACCCGTAGTTTCGCAGGTTGCGTTGCAACCTTTTAATAAAGTGGGCCCCCAGCCACCTCACCCACCAGACGAAACGCGTACGTACGACGAACGTATAATACTTCCAATTCACGCCGGTCTTCTGTGAGGTCGTAGTACTTACCCGGACGGATCTGCCCATTCGTGCAACAGCCGAAGCTGCTGCTCAGTAAAAATTCGCGACTCTACCTCAGTAAAAATTCTTATGACTGGAGGTGCTCAATAGAGAAGCGCCCAAAATCCCAACCCATGAGACTACATCATAATAATGCATTTGTCAAAACTAAACTGACCATACGCCCCGTTTTGAACGGGACTGTCCTTTTTCTTGGACAGCTGTCGCACGCAAAATTGTCCCGTTTTACTGCGCAAAATTTTAATATTATCGCGCTTGTCAGCTTCCATTTACTGTACGAAGTTTAATTGTTAAACTGAAAGATAATGGCACTAATATTGATAAAGAAATTGTGGAAGGTACGGCTACAGAATTTTATAAAACAAGCCGGGAATATGTGGAACAGTGGACTTGCTTTCTTTCTAAGGAGATGGAGATATTGCATTGGGCAGATTTATGGAAAGTATTTGCCTGTAAAGATATTGAAAAAGCACTGGATACAATTGGGAAGGGATTTATTGACTGTAATAAAGATTCAAGAGGTATTAAAGAGGTATTTGACGAATTTACATTAATTTCCAACTAAGTGACTTCTCAAAAAGTAAACGAGCGGAATAATTTACAATTTTTGAGAAAAATCATTTTCAGGTTCATTTCTAAAGATGATGTTGTTAACAAAGGTCCATAAAAAGGGGGCCTAGAATTTTATTCTCATTTAAAATGTCATCAACTATAATAACTTTGTTCCTTTGAGAAATATAAATACTAAAAAAACACCCATGTTAGTTGAACTTTGCTTTAACAAAAATGTTGAACTGATGATGATTTTTCTTTATATCAATTAATTTTTAACCTTTTCTGAATAAAGAAAATTAAAAAGTTATGTTTATTTTCATTGTTAACTCATGTCTCGGTTTGAGTGAAAAAATAAATGGTCAGTTTAGCCAAAACTCATGTGTTAAGATTAATAATAAACAAAGAAACAAGATATAAACCGATGGATCTAATCCAGCATCTTAGAAATCATCAATGATATTTAATCTTATTAAAATAATCTAACACTCACCTCGAATTTTAACAGGATAAAACTAAGTTAATTATAATTTTCTAGAAGAAAAACGTTAAAACCAGTTTAAAGAAAGGTTATTAAACTATTAGAAGTGCGGTTCTTCCAGATCGTAGATTTAGTATGTCAAAAATTGATAGAAAGCTTTATATTTATTGCGATTGAAAAATTTGAATCATCATTCAAGCATTCACCGCGAACGATAGCAGTGTACGTAGGCTAGAGACGTGAACTAAAAGAATTTAAATATTTAACTGTTATTTAAGCAACGAAATAGCGTCTATTTAAAAAAAAAAGTTGGGTACGCTCAAATGGTTATTTATATATAACAATATACATGTATTGATGTGATGACATATATATAACAAAAAGTAAAGTAATAGCCTGTATTATTCACACTGTTGGGCAAAGGCGTCCTCTGTAGCGCCCGGGTGTTGGGAATGTCCATGGGCGGCGGTTATCACTTAACATCAGTTGAACCGCCAGCTGTATTGTCAAATTCTCAGATAAAAAAGTCATCCCTGTGACTTTGTAGATTGATCCCTGTGGGGGATAGATCACAGCGACTCACATAACTTTTGCCCGGTTTCTGAAACACTCATCATCGTAGAAGTTAACTGAGACCAACAATTCTGATCATTAAGAAGATCATTCTGATCAATTCAGGGAGTTTAACAATCCTTTAGACAACTCAAATAACAAAAGCCATTTGACAGCTGATTATTTGACTTCTACGATGATCAGTGTTTCAGAAACCGGATGTTAGTAACGCGCTGCTGCTCTGCCAATAGTCATAGTATGAGTTATATTCGTTTAATAATAATAATAATAAAATATCTTTATTCACATAGACGCTTGCGCGTTCTTATGAAACGTCAAAATTTTACAAAGAAATTAATACGTTCGTAAGTAACCACCGGTTCGGAAGGCAGTTTCTGTTGAGAAGAAACCGGCCAGAAACTCAACAGTTGCTATTTTAAAAAAAATCAGTTTACAATATAATAGTACAGGTACAATAGTCTTGTTTTAGCCTACGTGAGTATCAACAGTATTAACCCCACACATTGGCGTCTTCAAGATATTCGGCAATAGTATAATAGGCTTTGGCCATAAGTTTACTTTTAATTTTTCGTTTAAATTCATCAAGTGGCAGACTTAATATCGATTGTGGGATTTTATTATACATGTAACGTTTGTAAACATACCACACAATCTTCAACAGATTCGTTCTTATAGCTACATCAATTATCGAACTGTCATTTATTGATCTCTTAAATTAAATAATACTTACCAGCAGTGAACACAAATAAAACATGGAAAATTTCTCTCAGTTGCATCTAATTAATGAGAATTATCCGCCTCATAATCGTTTGTTCTATTAGAAAGTAGATTCCCTAACAAATTAAAAACTTTTATACCACCAATTCAATTAATTTCCTGCAACGATAACATACGTCAGTTGTCTCTGTTTAATCAGCAGTTTAAAGTTTTAATTCACGATCGACATATGTTTTTATAAAGGAACTGCGCAAACGTTGACACTTTTGTGTCTTGTGTGGGTTCCGGTGGATATGAAATCACTCTCTCCGAAGAACTATAAAGTTTTAATGTTCAGTTGCTCCAACTTGACACATATCGATCGCCAATTAAAACGTGTTCGGTGGAGGACTCTGGAAACTAGAAGTCGCCAGTTGAAGACACAAACAACATTAATAAATTTTCGTACAATTGGCGTCGTGTAAATGGACGAGTTGCATTCAGTGTCCATATCCTGTGTCCTACACAAGCCATGAACGCCATCGACGTCTACTTTGACATATAATCCGCACAACAAGCAAAGGTAATAAATTCTTTTTATAGTGCTAATCTCTGCACTTAAGATTAAACATTAAAATTTGTAGATAAAAGACGTCACGATTTTCGTCGGTGTGGCAATCAGCCGTTTAGCTTAGTGGCTAAAGCGTCAGGCCACGAATGCCGAACACGTGGGTTCGATACCCACAGCAGCTACAATCTTTTCCACAAATTTTAAAGCAAAGGTAATGTTTATTTATCCATATTCATCGTGAAATTGACGGAAAGCAAGCAAAGAATTGTAACCAGTGACCAGAGGTTGCAACCGGTAACTGTGTGCGATGGTCATCACCAGACACAGAAACTACGGTTTCGTAAGGCAACCGGCGCTAAACTAAATTTGCACATAATTACCCTAAAATGCATTGTAAGGAACTTGATAAGTAATAAAGATGTTTGCAGTTACGTTAAAAAGATCCACTGAATTATAAATCCCACTTATTACTATGCCACAGCTATAATATTATCGACATGTTCATATTTGCAATTTCATCAATCGCTATAGCAATAAAACTAGGTAATATTTCTAAAAAATATGCGTTTATTAAAACTTACTCAATATTCGCATCACAAAATTGCTAATTTATCACATCAGCTACAAAAATTACGAAAACGAAGAATTTCAAGGTGAAAGCACTGTCCTTATTGAATTTTTAATAAAAATCTGCACTAATTCTAAAAATGATAATAAGAGAAGTGTAAATGTCAGATCGTAAGAACAAACAATTTAAAATAATGTAATGTCATGGCAAAAGAATGACTGTAAAGTGAAATATTTAAAATGAAAATCTCCATACATAATTATAATTCTTCTATGAGCGTGTATGTCACTGAACTCCTCCGAAACGGATGGACGGATTTTAATGAAATTTTTTATGTGCCTTCAGGTCGATTCGAGAATGGTTTAGATTCAAAATTCGGTCCACTACATTTTTTTTATTTTTTTTTATATACAAGCTGTTGTCGGATTTAAGTCGTGTGTACAGGACGTCTGTTGGGTCCGCTAGTATACATATATAAAAGCTTAATTTGTCTTATCGTTAGTTTTATAGAAAACAGGTACTCTCATATCCTAAGAAAAATAATTATAGGTAGGTTCAGCTTTTATGCGAGGTGTCTGATGTCTCCCGAAGTCTCTGGATTTTAAACAAACACAACAAGTTTATTTCTACCCTTTTTCACTTAAAATATCATATATTTAATTGATATTACTTAAACGTGTACATGCAAATGCTTAAAAATATTAGATGCTTCAATGGCACTTCGGTGTTAGTGATGTGGTGTTGTGGTTGGTGTTAGACGAGGGGGTAGGAGGCGATACTGGCGATGCCGCAGTTGTTGTTGCGGTTTCGCGCCATCTTGATGTAGCCCTGTTCGCCCCAAGAGAGGCCCCAGGAGTTCTTCACCAGCCAGTAGTCGCCACCTTTCTCATCGGTGCCGTAGCCCACCACCAGCACCTTAGGAAGGAAGCCAAACTTCATTTGTGATCTAAACTACAAAGTAGAATATAAAATTGATTGCACCATCACTACATGGTATAAAACAAAGTCGTCCCGCTGTCTGTCTGTCCATATATATGCTTAGATCTTTAAAACTACGCAACGGATTTTGATGTGGTTTTCTTTAATAGATAGAGTGATTCAAGAGGCAGGTTTATGTGTATAATTCATGCATAATATGGTATACAAACACTGACAATTTTAGAGGTTTCTAATGCGATGTCGAAAACAAATATTCAGCATTGCACCCATGAGAAGCCGGGGCGGGTCGCTAGTATGATTTATATACAAGTACAGTATGATCTCAGACCAATTAATTATTGTCAAATGAAATTTCAAAACCCTTTCCAGCGTTCATCGTCACGGGACAGTGTGTACCGTGACCATGAACATAAAAGGATTCGAAACGAGAATTTCAAAATCTGATTAAACCCAATAACATTAATAAAATAGATTCATTTAACAATGTATAATATTTGCGTAAAAACAAGAAATCAATAAAAAAGTACCCTTTTAATTGGCCCGAGGACAGGATAGAAAAAGTTAATAAAAGCTACCATATTGTAAATCAGGAGATTTACTCCGCCTTCTTTAGAGGGCTCTTTTTTAGCTTATGGGTGGATGGCATGAAGTTAATCTGATTTATAGATATGACATTCTATAAGTTTCAGTCAGCCGGGAGTTCTTATCGAACGGAAACGAGTTTGGGTGAAGTTGAGACGGGGTTAAGATTAGAATTTTGAGATTGGATAGAGCAAGCGAGTTATCAAACAGTGAAACGGGAAGGAGGAGACCAGACGGATTAAGGTTCGGTCTGCGGAGATAGACCTCTGGCAAAGTCATCGCATTTCTAAATCCATTTCAATTGGACTAGTTGTTGATTATACTACGGTGATGGAAAATTTCATGAAGATCTCTGTGAGTGCGCAAGCGTTGGCAAATACATGAAACACTTCTCAGAAGGTAAGGTTTCATATTTTTTAAAGTTGTGTCTAATCGCTCTGAGATCTTACTGTAATACATACAACAAGCGATAATGTCATTAAAAATAAATTGTGCCTAATAGTTCTGGGATCTTACCCTAATACATAAAACAAAAGATAATGTCATCCTCCAATAAAGGCGACGTTAAAATAATAAACGAGAAGGCCCCACCCCGTGATCCAGGTTGGTCGCTGAGCAGTCCTCCTCGTAATAGACACCGTCAGAGTAGAGGTGGAAGCTGTCGTGAGAGGCGTCGATGGCCACGGACACGGGCCCCACGGTTGCCACTGCCTGCATCAGCCTCTCCTCGTGGCCGCTGGGGATGTCCACGAAGCCCACGTCGTCCGCACCAGAGTTATTTGGGTTGTATCTGGTTGCAGAAGTGAAAATGCCATTAAGAATTATTGACGACCAGTACTTATTGGGATTCATATGAAAATGAGTAAATGTTTATTACAGTTGGGGCACGCGGCATGTTCTGCTTTTGACCGAATGGGGAAAGAAGACCAGGTGGACCTCTTAAACTTTTGCGTCTCGTCAGATGATTGAGGTTACAAGTAGCCTAATCGTTTTTTACAGCAGGGGTGAGCAACCTTTTTAATCAATGGGCCAATTTAAATTTCAAATTTTTTTGGCGGGCCGCACATAATAATTTAAGAAAATTTATTTATAATAAATATTAGAATAAAAAAATATAAAATTAACGAAAAGTATAGATTTCATATACAAATTTTAATGCAAGGTAAAAACAAACAAGAACAGAAAAACGAACAAAAAATATTTCGGTTCAGTATGTACTACCATTTTATTATAATTAATTTTATAACAATATATTGATGGGAGAAATTCGATAAAATAAATTCAATTTTAGAAATGCTTGGCGGGCCGCATAAACATGCGTTGCTCATACGTGGTTTACAGGATTCTGTAAACCCGCAGCTTCCTCACGAAACACTTAAAATTTTCACGTTAAACAAAAAGGAAACGGAATCTGGGTACGAACGAGAAACGCGAATCTTTTTTTTAAAGTGAACTCTTGGCAAGCCCGTGGACATCTTAACATTAGGAGTTATCGCGGACGCGTTGCCGACTTTATAAAAGCGGGCTCCGCGGTTACCTCACTCAGCATTCGTAACTGATACGGCGGTGGCTACGGCCCTGGTGAGGTCTAGGGGCATAAGCCATGGCTCATAAACCAGCTTTGCAGCCTGCGGGTGGATTTTGGGCCCGAATTAAATTAAGGCCGTTGGGTTTACGGGGGTCGTTTTAGCCCGGGGCAAAGTGCAATCTTACCTGCAATTATCATCCAACGCCTCGTAGGGATAGCTTAGCTCAGTGTCGATCCCGTTGTTGTACTTGATGTATTTGAAGGAGTTGTCCATCATGCCGCCGTCGCAGCCGTTGTTACCGTACATCCTAGAGCAGTCGATCAGGTTCTGCTCCGAAAGGGAGACAAGGTGGCCACTCTTGCGGTAGTGCTGGCCCTCCAAAGCGCCCGTCTGTTACCGAAGGACGGTTGGGTCTCGTTGGTCATAAATTCAGTATCGTTTAGAATTATTTTAATACACTAGCGACCCTAGCTACCGACGCCGATGCCAATAGCTTAGCAAAGGTGTCACTGAGTCGGGATTGCATATCACTACATAGTATAAAACAAAGTCATCCCGTTGTCTGTCTATCAATCAATCAATCAAAAATCTTTATTCAAATAGACGCTTGCGCGTTCTTATGAATCGTCAAATTTTACATAAAAAATTATACATGTAGGTTCGTAGGGTACCACCGGTTCGATGTATCCCTATGTATGCTTAGATCTTTACAACTATGCAACGGATCTTGATGCGGTTTTTTAGAGTGATTCAAGAAGAAGGTTTATGTGTATAATACATTACACCGAAGCCGGGGCGGGTCGTTACTTCTAAATAAATTAAAAACTTTCTGAAAAATGCAAGCGACATTCATATACGGTTATGAATAGATTTTTCTTTCGGATTTTCGATAGTTTTTTTGAAAGTTTCGGAGGTTTATTGAATTAATAGGGCGGCATAAAATGACGGATGACTAATATGTTATTGGTTAACACTAGCTAGTTTAAATAGCCATTAACGTATGTGATACCCGTTACTGGGGGCTAAAATTAACAAAGGTAATTAAGGATAATGATCCCTAAGTACTACAAACGTCTCGACGCTGAGAAGATAAACTGTACTATATGCGGTTGTAAACATAATGCGACTGTGTATATAAAAATATTACAAACATTGTCATCATAGTCAACACAGTAGAGCCCTCATAAATATGATAAGGATGTTATTAAGCGCAACTGTTTTCATTTTTATATCGCGTAATTACAAGAAATAGTTAACAATGTTACTAATTAAGCTACGTATAAGCGGCTTACATTTATCACTAGAAATACCTTTTGAGGGTTTGAAATTTGCGAAAATTTTGAAATATTGATACACGACTTACACGGAAGAAGTTACACAAAAACATAGTCCAAAACCGCTCGTATCGTACGGTTTTTGGTCAAGTTAATCTTGTAGATGTTTTAAGTACAAATTCCTTCATTAATTCCTTCATCAAATATACTGCCCATATTGTACCTCACATTGATTCCACGAGTTCGATACGATCCCCGCATTGAGTAGGGGGCGCGCGTGCAACACTTACCGAGCTAAATGCCCAGCAGGAACCGCACCTGCCTTGGTCCTTGACGTCGGTGACGGCCCCCTGCTTGCGCCAGTCGACCTGATCCGGGTACTGGACGTTCGCCGCCGGCAGGAAGGTGGCGCCGCGGTACTCGGAGCCCTCGGGGTGGAGGGCCTGGTTTTGCCTGAACGGAAATCTTTCGTAAGCACGGAAACTGGCACGGGACTTGCGCTTTACGCGTATTAGAGAGGAACTGCCCACGGCACACTGAATTGCACATTATCTCGCGCTTATGAACGACACGTATCCATCCTTTGCTCCACCCAGGTGGGTTCGATGTGACCATGGTTTTAGTGGTTTTAGCCTCTTTTTTTTACGACCATTCTTCCTTAGAAAACAAACGCCCAGATCCGGAATAATTGTAATATCTGTGTCATTAAAATACTTCTCCCGTATGGGGAATGAAAACGGAAATCTCAATCAGCAATTCCTCCAGGCGAAGACTTATATTATACTAATAAGACTCAACTTGAGACTATTTAAAAACTAACTAAAAATAAATTAATTGAATACTACTTGACTAATTAGACACAAACCTCCACATCTATAATATTAATATTAACCCAGATACGGAAGTAAGCCTAGAATATAAATTAAAAAATTCAGCGCTGCGGTATTCCAACCTGCGTCTTCCAATTAACTCGTTCCAGATGCTCTAACCAATTGACCTAATGAATTGTAGCCATGCTTTGTGCTTTCTAGTAGGCATACTTTATATAAAAAGTATATCTATTATATACTTTTTACATAAAATTTTATCCTATTAATAAAATGTTTAAACGATAAATTATTATTGTTGAGGTCGGAAAATTTTTCGACAACTTTTCTACCATAAATTCCCTTTTTAATTTTCATCCTAACCTTTGAAAATGTATGGTATTCTACATGATTAAACGAAGCTAAATCGATAAAATCCGAAAAATAAATGTCCTCTCCTTTATCCAAAAATTATACAGTATTTCATTGTTTATCCATTCAGGTTTCATACTTCTATCACGTTCACTTTTTTTCATTCATACCTTTTTTATCCTTGCAAATAGTTTAAATAAGTTGTTTTGAGGCACTTGTCTATACTCTCGCCGTAAAATAAAAACAAACATGATCGTGCGAACAACAACTGGAACAAAAACAAAGAATTCGCATCGATAACCCAAACTGTCACAGAGTGTTATTTTAAGCGTATGCTTGATAACGTGGTAGTGAATCCTCTATTAGGGTAATATGCGAATCGCTAAATTTCCGATTGACTAAAAGAATTTTAAGAATAGTAATGGTAATTAATTAATTCATTAGTTATTAATTAACAAAAAATGTTTATAATTCATTAGTATCAGAGATTGTATATGATTTTTGATAGGTATGATATATTGAAATAATCGTTAAGTCAAAGGGACTCGGCCAATCATTATTTTTACGCAACCGACATATCTGAAGATGCGTTAAACTAAAGATGACCAAGGCTGTGGGGTGGGCGCTTGCTGGTAGCTTTATATCCCCGAAATTCATCTTATTTTTGAAAATTCGGATGGAAATAGCCTACTCGAAACTGGCTTCGTGAACAAACTCCTAGAGCAAGCGAGAGGGGAAGCTATTTAAAATACGGTGCGAACAAGAGGGCAATACTCATTTGGTTCGGTTCGCCGTTTTATCCAGAATCTGTTGAGCTATGGGACACGGGATACTCACCTCACGGTCCTGTTAAAGCCGTTCATGGTGTGCACAAACTCGATGTGCAGCATTTCGGAATACTTGTTAAGCTTCAGGCGGTAAGTGACAAGGCCCTGGGCGAAGCGCTGGTTGTGCTTCGCTATCTTGTGCTTGTTCTCGGCGTATATCTTCATCCGGAACCTGTCTTCGATCTCGCTCCTGTACTCCTTCTTGTGCTCCATCTGATAGTGCAGGCCAGAGCGTTAGGTTGTGTTTTATGATGACGAAAGGACAGGGATCGAGATGATTGGAAATTGACTGTCTGCATGTGATACTACTGCTGGTATAACAATGATGTTATCTACATATAAAAGGGAAACTGAGGTACTGAAATAAAAAAATATTGTTTTAGTAAAGAAAAATTAAAAAACGTAAATTAATTCATAATCAACTTCATCTTAACATTTTCCCTCTTTGTGAAAGTGTATATGAACTCTGAAGGAGGGGGGCATAAAATCCAAGTAAGTAACTTGCATGTATAGGTGAATGTGGAACTGGCAAAAGATGTGAAGGTATCATAGAAAGTGGAAATCGGTAATCTCGTTCTATGTCCCAAATGACGGGTGAGATTCTGTACGTGTGCGTGAAATTTCAAAGTAAAAAGATCAATAAGGCTTTAGAAAAATGGCATATAGCATGTCGCCGGGTGAACTAGAATGCTGAAAAGTATTCGAAACGCCGAGGGTTGCGATTATAATAAACCGCGATATAATCCATAAACCACTTTAAAAACAATGTGTTATATTGGCGTTAAAAAGTGAAATAATTAAGTAAAAATTACAGTATTATAAATATGTTGAAAACTTCTACGATGGGTGGGATAAAATAAAAATAAACAACAATAAAAATAAAAAAGCTATTGTTCCATTGAAGAGAATTATTTTTATAATCTTTACAATGACTGCGTGAAAATAGTAATCATATTGACTCTCATATATCGCATACTTATATGACTAATCGCCTATCATAAGGATGGACGATAATATCCAATGCAAAAAGCAGTACCTTAAAGGCATTCCATTCCTCCTTGACCAGGTCGAAGAACTGGTCAGCGCTCACCACCATCACCAAGCACAGAAGCACTTTTAAGCCCCTCATTCTAGACCTGAAACAATATTGAACATTGTGGCGTCTTCGATAGTCTGATACAAGTACAGTATGATGTAGTTTTTATATTATTTTATTACCTATGCCCAACATATATAAATATATGTATGTATGTTGTACATATGCTAACTATCATGTGGCTCACGATCTTTTCAAGCCAATAAAAGGTTTAAGTCTTCAGGACTATCGTATAATATTTAAAGTAAGAAAGTGTTAAGTAAATAGTAATATAGCCCCTTAGTAAATAGCCCCACTCCCGAGTAAAGACCCTATGAAATACCGTTCGCTTTCTGATTTATCTATGGATGTCTATGGCACCATAGCCCCACTCCCGAGTAAAGACCCCCCCCCCCCTATGAAATACCGTTCGCTTTCTGATTTATCTATGGATGTCTATGGCACCACTGGGAAGTTGTAATATTTTTTTAAACTACATATATTTTTTAAAGTAAAATTAATTTTTGGAGGGTTTTAGAACATAGGCTACCACGCGTTCCCACTGCGGATTCCACATAATTATCTTCGAAATATTTTATTTTTGTTATTATTCAGTATTCGTCTATGAAGGAAAGCATTACGAAGATGGCTGCATATTTTCGAATGAAAACTCCTATATGTGAAGAAACCGCACACTGATCTAGCATGCTATATCAAATAAGTTAACGGCAATGTTTTATTTAATAAGTTAACATCAAATTTAAGCTTAACAGTGCTAATCTCTGCGTTTAAGATGAAACATTGAAAAGTTCTTCGCCGCTGTGGGAATCGAACCCACGTCTTCCGGAATCGCGCTTTAACCGCATCAACGAAAATCTCAACGTATTTTATCAACATAGTTTTGTTCGCATTTTTTGTGTCGTGTCCAGACATTCAGAACATCAGTTATTTGGGGAAAGAGAACAATAATATTGTGAACACCAAATATTTCGAAGTTGTTTTCAATAGCAATCACGTCATATAGATATATCTAATGTTGAAGACATGAATTATTTTATCAGATATGTTAATATTAATAAATTAAAGTGGCGGGATCATTAAATTTCTAGGTCACTTTCCGAACTTAACAATGAGTCACTCGTAACTTATACTTGTGGACAGGAAAATATTTTTTTATAATGTGAACGAATATTTTCACCAAATAATATCACGTAGATATTTGAATTATCTTTTGTTTTATTATGGGAGCGCTCAATAGAATACCGTCCAAGGCATGCTAACCGAGAGGAAATAATCCGAAACTCACCTTGATTCTTAACAGGATAAAACTCAATTAATGACAAACTCAAATAAAAACGTTTAATGTCGGCAGAAAGGCGAATACACTAAAAGTAGTGCGATTCGTACACTCCGTAGGTTTATTATGACTTAAATTGATAACGTTCTTGATATTAAATACGAATGAAAAAACAAAGACTGATTCAACTTTTAACCATTCACCCTGAACTTAGCACTGTAGGCTAGTGACGTGAAACTCAAAACATTTTTAAATATCTAAATGTTATTTAAGAAATAAAACAATACGGTTACTATTTCAAAAATTTATTGTTTATATTTATTACATACTATTCTTCAAAAAAATAATAAAGTAATCTATAACACCGGAATACATTCAGAGATCTTTTGAAAGAGATTAATATACTCACATATTATGTTCGACATAATCTTAATTATTACTTAATTTTGCGAATGTAAAATAAAATCCCACAGCAAATAAAAAGGCCACTTGATCAATTTAAACACAAAAAAAGTTAACTTATGGTTAATGCATATTATACCATTGCGGAATATTTCAACGACGCCAATGTGTCGAATTAATACTGTTGCTGATATTTAAAAAAAAGAGAAGCTCTTGAGTTTCTTGCCGGTCTCTTTTTTGTGTTCGTAAGCAATGTTACTAGAGTGCTACAGGGATATCAGCGTTGGCACTTGAGTGGCATTGACGAGGCGGGCATTGGTTGAAATTAAGGGATGCCACAATAACATCTGTTTAGTTTCATGTTATATTGTGGGTTCGATCCCCACTACCGGTCAAATATTGTGTTTTCCAATGTCTGGGTGTTTACATAATTATAATATGTATTTATTTACAAAAGAAAACTACGTTTATCAGTTATCTAGTACCCATAGTACAAGCGTTGCTTCGTTTGGGACTAGAGAAAGTTGTGTAAAAATGTGTCCTGATATATTTATATCATATATTAAGTAAAATATTGTTTTCACAAGGTGACTCATCTTATAAATGTATAGCTAATTGTAGTAAGGAAATGAATAAACAAGAGTTCCATACCTACCCATTATACCGCAATCATAAAATTGGTTAATAGTCACCACCGATTTTCTTAGGAACAAGTGGACCTAGGAAGTTCAAATTTATACCAGATACTGAGGTCTGTAGTCCCAATTAATATTATAAGGGTAAAAGATAAAAGTATCAGCCTATACAAGTCCCACGGCTGGGCAAAGGCCTCCTCTATACAGAGGGTATCAGGGCATAGTCCACCACGCGGCCCCACTGCGGATTGGCGGACTTCACATATCTTCGAGATATCTTTTTTTGTTATTACTTCGAAAATATGCAGGTTTCCTCACGATGCTTTTCTTCACCGCTGAGCACGTGATAATTCAGCACTTAAAATTAACAATTTCATTGGTACCGGCACCGGGGATCGAACTCAGGTTGCTCGAGTATATTGAATTAAAGGCGAGCGCCCGGACACTGAGCTATCACGGCTAAGTTAAACTACACGGCTAAGATAAAAAGATATGGGAAAATTAATATCTTGCTAAAACTAGTAAGTACAAAAATTTACCTTGATATTCAACTGTTTTTATTTTTCGGTATTTTCCGAAAGCCAACTAAAATTTAAATTCTAGGTCAATTGGAAATACCTTATAGATTTGGGGTCGAAAACCTATATGGTAGTTTACGTTGACCTAGAGTCACGAAATTTGGCAAATAGCATTCTTACAGCACAAATAAAGAATCCAAAAAATAAAAAAAAGTTGAAAATTAAAGGGTGACCCCATACATCCATAGTTGACGCCAATTAAGATAGCCCTCTGAGTTTAATGGGCGCTCATACAAATACAATTACATACTAAATAATGGTACGGAACCATAAGTACGCGAGTCCGACTCGCACTTGGCCGGTTTAGATATCGAGAAGGTGCTTAGTAATTTTAAATTTTATACTTATTTGTATGAATAACATTTTATATATGTTAAGAACACCAGAGCAAAATTAAGTTTTTATAAAAGTTAAAGTAGGATTAAAAAGTAGCTAAAGTAAAAGTTTTTATAAAGTTTTTAACAACTTTATTAATTCCAAAAGCATGTATTATGCGTTATTTTGAAATTTTTGTTTTTTTTATAATTTACACAGACATATGCAACTGCTTAAACATATCGGATGCTCCAACTCGGTTTTTAGACATCAATGTTGCTTTTTGGTGTTGGTGATTTGTGCAGATGTGGCGTTGGTGTTAGACGATGGGGTAGGAGGCTTCGGTGGCGATGCCGCAGTTGTTTTTACGGTTTCGGGCCATCTTGATGTAGCCCTTTTCGCCCCAAGAGAGGCCCCAGGAGTTCTTCACCAGCCAGTAGTCGCCACCTTTCTCATCGGTGCCGTAGCCTACCGCCAGCACCTTGGGGAGAAAGCCGAACGTCAGTTGCGATATTAACTCCAAATTATAATATAAATACAAGTACCCGGAGGACCGAGCTTTGCTAGGTTTGTTTTTTTTTTTTTTGGTAAATCATGTACTTTGGAAATTACATTTAGATACAAATTACTGAGTAATGAAATATGCATAATATCTTACCGACGTAAAAATAAGAAAATATTAACTGCTGTTTTTCACAAAAGAAAAAACTTTAAAAAAAAAGAAAAAAAATAACAAAATGGGGAAAAAAATAACAAAATGACAAATCAACAAAAAATTAAAAATAAAGAAAGCAGATCTGGAATCGAAAAAAAGTATCGAAGAAAAATTGATCTAGCTGGGTTTCATTTTTAGAAAATGTCCTTTTATCCCTGTTTTCAGGGAATGAAAAATATAATTCGAATATGACGATAAATTTCGCCGCAGGAGAAAATGTCATAATAGCTCAGTCGGTATTCGGGCGGCCCCAAAACAGACGGCCGTGGTTCGCGTCACGATCATTTACACATTTATTTTTTTACTTTTTTTTCGATTCCACATCATTGCTTTCTTTATTTTGAATTTTTTGTCGATTTGTTATTTTTTTTGTTGTTTTTTTCCCTTTTTTTTAAAGTTCTTTTATTTTGTAAAATACATCAGTTCATATTTTTTTATTATTACGTCGGTAAGATCGAAAAATATTATGCATATTTCATTACTCAGTAATTTGTATCTAAATGTATTTTTCCAAAATACACGATTTACCAAAAAAAAATCCGAGCAAAGCTCGGTCCTCCAGGTACTAATAATTTATAAACCCAACCAGACGAGAAAACAAATGAATATCCCCCCTTATAATAATAATAAAATATCTTTATTCACATAGACGATTGCGCGTTCTTATGAAACGTCGAAATTTTACAAGGAAATTAATACGTTCGTAAGTTACCACCGGTTCGGAAAGCAGTTTCTGTTGAGAAGAAACCGGCAAGAAACTCAACGATTTGATTTCAACGACGAGATGATTTACTCGATTAATACACAATGCAATTGAAATATTCACAAAATCCTATCGAAATCTACTTAACCAATCTACCAATGACCACCTTAAAAACAAAACAGCTCGAACATAGATGAGGGCACAAGTACTATATGGGTGCTGGTCTATGTTTTATTTGTGCATGTCACATGTGCAAATCATCATACAACACTGGATAATGTTATACTCTAATGAAGGCTATGTTAAAACGAAATAAGTGAGAAACTGTTTGTTTAACTGTGGTAGGGCCACGCCATAGGGTCGTAGGGCCTCTGCTGATCAACTTTAGCGTGATGTTTAGAAGGTGAGGTATTTCGTGGAGATATTTACTAACACAGCTTTCACATAAAATCAAAAGAAGCTCACCGCATGGTCCAGCCTGGTGCTGGAACAGTTCTCGTCGTAGTAAACACCTTCCGAGTAGTGATGGAAGGCTGGTTGAGAGGCGTCGATGGCCACAGCAATGGGTCCAATAGTCGCGACCGCCTGCATCAGCTTCTCCTCATCGCCAGTGGGGATGTCCGTGAAGCCCACGTCGTCGGCGCCGGAGTTCTTGGGGTTGTATCTGGTTGCGATGGCGTTAGAGACAATTTTTTTTGATGCGGCACGGGAGCAACAATTTCATCAACAACAAACGGAGGATTTTACAAATTGTTCTTCTGCGGTTGGGCCACACGGTAGCTTCTGATGTTAAACAAATGCCGGCTAATCCGTGGAAGTACAGAAGGCCAAATGAACGTATTATACTTTAGCGTTTCGTCTGGTGTGTGAGATGATCACGATTTAAAAGTTGCCATTCTTCATCTCCTCATCGGGTGGTAATCACGAAAATTCGCCCTTGCAAACATTTAGACAAAACAAAACGAAAACGTTCTCTGGTTACGACCGCAAGTTGCGAATCAAAAAGGGATGGGAGGTTTAAGTCCCCGAAAATATAAGTACAACAGGTATAACACCAATTAAATTTCTCTGTAGTTTTGAATGTAACAAATATATATGCGCCCACAAGGGATGTGAACAGTAGGACTGTTCCCGTCTAGACTGCTGCAGCTGAAGATGTTATTGAGCTTACAAGCATATTTTAATTGACAAGATTTGACTCTTTGACCTAATTTTAGTCAGCTTCGGGGATTATAGATGTGCCACTGAGGTAAGTGCGGCGGTTATTTGAGATGCCATTATTGTGGCCACAGGACGTGTGAGTCCACTCGTTGGGTCGTGTTAGTCTTGTCAGCCAGTATTGAGGTGCTATGGAGATTATATGAGAGGTATGCCTGCGGGTGGAGTTCTTGCCAGCTTTATGGCTAGGCCATTTCGAAAAGCCTGCTGTAGGGATTAGGGTTACGGAGATCGCTTAAGCCCGCATCGTGGTGAATTGCAAACTTACCTGCACTGTTTCTCCACCCCCTCGTAGGGGTAGCTGTCTTCCGTATCGATCCCTTTATTTTCCTGGACGTATTTGAAGGAGCTGTCCATAGTGCCGCCGTTGCAGCCGTTGTTGCCGTACGCGGTAGAGCAGTCAACTAGGTTCTGCTCCGATAGGGAGACCAGTTTCTTGCTCTTGCGGAAGTGCTGGCCCTCCAAGGCACCGGTCTATTAACCGCGAACAGTTAGGTCTCGTTATTCGGAAGACATATCAAGTTATTGTTCAACTTAAATGAAAATAGTTTACGGATTGTATCGAGGTTTTACTTTGATTTTAAATTCCCGACGTTTCAAACCCTGTCCAGCGTTCATGTTCACGGGACAGATACGCGATAAAATCCGTAAACGAGTTTCATTTAATATGTATAACATTCGTGTAAAATGAAGAAGTCAATATATTCTAAAACTGTTTAGTTTAATTTTCAATTTTAGTGTTAGCCCCTGCACTTAAGTTGAAGCTTAAATATGTGAAGATAAAAAAATTGCAAAATCTATTGCCGCCGCCACGATTGGAATATGCATCTTCCAGATTATTCTCCAGACGTTCTAGCCACTAATCTAAACAGTCGACGCCTCGACGCCTTATCTACTTTAATTTATGGCGTCATTGTGTTATAAAGCAAGATTCTTAGTAAAAAGTTGAGATTTATTGAAGTCATCACAAAACTCCACATAATTTGAACCATTAACTAACGGTAACAATCATTTGATGAACAAACGGTGAGAATGAGGACTGCGAAACTTAGGCACGGAAATCGACATAATCAATAACAAGCTGAAGTTCCCAATAAACAAGAAGATGAAGATGAAACAAAAGTGTAATAGATTATAGAATTAGGCACGGAAATCGACATAATCAATAACAAGCTGAAGTTCCCAATAAACAAGAAGATGAAGATGAAACGAACGTGAACGTGATTATAGAATTGTGAGAAACATGATTCATCATGGTGGCAGTAACTCTTTTCGCCTTTTATGAGTGATGAAAAAGTATAAATAAATACCCAACCAATAAATATATATCCGGAGATGATGGCTATCCAAAACACGAGGCGATCACTCAAAAACGTTGGCTACAGGGCAAAAATCCGATTACGAGCGGCGAACTGGGATAATCAATAGGCATAATCGACTTGACCACTGCAATTATTCAGGTGGCGTCCGCGCTTATTGCGATAAAGTGAATAAGTACTGAATTATTAGCCAATGTCGGGAATCGAATCTGATTTCGATTCAGATCTCGAAGCCGATGGATAAAAGGGTTTAATAGAGCCATGATTCTATTTAAACTATAGGAGAAATATCAAGTTACGAAAACCATAAGAATTGGATTAAATGGTAGGCCCACGCGGCAGCCCCGTATGTTGCACGAATGGGCAGGCTCGAGATGCGTCGACGATCTTTTGAAAATTGGGCTCCGGCCACTTCACTCACCAGATAAAACGCGAAAGTATTATACTTCTACTTTACGGTTTTCTGTGAGGCCGTGGTACTAACCCAGACGGACCTTGTTTTTTTTCCATGGGAAAAGTCCTTTATGGATCACCACCACTTGTACGGGGGGAGTGGCAGGGGTATATAGGAGTCCCAATAAGAAAGGGGTGCCCATTAAAAAAACCGACGTTGCACCTGTCTCTGTCGCATCGGCAGGGGACACGGGGACGCGTGGACGCAATCTTCCAACCCGGACGGAACAGCCCAATCGTGCAACACGAACGCTGCTTAGTATGTGCAATACTTACCGAGCTGAAGGACCAGCAGGAACCGCACATGCGCTGATCCTTGACTTCAGTGACGGCGCCCAGCTCGCGCCAGTCGATATGGTCCGGGTACTGAACGTTAGCCGCCGGCAGGAATGTCGCCCCGCGGATCTCGGAGCCGTTGATCGTCTGCCTGTATGTAAAAGAACTCTCCAGAAACTTTTGTGGGACTTGCTTGGAAATTTATAAATGTCCACTGCTGCCAGCGCATTCTAGTACGAGATGAAGCCAGACCGCAATAGGCAAAGAAGTGGAGCAGTTGGCGAGCGTCTGTTTTACCCGACTGATTATAATGTGTCTTCAAGACAACACTGAAAAGGTTATTACTGCTATTACATTTAACCATCTAAAATTACACCTTTAATTGCCGTCATGTGCGATAGCAGACTAGTAATAGCCGGTTTTTGAGTACAACAAAGAGAAGATAATTCATTGTTAATGATATTTATTAGGGAGTGGACTTCACTCAATTGACCGGCCCATTGAAGACCAGCCCTGTAGACTCGTATCGACTGTGGCATTAAGCTGATTGCGGTCTGTTTGCGGTATATGCCACACGAGAAGTCTGTTTCAAGATTATTATTACTATTATTTCCATCTAATATTGTTTTTTATGTTTGTAGTTTAACTATTAAATCCTTATGCGGCGTATTTGAGAAACTGTTGAGTTTCTTGCTGGTCTCTTCTCAACAGAAACTGCCCTCCGAAACGGTCGTAACTTACTTACGAACTTGTGTATTTATTATTTATGAACAAATCGACGTTTCATAAGACCGCGCAAGGTTATAATTGAATTAAGACATTTTGAATTTGAATTTGAATGGATGTTGCTTTCATCTTTCTACTTTTTTCATAATTATCTCTTACCAGACTACGAAGTACTCACTTCGCGGTGCTGTTAAAGCCATTCATGGCGTTCACGAACTCGTTGTGGAGCATGTCGGCATATTTGTTCACCTTCAGGCGGTAAGAGACGAGGCCCTGGGCGAAGCGCTGGTTGTGCTTCGCGATCTTGTGCTTGTTCTCGGCGTATATCTTCATCCGGAACTGGTCCTCGACCTCGCTCCCATACTCCTTCTGGTACTCCATCTGATAGTGTAGGCCAGAGCGTTAGGTTGTGTTTTATGATGTTAAACAGAGAGGGATAGGAGTTTTTTTTTTTTATTTTATTAAGTCTGCACACTACGACTCTTATGGTGTTAATGTTAATTTATCATAAGAGCTTTAACAATTACAAATTCAATAGAGAAATCTCGATCTGGAATGGCTGGTTGTGTACTATACTTTGATAAATGAAACATTGAAATTAAAATTAGACTTAAATTAATACAAAATCAAATTATTCTTAATATTTTCTCTGTTTGAGATTGGCTACGAATTCTACGGAGGGGAAACGCGTAAGCACCATGCCTGTAATGACTGATCTATGGATGTAGAATAGGCAAAAGCTATGTGCAATGCTAATGGAAAGTGGAAATCCGTAATCTTTAACTACCATCCCAAGTGACAGGCTAAATTATAATATAACAAAACTTTTAAACTTTTAAAGTAGTGCTAATATCTGCACTTAAGATTGAACAATAAAACATGTAAAAAAAAGTACGAAAAGATTATCGCCGCTGTGGGAATCGAACCCACGTCTTCGGCATTCGCGGCCTGACGCTCTAGCCACTGAGCTAAACGGCTGATAGCCACAGCGACGAAAATCTTAACGCATTCATTCTACATTGTTATTTAGCAAATTAAGCTAACTATAGCTATAGCTAGCTATTGTTATAACAAAACTTTTCTCCTGTTAAATAATCGTCGTTAATAAAGATGTCGAGTGTTTCAATTTAAAATAAAACATGTAAACTAGTTTCATGAGAATGTGTACCATTTGCGTGAACAATAGAAATTTATTATTAATTAAAGAAATAACACCACACTAAACATTCATAAAACATATACAGTGGTAGATAAAAAATGACTCACCAAGAGAATGGTAAACATCTGTTTATAATCTGTACAATAAATTTCTGAAGAACACGTAGGAGTCATCATATTGACCAATGAATAAAAGCAGTTACCTTAAAGGCGTCCCACTCCTCTTTGACCACGTCGACAAAGGAGACGGCGCTCACCGCCACCACCATGCACAGCAGCGCAACCAAGCTCCTCATTCTGGAGCTGAAACAAGATTCAAACTTGGGTCGTCATCGTCGATAGTCTGATGCAAATGCATTAGCACTCCAAGACGCATTATATGAGATACTGATTCTGGTATATATTCAGTAGATATAAGCATAATCTTTTCAAACAAGTAAACGTTTGAAGACTTCAGTATTATGCATGCACGTACAAATAGCAGCTTTCAACAAAAATATATATAATAGAACTAGTGGATTCTGGCTAAGAAAAATCAATAATACAAAAAAAAAATCCCGTGCGAATCATTTTCCAATCAAATTTGAAGTAGGGTAGCACCTCCGGCTTCTCTGACATTAAGAAAAAATAAAAAGCAAAGTGCTGAAAGTAACATTTATAATTAAAAGGATGATGTAGAAAGGCAGTAGCAAAGTTTATTGGATGGTCGGTCATAAGGTAGAGAGACAAGACGAAACACAAGATGTAAAAGTACCCATCAATAAGAGCTTAACCAAACTTAACCGGCCAAGTGCGATCGGACTCGTTCACGAACTGTTCAAAACGGCCAAAAAAATCATGTCTATTATATGCCCGAACATAAATATTTTTTATTCTGTTTTTTAGTAGTTTTTATTTCTGTTTTTTAGCGACAACAGAAATAGATTATCAGTGAAAATTTCAACTGTCTAACTATCACGGTTCAAGAGATACAGCCAGCTGATAGACGGATAGACATACTGACAGACATACAGACAGGCAGACAGTCGGAGCGCAATCTCAGTAAGAGGGTCCCGTTTTACCCTTTGGGAACGGAACTCTGAAAAAGGTCGGAATAGCGGCAGTAGAGAAAAAACAGAGAGTATTGAAAACGATGAATAAGTACTTAAGGACTGTTTTAGATAAAAAGACTAACCCAGAGGATATAATCCTACACTCACCTCGAATTTTAAATTAATTACAAATTGTCTAAAACCAAAAGGTTAATTCGGTAAAAAAGCGAATATACTGAAAGTAGTGCGTTTCGTAAAGATCGCAGATTTTTTGTGACTAAAATTGATCGCGAACTAGATATTAAATACGAATGAAAAAAAAAAATAACTGAATTACCTTTTAACCGTTAACGGCGAACTTGGCATCGTAGCATAGTGACGTGAAACTCAAAGCATTATTACTATCTCAGTGCTATTTAAGCAACAAAACATAACGTTGCTATTTCTAATAATATTTTTTATTGGGCAAGCTCAAATGGTTTAACATATTTTAAAAAAAAAACCTATTTTAATTATCAGAAATAGGAAACAATAGCACAGGTATAAAATAACCACATTTCAGTATTTCATGGTGTTCCGAATAATCGAGCCGATGATTTTATATAACGCTAGGCAGTTATATATAAATTTTAAGGAAAATTTAAACTTGGTTCAAATTTGAAAACAAAACTTACGTGAAAAGTATGCAAGCGGGCAGGCGGCTTAGTTCAGACAGATGTTAAGTGATTATCGCCGCCCATGAACACCTGGTACCGGGTACGGGGAACAACCTGACGGGTTGCAGATGCGTTGCCATCCAGAACAAAAGGGGGCCTCGGTTACCTCACTCACCAGACCAAACGCGAAAGCATATCTTACGATAGTGTATACTAGCAAATCACGCTGGTCTTCTGTGAGGCTGTGTTTCTACTTCCCCGAACGAGCTGATGCGTAGGCTTACAACAGTATTATAAAATAAATGCGATGCCAAATGTTGTAAAAATAACTAGTTTAAAAAACGACTGCTATAAAAACGGTGTTTAATAGCGCTCCAGTAGTTATTTTTATCAAAACGACGATACTAGGAAATCCAGTGAAATATTTAGGTAATTTAAGTATTTATTTAAGGAATTTCTATGTTTTATCGCGAGCGAGGAATGCTTCCCCGGCACGTGCATGAAACAAAATAAATCTTAGGTACATGAATATTCTACATAATAAAATATAACGTCCTTTGAACACCACATTTTTCAAAATATTTCAAAATACTTCAGTGTTATAATTCATTTTCATTAGAAATTAAAAAATCAATAAAAAAATTATGTCATCATTTTAATTATAAGATAGATATATAAGATATTTTATTAAGAAGGCTTCGTAGGACTTTGTTATATATTTTGTGTAGAATATGTTGTGGCGAGCTTAATGGAGCAAGAAAAATAATTTTTAAAAATGTGGAGTTACTATTGTATGCCTTTGATGTACAGATTGCGCAAAAATGACTACTTTGTTTTATGGTATTTTTAGCAATGCTAGCAATAATTATAAAATACAGTAAAGTAAAAAGTAAAGTAACAGTTTATATATGTCCCACTGCTGGGCAAATGCTTCCTTGCGTAGTCCTATTGCGGTTTTGCGAACATTCTTTTTGTAAATATGCAGGTTTCCCGCTATATTTTCCTTCACCGTTATAAGTCAGCACTTAAAATAAACAATTTCATTGGTGCCGGCAGCGGGGATCGAACTCAGGTTGCTCGAGTACATTGAATTAAAGACGAGCGCCTGGCAATGAGCTATCACGGTGAATAAAATACGTGCGCGGCAGCGTCTTATACCTTAGAAAATAAAAAATAAATAAAAAATGTGTTGAACTGAATTTTAATCTCACAGTCCGATTTAGCCCTCGAGCCCAACGGATGTTCAAATTTCTTAGATCAAGCCTTTTTTTTTTTGGTATCGGGGGGAAATCTTCAAAAGATACCCTGTCACTTTACATGACAGGGTTATGTGGGGTTCTTACCCACTAAAACCCCCTCGGTGGCCGCCTTCTGTACATTTGGAGCTGGCTCCCATGGAACGCACCGGTTTCCCTCGGTACTACGCCTGAGCACGCCTCGGAGAAGGATAAAACTTCTCCGATCCCCTCACCCTCTAGCAGCAACACGAGACCACTTCGTGCTGCTGCCCATCCGTGTCCCCTTTTAGTCGCCTTTTACGACAGGCAGGGGATACCTTAGCCCTATTCTATAAGCCCGGGACTACAGGGCTGTCCTAGATCAAGCCTAGATGAAGTCGTAAGTTAATAAGTAATTGCTTAAAATCTTGGGATTGCATGATTTTTATTGCTTGCATGCTTCGTTTTTCGTGTATAACGAATTGTGAGAGCTTTTATTGTTAGAAAAAAAATTTTTTTGAGTCAATAAATCCTAGGCTGAAAATTATTTCGGGCATTGACCACCGCCTTATAACTTTCACCATCTACCAGGACGAATATGCCATCCTTCGTACCAGGACCAACATGACTACCAACCTGATCCCCGAACATATGTGGGCGTGTGAGGTTTCGGGAGATAGGAGTGTGCTGGGATAGATTCCGTGCGGGGATCTGTCCAAGAATGGGATGTCTGAAAGTGCACAAGCCACCTTCACAACATGCGGTCGATTTCACTGAACTGATAATGCGAACAGCTTATATCTGGGTGTTAGGAAACAAATGGGAAGCTATGAATGGTCCTCTTCACACTCCATTAAGAAAGGACGCTGGAAGTTAAGGCTCGGTGATGGTTTTTATCCTCCGGAGTACCGTATAGATACTAAACGTAGGTGTTAGAAATATTAGCCTTTTACGTAAGTTTTTTTTTGTCTACAAATATAACGAACATTTTGTTTTATTCAATTATAAAAACAGATTCGTATAAACAAATTTAAATACCTAAAATGCAATTTAACTTTTCACAAACAGGACCAGAATTTCGATAATATAGAAAAAGAAATGAAAAGTTGTTTCTCCAATAAAATTAAGAACCGACATATGAAAATCCCCCGGGTAGACTTACTTCAATGCTCTTAAATTATGTAATGTCCGATTGTAAAGCAATTGTTTCGTCATTTATTTTCAACAATACAGGCGGTGCAGTAATTCGATTTTCTATTAGTGCATAATATAAGTGCGGTGTAAAATACGTGCCGGCGTGACGGGGGCGGGTAAGAGGCACATACACGTGAGTGAGTAGGGCTGTCACTACTCACTCACTGATGACTCGTCTGTTCAGGCATAGCGCGACAGTAACAGATTTTATTAACACCTACTTAGCGTTTTCTCTTCATCAAATTCACCATGATCGAACATTTAAATTAGCTGAATAGCTATGTCGATGATAAGCTATGTCGAAGAGCCGTGATAGCTCAGTGTCCGGGCGCTCGCCTTTAATTCAATATACTCGAGCAACCGGAGTTCGATCCCCGGTGCCGGCACCAATGAAGGTAAAATAGGGACCAAGATGTACATAATCGTTGAATGAAATTATTTCAATTGGTGGCAGTTCTTACTTTATGAGGAAATCAGCACACATCAAAAATGTCTTAGCCACTCCGACTAGTATTTCGACGCACCAGTGTTTTTCGGGAATCAGATAAAATATATAAGTAATAAAGTAATAATAAATAAATCGAAAAATAATATAATTTAAGACAGTTTTTTTTTATTAAAAAAATATAGCATGAGGCATTGAGTAAGAAAAAGTACAAGTAATCTAAATGGGGCTAGTTATTTTCTCGCTCAAAGTTATAAAAAGGAATAAAAACTATTCAGGGATGATATTCAGCTAGAGTTCTTTGCACCATGTCGCATGGACTAGGTTTTTTAGATAATAATATGTACTTTAGTTAGATTTAATGTTGTAAATATTGGAGAAAACGAATTAAATAATAATAACTAAACTATATTGATAAATTGAAAAGAAAAGTAATCTTAAAAAGGAAATGAGAAAAAAAATGGTAAAAGTTGTTTTTTATAAAAAATATTACACTGCAACTACTTAGAAGCTAACGACATCTGCGGTTCGCCGATTCAGTGAGGTTATTGATCTCATTCTGCGATAATCAGTGAACTTTCAATAGGTTCTGCACTTGTTGGGTGGTGGAAACACTGTCCAGCACTTTCAAAAACTTCCTCAGGAGCATATCCTATGCGTGCTCAATCAGATTTCAGTCCAGCGAATGAACTGACAACAGCAGAACTTGAATGTTCTCCTGTAAGAGCCATTCTTTTAACATCCGGACTTTAAGGCAACAGGCATTGTAGTGAATTAGAATAAAATCTAAGCCTGAGTTGGATATCGACATAAAAGTGAGTAAAAAGAATGACAATTAATTGAGAGTGGGTGCTATGGATATGAGCATCGGAACCAGAGAGTTTAGTTTTATTCTGTTAAGATTTGAGGTGAGTGCCAGATTATTTTAACACTGTATTCGACAGTAGGTTACTAATTCTAAGAAATTCCCTCAGTTATCTGTTGAAACTCCCTCTCTGTGCTCTCAAAGACGAAGGTACTAGCGTGCCAAGTATAGAATGACTACTAAAAGGCAACACAAAATTTCACGTCGCTTCTTTTAATTGATAATTGTTGATGTTTTTTGTAGCCTCAATTTTTGTCCAAATGTTGGAACATTTACTATTGTTAAAATCAGGTAAGGGAATGGTACCGCCAGTAGCCCGCGGAGAGCTATTAAATTTCCATACGCCTCGATCCCTGCCCGTGGCACATCGTAAAACATGACGCACGGGTAGTCCTCTACTCTAAAGACACCGCCTTCCACTATCAGCTGGAGCACAACAAGGAATATCGCAGTGAGGTCGAGGACCAGTTCCGGCTGAAGATATACGCCGAGAACAAGCAAAAGTTCGCGAAGCACAACCAGCGCTTCGCTCAGGGCCTCGTCACATACCGCTTAAAGAACTAGAAGACTATGAACGGCTTTAACAGGCCCGTCAAGTGAGTATCCCGTAGCTCAATAGTTTGTTAAGGCCCGTGGCTAATGGTAACCAACGCCAATGAGTATCGCCCTCCAGTTCGCGCCACGTTTTTAATAGCTTTATTTATATTACTAGCGGCCCGTCCCGGCTTCGCACGGGTATTTAACAAAAAGTTATCATACACACATAAAACCTTACGAATATTTCGTCTTTGGTGAATAATTTTATGAATTTCTTCATCTTTTAATGAAATACCCTTGAAATTACGTCATGAAGATCGAAAGACCGCTGACCAGATAATGGTTCCGTTTTAATTACGGGCATTCGGGGTTACACGTTAAAGTGACAAATAGGTCTGGTCTCCCATAGCTTCGTACATAAATCATCGCATCTTTGGTTTTTTAATGCAGATAACTCGGAGAACCCGTAAATGAATATGACGTTGCAGATTACGCGTTGACCGATATTTGATGGGCCAATGTCTTGATTTAAGGCGTCTCTAAGATGAATGTTTCACCAGCCCTGTCTCTGGTGATCACGACATCATAATTACATAAATTCAATCTTTCTGAAATCTTTTTGCCATCATATCGACAATGTATTGAATAAAAACCGGCCAAGTGCGACTCGGACTCGCACACGAAGGGTTCCGTACCGACCTCACAGAAGACCGGCGTAAAATAGAAGTGTTATACTTCTACGTTTCGTCTGGTGAGAGAGGTAACCGGTGCCCACTTCTTTAATGTTGGCAACACAGTTGTTATCACTTAACATCAGTGGAACCAGCTCGTTTGCCACTCTATCACATTAAAAAATCATGTTTTAATACCTTTATTCAATAGAAGTATAGAAGTATTACACTTACATATTGTCAAAACACTACTACTGTAAACATTATCGACGACAAAAAAATCATGTCTGTTTTAATGGGAGCCCCGCTTTTACGTTTTTGTTTTTTAGTATTTATTGTTATAGTGGCAACAGAAATACATAGTTTGTGAAAATTTACACTGTCTAACTATCACGGTTCATGAGATACAGCCTGGTGACATATGGACAGACATACGGACAAACAGACAGTCAGCGGAGTCTTAGTAATAGGGTGCGATTTTGCCCTTTAGGTACGGAACCCTAATAAGTCCCAGTAATAATGCAATGGATTAGAACAGGTAGCTCTAACCATTAACCTAAATGCATAAAATTCCATGCATGTCACAGTTTTGTTGCGCACAGTACCTTGCCGAGGAATAGTCAAATATTAACCTTCTCCTACTACGACTATTAAGGAATATTTTAGTGGATCATACAATCTGTGTAACTCAGAGACCCTTTTAAGTTGGACGTGTCTACCGTGAAACACTATACCTCTGGGGCCTTTTTAGGATTCCGTACCCAAAGGGTAAAACGGGGCCCTATTCCTAAGACTCCGCTGTCTGTTTGTCCCTCTGTCAACAGGCTGTATCTCATGAACCGTGATAGTTACACAGTTGAAATTTAATCTGGGTATTTGTTTTCCAAGGAGGGTTGACGTCAGGCAGGCAGCTGGTTGTAAAAATATGGCCAAAACCGCTAACAACATGATTCATGTTGTGCCGAACCCACCTAGGAGGCAGGAGGATGATGATTGTTGTATATTGATGATACTTGTATACTTGTCCCTCTATTTTAAAAGTTCGCGTCAAACGAAGTCATTTCATTTGGCTATTGCACTTTCGGATGTTGGTTAAAAATGTCTAGATGGTAATTGATTATTTGTCAAAAGATTTTTATTTTTATTGGCTCCTCAATATTGGGAAGACTAACTTTTCCAGAAGCACAGCACATACCGTTTTTGGTTTTTGGTTCATCGACCCATTTTTTGGCAGAACACTTACAGCAGATCTTATTAGGACTTACAGGATTCATTGCTCCTATTTGGACGAAAGACTGTTGAGCTTAATGCATTAATGCTGATCTGTTACTGTGAGCTAAAAGTCGATTACGAACTCTAGTCATTGACGTTTGTTGTTTTTCTCTCTCATTCGTAGGCGTTGGGAACGCTCAGAGCTCGATTCCCGAGTGTGAATTTATATATTTACATTATTTTGCTCTTTAAGCCGCTCTACTTGACTCTCTCAGACTTGTAAGACGATTAACACTTTCCGGTAAAGATTCTTCATTACGGCGTATTTTTGATGCCCTCGCCTGGGAACTATTTCTAAAAAGATGAGATCTTGATCTTTGGGCATTTTAAAATGATGTTGAACAGGAATTACCACTAAAAATGTGATTGAAGATTATAAGAAACACTAAGTCAGTCACTAAGATGTTTGGATAGTTAAATTACAATATACTAACATTTTTAAACTAGTGATATCTTTCGAATGGAATGTCCGAATTTAATAATTCGAAAAATAATATAAAGCTATTGAAACAGTCTTTAATATGAAGTAATTTATTTTTATAAGGATTAATACCAAGATATAAATAAGGTGCCTTTTCTAGCGGCGGCATTTCAATCAATATTTTAAAATAAAAGAACACTTATTGTGGCATAACTATAATAGTTAGACATATGCTCTCGCGACACTTTTTGGAAATAATGATGTGTTCTGCAAATTGATAGTATATTATTTTATTCTATCATCAATAGTTTTCGCAGCGCACGCGATGTAAAGAATATTTTAGGTAATTTTTGTACACTTTGGGTTACATTATTGAAGTTTTAGTAAGGATCCCTATTTTTTTGAAAATATAATATAGCCTATATCAAGCGGGAATAATGTAGCTTCCCATCAGTGAAAGAATTTTTCAAATCGGTTCAGTAGTTTCGGAGCCTATTCAATACAAATCAATCTTTATACAATCAAATCTTTCCTCTTTATAATATAGATAGATCTCGTTTTTAGGGTTCCACACCCAAAGGGTAAAAGAGGACCCTATTACTAAGACTCCGCTGTCTGTCTGTCAGTCTGTGACCAGGCTGTATCTCACGACATACACGAGATACACGATTCACGAACTGTGATAGATAAGACAGTTGAAATTTTCAGAGATTTAGTATTTTTGTTACCGCTAACAGAATAAAATAAAAAATATTTAAGGGGGCTCCCATGCAACAAACTCAAGGCGGTTGCTAGGCAACCTATAGGTACTTACCAGTTAGTTTGTTATTATAATGTAATTATGGTTCCGTAACATTATCTGGTACGGAACCTTTCCTGCGCGAGTCTGACTCGCATTTAGCGGGTTTTCAGTGTCAGTAGAATATGCCGAACTTATTACGTACGTATTTCACAATGATATGGCTATTGGCTACATCTTATTTCTTTTACACCGCAAGAACCCTTATAGTGTAAAAAAGCAATGATTTGCTGTATCCCTTTGATTTGATGATTAGTTAATATTACATATCAAAAATAATATCCAATTTATCAATACCAAAATTTAAATCGTTCGGAAATTTTGCAATTCATGTATCTAACCCAGTGGCGTGCACAGAGAATTCAGACTGGGTATGTACTACAAAAAACTTAACAATATAACAACTAAAAACACTAAAGATGTCGGGGACTCAATAAAATGGAGAGAACGAATTATAATGGTAAAGTTATCATTTACATTAAAGGCTTGTTTACCTTTTAGTGGATTTAATAACACATTATCGATCAAAAAGCCAAAAGAACACTCGATGTTTGTTGTTCGCTCTATTATGTTTTTTTTTTTACTTGGCGTGATTAGAACAAAGAAATGCTTAAAAACAACGTGATCGCTATTATTAAATATGTTTACCAAGTTGAGTCTTATAGCTAAGAATTTAAGACTTAACTTCGCATATGGAAGAATTGGTCAAAATGAAACTGGTCATACATTTGGGTGACACAGATAAGGGTTGACTTCAGGCATGTTGGTCGAAAAACTAAGCCAATAACACTGAAACCATGTTTGCATGGAACCCACCCATACAGGATAAAGGCAGGGCGATGATGATGCGTGTCGTTTAAAAACGTGAAGTAATGTGCAATTCAGTGCCACAGCATGATGTCTAATCTTGAGAAAGTCCCGCGCTAGTTGCCCGAGCTTCCGAAGGTTCCTTTGCGTCCAGTCGAAATCACACCCTCTACGGCAAGGGCTCCGAGCACCGCGGCGCCACCTTCCTGCCGGCGATACGTCCTGTTCCCGGATCAGGTCGACTGGCGCAAGCAGGGCGCCGTCACCAACGTCAAGAACCAGGGCGGGTGCGGTTCCTGCTGGGCATTTAGCACGGTAAATGGTTCACACGCGCAGTCCCAACATGGAGAGTCTTATCTAGCTCGTGGAACCTATCTACTCCATGGGCTTCGCCTTCGATGAAGCTTCAATAGTTTACGGACAAAAAGTGAAACATAAAAAACAGTTGTATAAACAAAAAATTGACTGAGCGCTCCAACACGGCGCATGACGACGTAGGTAAGTCCAGAGTCCAAACGCTTAGCGGTCAACTTGATACAACCTTAGTTTTTCTTATCATTTTCGTAACTTCATATTCATCCTTTCGGTTAATGATATAGCGTCATTGCTATTCAATTTCTTTTTTCTTTTCCTTTTTCTTATGTTAAAAGTTATTTTAGGTCGAAAAACACCCGGCGCTAATGGAAAATTTATAATATATAATTATCTACGAACATTAATATTATGACTAACGAAACTCAACCATTCGCCGGCAACACAGACCGGTGCTTTGGAGGGTCAACACTACCGCAAGAGCGGCAACCTGGTCTCCCTATCGGAACAGAACTTGGTCGACTGCACGATCGCGTACGGGAACGATGGCTGCAACGGCGGCTGGATGGACAACTCTTACAGATACATCAAAGACAACAACGGGATCGACACTGAGCTGACCTACCCCTACGAGTCAATGGACGAGACATACAAGTAAGCTCACATATTACCCTAATGTCCCTAATGTAGAGTACAGCGACTCCCGTAAACCGTAGTGGTCGTCCATTAATCACGTGATTTCTCTCCAACCCCACCCAAATTCACGTGTATTTCTAGTATCTACAAAGAATCTTAAAATTTTTAGAATATTATCTTTAAGCACAGGTATAAAGTATAGTGTATCTAGTTTTATTCTGAAATTAAGGACCATAACATAAATATACACACTGCACGCCGCTTTTCGGTTTAGAAATCGCCTGTTTGACGAAAAAATTAATACAAATATATAAAGATATTTACGGCACTGGCACTTCGGCAACCAGATACAACCCCAAGAACTCCGGTGCCGAGGATGTTGGCTTCGTGGAAGGTAATGCAGGCAGTTGCGACCGTGGGGCCCGTGTCTGTTGCCATGGACGCCTTTCACGACAGCTTCCAGCTCTACTCGGATGGCGTCTACTATGAAGACGACTGTTCCACCACCAGACTGGATCACGCGGTGATTTCCTAACTTGATTTTTGACATTTCCTTTAATGGAGGATAACATTGTCCTGTATGTTCGAGCTGTGTTTTTTTTACAAACGGCCGTTGCTAGTTTAGTTAGTAGAGTAGTAAATTTTGTTATCATTTCAGTCACATTGAACATTAAATTTTTTTTGATAAGGGCCAAGTTTAGAAGAAATAAAACTTAGAAGAATTGAATTGCAACGCATCCAGTAATTTTCCGTGATGCATGCACTCTTTATTTATTTACTTATTAGCTTTTCGCCTGCGGCTTCGCTCGCGTTGAAACCCTTAAATAAAAATCTTTCATTAAAAAAAAAATTCCAATTAAAAAATCGCCTGTGTCCTTTCTTAGCCTCTAAACTATCTGAGTACCAAATTTCATTTAAATCGGCGTGAAAGCAAGACAGACAGACAAAGTAACTTTCGCATTTATAATATTAATATAGATAGTATAGATTTCTTTATTAATATATAATAAGGTAGATATGACGCAACGCAACACGTTATATTCTGCTTGGTAGTTACGATCACAACTGACGTTTAGCTTCCCCCTAAAGTGCTGGTAGTAGGCTACGGCACCGATAAGAACGGTGGCGACTACTGGCTGGTGAAGAACTCCGGGGGCTACTCTTGGGGCGACTTTGGCTACATCAAGATGGCGCCCAACCGCAACAACAACTGTGGCATCGCCACTGTTGCCTCCTACCCACTCGTCTAACACCAGCACCATATCTCCACATATCACCAACACCGAAGTAGCACCATTCGTGTCAATTAAAGCCGCCCTTGGATTGTCTAATATGTTTAAGCAGTTGCATTTACCCGAGTAAATTACAGAAAATAAAAGATATTTTAATTTTCCCTAATGAGATTACATAAAAATATTCAAAGTAATTTATAAAATTAAGCCATATAAAAATAGTATACCAAAGTTCCTTTAAGTTGTTGTTATAAGTATTACGCACTGCTTGATTATATTTTTTTTTTCAAATATTGCATAACCTACAACATGAAATTTTAATCGTATTTTCAAATTCAAAAATTCAGATTCTTATGTTCGCTATAAGTACCTATCATTTATTTTTTCACTGTTTTCACATGTTATCTGATAGTAACTTGGTTTAAATAAAGAAAAAAACATATAAAAGTAGTCATAAAAATTAAAAAGACCCATTATATAAATATATTGTGCTTTTAATGTTATTTCAGATTAAATCATTGAATAATATAAGTAATAGAAGAACCATGACAATATATTAATTTTATTTTTGGTTTTATCGTCTTTCCTATGGTTTCAACGTTAAGAGTTTAAGCTAAAATGTCTATATATACAATTTGTTTATCCAAAATTTACACAATTAAATTTATCGAAATTACATATTATATAAACCTAATACGATTAAACTTGGCAATTCAATAAGAACAGTCCTTTATTTAAAATTTGTTTTCCTATTGTTTTTATAATTTTGGTAGCTGATTTGATTAATTAGCAATTTAATGATGCGGATGTTGTGTAATTTTTAACCGACTTCAAAACAGGGGAGTTTTACTTGTCATTGGCATAAAGGATAACAAAATGCCACAATCATAGGAAAAAAAACGGAGGAGGTTCTCAATTCGACTATATTTTTTTTATGTTCATTCAAAGAGTTTAACAGTAATTAAAAATCTGCTTTAAAATTAAATAAATCCTAAAATAACACGTCCAAATTCTAAGATTTCCGCGCGAGTTTTTGTAATTTTGATTATTCGTCCGAAAGTACAAAAACTTTAATCAAGAGCGTGATCGTTTTATTTAAAATACATGTTACTTAAAAATTTAAATTTTATTAAAAGTAATTTAAACACAATTAATTTACATGAAAGCCACAATAACAGTCAGTCTTTAGTGACCAGATCGAGAATATAGTCTCTAACAAATAGAATATAGTCTATTGACTAGATAAACATCATAATTGCGTTTAACTTTGATTATCCTTTTTTACAATTATGGATAAGCCAGTATAAAACTTAAATAAATTATAACTCCAAAGAGCACTTTAATTCTACGTATTAATACATAAAACCATGTGTGGTCATTATATTCATATATTGTTTGTGTAAAAATATTACATCTGTGGACTGCGGTATACTGTTTGTCAGTCAATTGTCAATGTCACTCACGCATGTGCGAAGCGAACTGCGAATACATTTCTTTCTTCTACATCTTTTAGATCTATGAATAATGAAACAAAATGATCAAAGTGGTAAAAATCACCCAAAAAGGTCTAAGAAGGACAAATTTAAATTATATAAGCCTAAGAAGAAAAAAAGTAGAGAAGAAGATTCTGCTATTCAATATTTGCAGGGACAATACGATAAAGTAAGTAGAAGAAATATTACCCAAAATTTGAATGCTGTGGTAGTAAACTTAGCATTCAAATTATTTGTCATCTAGTGAGAAGACTTTATCAAACATATTTATCACATTGTTTTTCATTTAATAAGGCAATATACCAAAAAAGACAAGATAATGTGTTCAACAAGGTTCTAGATGAAGTCCAATATACATTTTAAACCGTAAGATATATCTTATGGTTACTTAGGGTCACTACCACAGTATTAAAATTTATAGTAATTAAAATAAACTAATAACTTTACCACTTTTAAGCTAAGAGGTTTGATTTCTGTTTTTTCAATGCATTCAGAAAAAGTGTGGAATGAGAGCTTGATATAGGTATTTTTTCCTAACAGACTTACTGAACTAATGCATTTTGCCGCCAAGTCTACATCACTGCCGATCATCAAGTGAAACAACAGTCGAGTATTAGCTAGCTATTATATTGATGCAGTTATTAAAAGGATTTGTTGAACCAACCTATATTTTAGTAATCTAAATCAGTAAACAAATTATATTATATTTAATTTTTTTACTGAGATAAATAATAATCAGTAAAAAAATTATTATTAATAACAATAAAACAATTTATTAATTTTAAGATATAAATCAATGGAAAATAAGTTAAATTAGTGCAATTAATTTTAATTAGAAATTTTTAATAATAAAATGCCAATATTGATTATATTGGGGCTCTATTGTTAGATTATGTTGTACCTTCTGTATATGCAATAAATTAATTTAATATTTATTTATCTAATCGATTTTATTCTTACAGATAACCCCAGATACGATTAAAACATTCAAAGACTTTCCTTTGTCACAAAAAACATTAAAAGGATTAAAGGATAATAATTTTATAACACCAACAGAAATACAGAGGCAAGCGATAGGTTATGCCTTGCAAGGCAAAGATATATTAGGGGCTGCTAAAACAGGTTCAGGGAAAACACTAGCTTTTCTGATACCAATTTTAGAGAACTTATTTTGTAAAAAATGGACTAGGCTGGATGGGGTTGGAGCATTAGTAATTTCACCGACAAGGGAGTTGGCATATCAAATCTATGAAACACTAAGAAAAGTTGGTTGTCTCCATGACTTCTCTGCAGGTTTGATCATAGGAGGGCAAAATCTTAAATTTGAAAGGAAGAGAATGGACCAGATTAATATTCTCATCTGTACACCTGGACGACTGCTTCAGCATATGGATGAAAATCCACTCTTTGACTGCAGTCATCTTCAGATTCTTGTCTTAGATGAGGCTGACCGATGTTTGGATATGGGTTTTGAAGCAACAATGAATGCTATTATAGAAAATTTGCCCCCAGAGCGACAAACACTACTGTTCTCAGCTACACAAACAAAATCTGTCAAAGATTTGGCAAGACTCAGCTTATCCTTTCCCACATATGTGGCACCACATGAACAAGCAGAAACGGTTACTCCAGAATTTCTGCAGCAAAGTTATATTGTATGTGAAATTGATGAAAAAATTGGTATACTATGGTCATTCATTAGGAACCACTTAAAACAAAAAGTTCTCATTTTTATGGCAACTTGCAAACAAGTAAAATATATTTATGATTTATTTTGTAAATTAAGACCTGGAATTAGCTTGTTGGCTTTATATGGAACATTGCATCAAGAAAAAAGGGAGAAAATATACAATGAATTCTGTAGAAAATCAAATGTTGTTCTTTTTGCTACTGATTTAGCTTCTAGAGGTCTCGATTTTCCTCATGTGAATTGGGTTATACAGATGGATTGTCCTGAAGATGTTGAGACATATATACACAGGGCTGGACGTACTGCTAGAGGTGTGTTTGGGAAAGGTGAAGGGCTTTTGATGCTTCTCCCACACGAAGAAAAAATAGTGGAAGACCTCCAAAAAAATAAAATTCCAATTAATAGAATATCAGTTGATCCGTCAAAGGTTGTAGCCCCACAAAGAAAACTAGAAGGTTTGCTTTCTGATAACAATGAACTTAAGCAAACTGCTCAAAGAGCTTTTATGAGTTACTTAAAGTCAGTTTTTCTAATGAAAAATAAAGAAATATTTAATGTTCAACTTTTAGATACTGATGCCTATGCGAGATCATTAGGTTTAATAGTTCCTCCAAGAATAAGATTCTTGCATAAGTACCAAAATAATAAAAAGGAAAAATCTGAGGATGTAGCAAAAGTTGAAGTTCTTGAAAGGTTAAAAGCCAAGGCTGAAGAAGATAATGGAATAGATGAAAGTACATCTGAAGATGAAGAAATTGTACCACAGAACACTATAACCAAGAAAGTAATTAAAGAACTGCCTAAATTTAACTTTCATAATAATGCTGATAGTGAAGAAGATGAATTCCTTCAAGTTAAACAAAGTAATGTTGAAATCAATGAACCATTAGAAGAAGACGAAAATACCATGTCAAAAAAGAAAAAGAAACCATTAACAAAAGCTGCTGTTGCTAAAAAGTTATTAAAGAAGAAGATCAAAGTAAACACACAATTAAAGTTCACAGAAGATGGAGACCCAATAGAAAATGAAAAGAAAGATGTGAAATCTGAAATAGCCAAACAATTTATAAATGAGGATGTTGGTGGTATTGATATAGAAAAGGCAAAGGAAGTTCTGCGTGAAGAAGATAAATTTGATAAGATAAGATTCAGGGAGAAAGTTAAGGCTAAACATAAGGAGCAAAAACGTAAACTTAAAAACAAAAAGAAGGAAGAAGCAGAGGAAAAAGATGAATTTGGATCCCAGTCTGAATCTGACGGCCCAGATTTGTCGTGGTTACCAGATCCTGATAAAGTGTATGGAAAGAAGGAAAGTGGAAGTGAGGCTGAAGATCAATCTGGTAACGAGCAAAACAGTATGTCAGAAGATGAAGGAGCAGAAATATATCACAGGTATTATAAAATAACTTACGGCTATCATAATGAAATATGATCCAAATGTTTTTACTATAACAAAATGTATTATATTTTTACAGGCCTTTGAAACATAAACTGGTTGAAAACAGAGGTATTCCTCAAGAGTCTGTGGCGCCACGGAAGAAAAAGAAGTTAACGGACATATCTGCATCCCTATCAATACAAGAAGCTGAAACACTTGCAATGCAGTTACTGCAACCAAAGTAACAATTATCTAATGTAATATCAATTAAAACTTGAGGTAAATTATAATAAATAAATTATAATAAATGTTTTGTTTATTTGTTTAATAAAAAATATTTATTAATTTATTAATAAATATGAATAATTGAAGGCTTAAAGCTAGTGGTTTATCTGTGTGTACGAGGATTTGTTGCCAAAGTACGAGATTCACGACCATATGTGTAGGAGGACAAGCGAAGGCTTCGTCTATAAACCCTGCCTTGATTGCAATCGATAGGTCGTTATTGTTATTTAGTCGCGAGACAACGTTCGAAAATAGAATATACATTAATTAGAAGAATAAACACTCGTGATTGCAGCGGCGAATCTGGCCCAGTAGGCCCGGGCCTAGGGCGGCCAGATTTTAGGGGCGGCTAGTCGTGACAAAAAATTCAAAGATGATCACAAGAAATAAAAAACGTTGTACTAGTAAATAGTATGGCAGGCTACACTTCACCGCATCGTTAAATAATAATTTTCCTAAATCACTTTCTGTTTGTATATGTTGCGTATCCTGGCCCGCAGGAGCCCTAGGGCATCGGAGCTTTATCCAACGGATTTTAATGGGCATTGATTCTTTTGAATTGTTTTATAGAAACTTTTTAAAATAAGATGGACAGAGTTGTTTTTTTTTTAATTACGATGCAATTCAACGATTCGCATGTGAAGACATCGATATTGGATCACTTGAAATTTCGGTTTGAAATGACTAGGCAGGGATAATGTTTTTATGTCATGTATAATGTTTTGTTTTATGTGTTGTAAACAGTGTTTATCAATAAATAAATAAAACAGAATATCACTTTTTGCGTACCATACATATTTTGTCTAGCTTTAGTAGCGCGGTAAGTGGTGACCATGCCTGTGTTATACAGGGTGATTTTTTATACGAAGTACATACTTTGAGATAATGTTAATTGAGCATTCCATAGTTCAAAAAAATATTAATATTTATTTTGACAATAAATAACCAGAAAAATATCAATTAAAACATTGTTTGTTTATCCCGTTAAGAGTGGTCACCCTGTTGATAAGCAACACCTTATTAGTAATTATGCGTTCAGCGAACAGTCATTGCTCGTGAATAGGTTTATTGTATTGAGACGGTAAGGCAGGAAATTCTAATATGTGTCCATAATGTTTGAAAAAATTAAAGATAATCTTTGAATAAAAAAATACGTACCCGATTCAGATTTAGAATCAAATACTGCATAATTATGCTCTGTTAATACGGCTCACATATACAGGGTGATTTTATAGACGATGATAAAATCACCCTGTATATGTGAGCCGTGATAGCTCAGTGTCCGGGCGCTCGGCTTTATTTCAACATACTCGAGCAACCTGAGTTCGATCCCCGGTGCCGGCACCAATGAAGTTTTTAACTTTTAAGTGCTGACTTATCACGTGCTCCGCGGTGAAGGAAAACATCGTGAGGAAACCTGCATATTTTCGAAATAATAACAAAAAAAATATTTTTCGAAGATATGTGAAGTCCGCCAATCCGCAGTGGCGCCGCGTGGTGGACTATGCCCTGATACCCTATGTATAGAGGAGGCCTTTTCCCACCAGTGGAAGATGTATAGGCTAGCTTATGTGACTATGATACACACAAAAAATGAGGCACGCCAACGGGTGTCGATCTCATGACCGCAGATCTCAGATTCCGACAGTTCCATCTTTGGCTTGATGATCTATTATGGTCTATGATGATCTATTATTTGTCGGAAGAGGTCAGTGAGTAAGCGTCCCGCAGACTCAGAAGAAACAACGTAGCTTGTGCACACTGACACCGCCGATTCACTATATCTCTGTAACCTCTGTTGAGGAAAAATGAACAATTCGACTAAAAAGGAGGGACACGATACAAATAAGGTTGAAACGGCGATTTAATCACGATGACATACTGATGTTGAACGATTGATTGCGAAAAGTTAAATAACAAGAACTACGAACATTAATTATTTACGCAATGATGAAAATGAGACTCGTTATTAACAAATAATATAAATAATACGGGGTATTGTGTGTGGTTTGTTAACGGGGACCTCGCTTTCGCCGACTTGTGCGCTGACTCATGTGGTTGTTTGTTAATGTCTTTCATTATATACTTGACAAGTATATAATCAAAGGTTTAATTTATTAGGTGGCACGCTAGGTGTGGTGTGGCATCAGTGGACATTAGCCTGTTCGGGCTTCTGTCGCCTCGCCAAAAGGCGACGCGTTTTGGGTTGTCGGGTCGGCATTAAGGATAAATCTGTCAAAATATTTTTCGCCATGTATACTGCGAAGTAAAAATAATAATTTAAAATCTTGGTTTTATTAGTTTTTCTTAATCATTGTGTGTATTAAAATATTAAAAAATATTTTTTATGCGCTAATATTAAAAGAAATAATCATAGTAAAAATATTTGGTATTTTGGTATCTAGTAATAGAATTACAACACTACAGTTGCTACTTGTTCCTGTCCTGTTTGACAGACAGAAAACGGATCGTTGCACTTTTAGCGGTGAAACGCTAAAATTCGTACAATAAGTTTTCTATGGATTTAGAGTAATTTGAATAGTACTTATTGCTTTTAATTATGTTTTGGAGCGGTAACTATAACATAGTTAGGGGTTTAAATAATCTCCTGAAAGAGGAGGTGCGTATTTTGATCTGGAATTCATGGTTATGAATTGTTGTACGAATAAGATAAGTTGCTAAAATATTGCTTGTGTAAAAGTTAATTGTATTTTTGTAAGAATATAATAAAATGCAAACGAATTGATTATTTTTTGAAAGGGTAATTAGGATACGCTTAGTTATCTAGTGTCATTTTATGAATATTGTTTGTTATAGAATGTTACATTGACTCAAGTGTTGGAGGCGGATGATATTTTGCAAGAATGTAAGGCCGACAACACAGCGCTCATACTTTTGTAAGTAATTTAGTAATTTCTATTTGATGGAAAAATATTCCCTTCACGTGCTTTTCTCTATTTGGGTTTAAAGACTGAACATAGCAAACAAAACACTTATTCTACTGACATTGTTATGGGTGGAAAAAGTCCGAAAAAATTTTCGAATGAAAAACAAATGTAATGTTTTAAAATTAACTCAGTGCTTTAACATTGTTTGTTTTATTAATAAATATAAATTAATTTCAGTTTAACAAAATCAGAAGTTTTAGCAGAGCTTATAACTCTTATCATAGAGGAACCTCCTAAAAATGTTGATATGACATCTCAGTACCGTCATGCGCACATTGCAAGCGAAGTTCTCACCAGTCAGCTCACTATGTTGAGTGACCGCCTCTCTAGGGATGTTGTGCAAATGAACCGGCTTTGTGACTTTGTCAACAAAGATCCACCATTAAATCCATTACTGGCATCGTACTTCAGTAAGACTATTGAAATGTTGCTTGAAAGGAGTCCAAAGCAAGTAAGTTTTTGATATGTGATCTGTAATAATTTTCATAACCAAAAAAGTGCCCTTTTAAAGAATTCATTTTGAGGGGTGCTTGTAATGTAACTTATGAATATTTTTTTGTACTAATTTGTTTGTTCATCATTCAGATACCATCATTTATATATGAATGAGTATGTTTCCTTCTATGGTCAATATTTGCATTAGAGTTTCCTAATGCTATGTATATTATCAAAAATTTGTTTAAATGTGAGTAGTTTGTGCAAATGAATTGTGCATTTTTGTTTCAGGACTGGTACCTGTACCACATCGTGTGCCTCCGTGTTTTGGACTTCTTTAAATCGAGACGAGATTTTTTACCCAATCTCTTGCGGCATATTTCAACTTCAACAATTGCAGACATTTTTAAATACTTTATAAGGCTTGAGGACCCATTTAACAAAATAATTTTGGAGGTGTGTATATGTTATGTTTCATTGAAAAATTTTTGTGGAATCTTTTAAAAACGAACTATTTCTGCTTTAGATTGCTATTATTGTGCGTCATAAATACATTTAACAGACATCAATAGCTTTACCTATCTCAATATAGAGCAGTTATTTACATGTTGTTCAAACTAGTTGTATTCAAACATCTTTACAATTATAGGCTTTTGATTGCTGTCTTATCATTAGAATGGACATGCATAGCCAGCACATACACATAAAATGTCCTCTCTTTTAGAGAAATGCTATATAGCATTTTCTTTAATAACATAGCCAGAAAATTTTAGCACTGGTGTCTTCAAAGATATATCTAATATTCTTTTTTATGATATCTTTGGTGACTTTTAGTGGTTAGAAGAGAATCAGTTCCTAGAAAGTCTCATTCACATAATTTGCGGGACATATGAACCTGAAGAAATACGACATGCCTCCATCACTGATGGTGAAGAGAGGTCACCCGACCAAATTGAGAAGGGCCAGCAAGAGACCAGTGAGAAGGTTGAGATGAATCATAAAGACGACAATGGCAAAGAAGGGACTGATAAAGGTATGTTAAAGGTTACAATGATTTATATGTTAAGATCCACAACAGCAAAGCAGACAATTTTTGTATGGGATTGTGATTACAATAACTTTACCTTGTACTTCCGCAAGAAGTCACAGGAATTGTTATAACTTATCCTTGTACTACAGCAAGAACTCACAGGAATTGTTAGCATAACCCAAACTCTTTGTGAAATTAATATTGAAACAGTTCAGTTCGACAAGTGTGGTTACAGGCTGTTTTGTTTATGGCAATTTCCGTTTTTTTACTTTTTGTTTTCAGACGTTGTACCTTAAACCATGCATTCACTCCGCTTCTTTTTTTATCCAAATAATTTATTATTCAAACAATTTAAAGTTTATCTTAGCCTGCTAGACTAAAACAAGAAAGGAAACTAAAACTAACGGGTACGCTTTTTGAGGGCAACCTACTAAACTGTACAACTACACTTACGGGGTTATGCAGGCGTAAACTTTTTGCAGTTTAAAAGTTGATGAGCAGGTGGTTCGTCTGTCTGTCTGATTGATGTCAAATTGTTACCGCCGCTCACGGCCATCTTCAACACCTGACGGGTGGCCATCATTAACAGTAGGCCACGGCTATGAAAGAACCTCACGCCAGTCTTCTGTGCGGCCGTCGACTTCTCCGGACGTGCCTGCCCAATCGTGCAACAGTGTTACTGGCTGTTCAAAAAATATTCTTATAGCAATACATAAATTCATTAAAATTCACGAAATTTAAACCAAAACTTCCTATGAGAAACATGTAGGAAGTTTTGGTTTGTATTTACTTGCCCTTCTGAAAAATTCCCCTGCCTCAGGAGGCCTTACTTTTGACCGTCTCAGATGCTTTTAAATTGTTAAGTCCACGCAGCAGTTTACTGTTGCACGATTGGGCAGGTCCGTCCGAAGCAGTACCACGACCTCACAGAAGACCCGCGTGAACTTGAAGTGTGTCTTCTGCGCTACGTATGGTGAGTGCGGTAGCTCAGCTCAGGGGCCCATTTTATTAAAAGGTGCAACGCATCTTCAACCTACGGGTGTTGCAATGTCCGTCGACGGCCCCGTGATATCCCCATATCACTTAACATCAGGTGGACCGCCAGCTCGCTTGCCACCCTCTCACAGAAAAAAATGGTCTGTCCGCAGAAGATGCCGAGATTACGGAGCGCCACTCCAAGCGGCTCATCGCCGAAGCCGGTCGGGCGTCCGCCAACGCGGCCGCCCTGCTCTGCGACCTGCTGCTGGGCGCCTGCGCCTCCGCCAATTCCGGGATAAAGTAAGCCGCCCGCATCGTCCGCCGGTTTCTCTGCCTTTCACCCTAACCCTCGGCCGCTTGGTCTCCCCTGCCGAGGGCTTCCGTCTGGTTGGGTCCTATAAACCCAACCAGGCGAGAAAACAAAGAAATGTCCCCAATAATAATGATCTCCCCTGCCGAGGGCGTCCATCTGGTTGGGTCCTATTTATATATGTATTATATACAATATTTATATCTATATGTTTATTTTTTGTCTATAAACCCAACCAGACGAGAAAACAAAGAAATATCCCCAACATATTAATAATATTAATTTATTCGCATAAAACATGGTACATAATATACCAACTGTATGATGTCTCCGTGGCGCCGTTGCTAAAGTATCGTGTCCCTTTTCGTCCCTTGGGTACGGAACCCTAGAAACAACCGTTCGGTTTTCAGGCCGCTGACGAGCTGGCGGCTGGTGACGCGGCTGCGGTCGGAGGAGTGCGTGCGTCTGCTTCTCCAGTGCATGTTCACCTCGCCGCCGGCGATGCGCCGCCACGCCATTGTCAACGGCTGCCAGCTTCTGCTGGCGTTGCTGCCACACGACTCCCTATCGTGAGTTCGAATGCAAATTGCAGTCGTCCGATTTGCCCCGGGGTAGTGATGCGACTCGAAAACTCGAGTACAACTCAAATGACGTAGTAAAATTACGCGAGTGGCCCCCGGCCACAAAATACACACACGGTACACGAGTCCCATCTCTACCTCGGAGAGCGGGCCAGACCGAAAACCATTGCCGTGATCGGAACAATCTTAGCTTCTGTATAGCGAATTTACCGAGTCCTGTCCATTCTGCTGGCTTCACATTTTTTCATTTATTTTACTTGTGCAAATTTATTTTCTATTTTCGTTCGCTGTTTCGACTTCCACGGTGTCGAAAGACTTTTCCTACTTTTTTCTACATATTTCAGTTTCAATTATTTCCAAGCAGCTTTGCGTTCATACCGTATAGTATAGAGATGAGTATGACTGGCTTGCTTAGGGGCGGTGAGAGCGAGGCCGAGGGTGCGTCCGCCAGCGCGAGTGTCCAGCGTGCGATAGCACCGCACCTGCCGCTGCTGCACCAGGCGCTGCTGCGGCCGCCCGCGGTGCCCACGCCGCCTAAGGTATGCTAGGGTGTACCGCAAGGCTCGACATCGCACACAACCCTTTCCCTGTTAAGTAATCTGGCTCAAAGTACTTTGCGGAGTTTTTGCAGTCTACTTTGCTTTAACGAGTGTACCGCAAGGCTCGGCAGAACTCACAGCACTTTTCTTATTAGGCAATCTACTGCAAAGTACCTTGCGATTTTTTCTCAGTGTATTTATTGCTTTATCGAGTGTACCGCAAGGCTCGACATCGCACATAACCCGTTCTCTATTAAGCAAGCTGTTCAAACATGCGTTTCGCATTTTACGCTGTCTCTTTATTGTTTGATTCGATCCAGTAATTGTTAAGGAACTTTTATTGCTGTTTATCAGTAGTTTGCCCTTTTTCCATGTCAGTGAAGTTTTTGAGATAGTTTTCTACAACTGGGTGTTGTCAGTCTTCAGTTTAATATTTGTTTGTTTTTCTTCAATTAATATTGATTTGATGAATTTATGGTATTTGCTTTTAATGTAATACAAACGCAATAGTTACGTTCACGTACACTTAAGTTATACTGTTACACAGATATTCAATATTTGTGTTGGCCGTATTGTCATTGATATTAATGTGATGTGTTGCAATAATTTTATTTTCTAACCGGCGAAATCGCTCTTCAGGACGACACGACCGAGGCGGACACGGACGCGTCGAATAGCGCCGCGAAACCGCAAAATAGAGAGCGTAGCGCGCACGACGACGACAGGGTCAACGACCGCACGGCGGGAGGCTCCCGGGAGAACCGCGAACGGAACGACGCAAGAGCCGCCGCGACGGACGAGCTCGCGAACGAGCGAACGGACGAACGTCCGACCGAACGTGCGAACGAAGGTCCGAACGAACACGTGGGCGTGGACGTGAACGCGAACGAGACGTCGGCCGAGCACAGCAACGGGCGCTCGGACGGTGACGCGCAAGGGCGCGGAGAGCACGCAAACGAACACGCAGACGAGAACACGGATGAGACGAAGAGGCGAGCAGACACGCAGGCAAACAAGCAAGCGCAGTCGGGCGTCGTCGGCGCCGCGCGCGTCCACGTGGCGGCCCTGATCGCCCAGCTCGCCTTCTCGGAGGTGGAGGATGTGCACAACGCACTGCTCACTCTGGGTGAGTCTGGTCACCCTGTGTACGGTTGCGCGTGCCGACTGATTTACTGCGATGTCGCTTTCTGACTTATACCACCGCTGGACAAAGGCCTCATCTGTACTGAGGGTATTAGGGCACAGTCCATCACGCGATCTTCGAAATATTTCCATTGTTATTATTTCGAAAATATGCAGGTTAAATCACGATGATTTACTTCACCGCTGAGCACGTGTTAACTCAACATTTAAACTTAAACTTTCACTTGGTGAGTGGAATTTTACTTTGGATGCCGCGGGATCGAACCCCGCTACTTGGATAGTATCATGCGTACTTTTCCAGCGTTGAGTTGTTTTAATACCTAAAAAGTTTGAATGTACAAATGTTTGTTTAAATGTGTTAATCAGGTGACATGTACCTATATTCAAAAGCTCATAATAAAAAATGTATTCACAAACATCCACAAGGATGGAGAACGCCCCATGCAATTCAGAGAGGAATAAGCCGTTGGCACTCTCCGTTTCCAGGCACGGCGGGCGTGCTGATAGACATGTTCTTCGACTACCCGCAGAACAACTTCCTGCACACCCAGGTCTACATCCTCGTCCACAATGCGCTCTCCAACAGGGTCTACGGGGAGCGGTACGCGGACCACGTGAGTGCTTCCTTCCGCTAGTACGGAACCCGAACGCTTTTCATTTTTATTTACGCGAGAAGGTGATGTTCAAATCGAATCAAAAATATATTTATTCAAATAGACGCTTGCGCGTTCTTATGAATCGTCAAATTTTACATAAAAAGTTATATATAAAAGAGACGTAAGGTATTTAAAATATAATTTTTCTAATAAAAATTTTTGAGAATTTGACCCCGCATACGTACTGGCAAAATTTGAAGTTTTTGAATGACAAACAACTTTGTAGAGACGGTTCCTTACTAACTATTTCCTATGTAATAAACGAACGCTTTATTGTAATATATTTCTTTTCATGAATTTCAGTTGATAGATGATTGCAATCTAATAACAAGGCTGATGGACACATACGAAGAGAACGAGAACACAAAGTGAGTCCTTTGTTCAAACTTTAGTAAGTAATGCATTCTTAAACATACAGCATGTCCTAAAAGTGGCATGACAGACTCGAGCCTTGATCTTAACAAATCGGCATCGGCATTTTTCCGGACAGAGCCATCGGAAATTGCTCTATCGGAATGAAATGGAAAAGGATAGTATACTGATTTGCTTGTTATGTTTGTACTCTTGATATGTTTTTGTAAATATAATAAAAGCAAAGTAAGCCATCGAGATTTTTGTCGAGTGAGTATTTCGACCGCTTCACCTAAGTGATTAATTCACTGGGTTTATTTGTATATACCGCATATACAAATAAACTCAGTGAATTTATCTATAGTGTTTATTTATATATAGTATATATTTATATATAATATATATATATATATATATATATATATATATATATATATATATATATATATATATATATATATATATATATATTTATATATTTATATATATATATATATATATATATATATATATATATATATATATATATATATATATATATATATATATATATATATATATATATATATATATATATATATATATATATATATATATATATATATATATATATATATATATATATATATATATATATATATATATATATATATATATATATATATATATATATATATATATATATATATATATATATATATATATATATATATATATATATATATATATATATATATATATATATATATATATATATATATATATATATATATATATATATATATATATATATATATATATATATATATATATATATATATATATATATATATATATATATATATATATATATATATATATATATATATATATATATATATATATATATATATATATATATATATATATATATATATATATATATATATATATATATATATATATATATATATATATATATATATATATATATATATATATATATATATATATATATATATATATATATATATATATATATATATATATATATATATATATATATATATATATATATATATATATATATATATATATATATATATATATATATATATATATATATATATATATATATATATATATATATATATATATATATATATATATATATATATATATATATATATATATATATATATATATATATATATATATATATATATATATATATATATATATATATATATATATATATATATATATATATATATATATATATATATATATATATATATATATATATATATATATATATATATATATATATATATATATATATATATATATATATATATATATATATATATATATATATATATATATATATATATATATATATATATATATATTATAAATAAAAATAAAGATATAGATATATATTGCATATATAAAATAAATATTAAGCATATATATATATATATATATATATATATATATATATATATATATATATTTATATATATATATATATATAATTATTTTATATAAAATATTTACATATATATATATAAACATTTTATATAATACATATATAAATAGGACCCAACCAGACGGAAGCCCTCGGCAGGGGAGACCAAACGGCCGAGGGTTAGGGCGAAAGGGAGAGAAACCGGCGGACGATGCGGGCGGTATCGAGGAGCACCGCCTTCTGCATTTGAGCTTGGAGCGATCCGTCCCGGAGTCCCAGTCGCCTCAGATGTTTAGAGAGGCTGACTGAGATCAACCCATTCGCAGACACGACTATCGGGATAATTTCGGTCGGCACACCACCCCACATGTCGGTCACCTCGTGAGCCAGGTCCAGATACTTCGTCTTCTTATCTGTGTCGGCTTTCACGAGGTTCTCGTCATATGGAATGGTAATGTCGACCAAAAATACCCGCGACTGTGCCCGGTCCATCAACACGATATCAGGTTTGTTCGCGACAATCGTCCTGTCCGTGATGATGGACTGGTCCCAATAGAGCCTGGCGCGGTCATTTTCGAGCACGGCTTCCGGATAGTACTTGTAGTACGGCAGTTTTCGAACCACGAGGCCGTATTTCAGAGCGAGCTCCTGGTGTAGGATTCTGGCTACTAGGTTGTGTCTATGCAGATACTCAGAGTTAGAAAGCATGGAACAACCGGAGATAACATGCCGAAGCGACTCCCCGGGATGGCGACAAGCTCGACAGATGTCGACGGTGCCATCCTTTAGGTTGTATCTCCGATACTTGTTCGTCTTAATAACCTGATCCTGTATCGCACAGACAAAACCTTCGGTTTCCCCAAAGAGGTCACCGAAACGTAGCCAATTAAGGGAGGCAACAGTATCTACGAAAGGCTCGTGTAGAGCCTTGTAGAACCTCCCGTGGAGCTCTTTCTCCTTCCATACGGCCTCCCGGTCGGAAACGCTCAGTACTCCCGGGTCCTGCCATTGCTCGTTGGCTAAGGATAGAGGGGTAAGCCCTTTATCACAACTAATGACGTCCGTGTAGATGGACTCATCCGATCTCGTCGTCGTCTCCAGGAAGTAGTTGCGGAGGCTGCACACCTCGCGATTGTGCATGGTAAGGGCGCTCAAAAAGCCCCTCCCGCCATGCTTCCGCGGCAGGTACAGCCTCATCACTGACGATTTCGGATGATGCATTCTGTGGGACGTCATAGTTGTGCGGACTTTTCGGTCCAGGGCATTGAGCTCATTTTGAGTCCACCTGAGTATGCCAAAGGTATACATGAGGACTGGCATGACCCAGCCGTTAAATGCGCGTGCCTTGTTCACGCCTGATAAATGGCTGTTAAACACCTTTGTCAGGCGTGCAAAAAACACGTCACGAACTGACTGTTTCATGCCAGCCTCATCGATACACATATTTTGTGACATACCCAGGTATCGGTATGTTTCAGCCTCAGAGAGGGTCCTTATGTTAACGGGCATAGATAAATCTATGCCCTCCGTGTTAGCGACCTTACCCCTTTCGACATGGAGGACCGCAAACTTATCCGTCCCAAGCTCCATTTTGATAGAATTGCTGAAATCACAAGTGACTTTAAGCAATTCCATCAAATGGGAGCGATTGGAGGCGAATAACTTGAGGTCATCCATGTAGAAAAGGTGGGTCACTTTTGTCCCTCCTCTCCGAAGCTGAAATCCTCCCCCCGAACGCTCCAGTAACACGCTGAGAGGATTCAGGGAGAGGCAAAACCATATTGGACTCAAACAGTCACCCTGGAAAATACCCCGTCGTACCCTTATCCGGTATTCCGCAGCCGTCATCCGCTCGCCTAGATGACAAAGGATCGTATTCCATTGCCCCATACAGTGCTCGAGGAAGTCTCTTACTGTACAGTCTACTTTGTACAGTTCGAGGACCCTCTTTAGCCATGTATGGGGCACCGAGCCTTTTTGTAGTCTATCCAGGCGGCGGAGAAGTTCCGACGGTTGCGTTTAACCATTTTGCCAATGACCGCGTCGATGAGAAGCGGTTCCTTGGTTCCACGACCGCCGCCCCGACATCCATTCTGAGCACAAGACATAATCCGATTCACATTAATATGTCGGGTGATTCTCATGCTCAGAACAGATGTCAGTGTCTTATAGATGGTGGGTAGACACGTAATGGGGCGGTACTTACTCGGGTCTGTGGCAACCTGATCTTTCGGAACCAAGTGAGTGATATTGGTCCCAGCGAACGCCATCCTACCGGTGCGCACAATTCTGGGCCTATTATTACCCGACCTGAAGCTTATCAGCCTGCCGATGATGGCCCTTACCTTTGCGATACGGTCCTCAATTCTTTTTCTCCATGCTGGGATAGTGCTACCTGGTCTGGTAGCACGTCCAGAATTGGGAAGTTTGGCGCCAACGATTCGGCATACTGCCAGTGCAGCGCCAAAGAGAATTGAGTCCGTATCGCAAAGGTCCCGGCTAGCTTCCAAATAGGTTGCCAGCATCGGGTTAAGAGACCTCACGACAGACCGACTTCGCTTACTCAGGGGTATGCGGGGGAGACGTGGTCGATTCTCGAGAGGCGTTTCGCGCACCTCCAGAATTGCCTCCTCCAATATGCTTCTCATCTGCTCTATATCTTGGGCGACTATTCCATCATCGAACGAATCTACAGGAGCCGGGGGGTAAAACGCGGCCTCCGCTTCCGCTTGTAACCCCGCGGGGTCCGCAGCTTGCGGGTTCGCATTTCCAGCTACTGCATTTTCGTCCGATGAGGGAACAGCCTCACGTCGAAGTCGTTCGAGTTCGGCATCATCAAATATTTTCGAACGCGTGATGTACCGAACTCGGTCTGCCAGGTTTTGCTCGGTGACGGTTACAGACGGCTCCAGCTCAGCAAAAAAGCGATGCATCCTACGATATCCCGATACGCAAACCCTCCAGTTTCACTCCCTTTCGCCCTAAGATACGCCCGCATTGCGTTCTCATTCATCTCCTTCGTCCAGCGCAAGCGGCGTATTCCACCAGCGGCGGGTGCCGATTGAACATTATTATTATTATTATTATAATGTTTGTAAATAACGTTTCAGTACGAGGCGACGGGCGTCAACGAATCGATCTCTGAGCTCCAGATGCCCTGTAATAACGATGTGAGTAGATTTTTAGTTTCTCACACAGTTTGGTATAGCAGACTGAATGTATATATTAACGTTCACTTTACCAGGCGGAAGACGGCGAAGAGAAATTCTACAGAATGGCCGGGCAGCGGTTCGATGACGGGTAAGTTTACATTTATTAAAATAGTCATTTTGCGTGCATGGATTGAATTTACATAGGCTACTTTTTATATTGCAAAAGACAATTATTACTATCCATTGTAAAGAAGTAAATAAACGCGCGCGGTCGAAGAAGTGGCGACTGTATGTTGTAATTGAAGCGAAGATTTCAATAAAGTGAAAAAGCTTTATTTGTTTTTCGAAACCCTTTTGCTTGGATATCACTTTCGGCACTTTATGAGCATTTAACTTCGTTTGCTTGTTAATATATTACTTTGTTCGTTTATCTGCAATAATTTACAATTTAAATGTTCACCTTGAGTGTAAAAAAATAAAAAAAAAAAAATACATGAGTTAATGCGTTCCCTGTTGGTGCTAATTCGCAACCCTAGCAGCGGATACCGGTGACTGATGCGACTAATCCACGGTCCACAGGATTTGGGAGAGCGGCCCGTACCCGAAGGAGTACGCCAAATACGCCGAGGCTGAAGCCGAAGTTGATGCCGAAGTTGATGCCGAGGGCGAGGCTGATGCCGAAGCTGACGCCAAGGTCGATGCTGACGCCGATGCGGAAGCCGAGGTGGACCCGGCTCGCGTTAGAGAAATCCTCGCAGACGTCTCACGTGAGTCTTGTACACGTTTCAATTTCTTGTCTGTCTGTCTTTTTCGTGCATATTTTGTTTCGATTGTTTGCAACTGTGGTTGGACGTGCCAATGGGCACGTCCGTTCGGGGACGTAAGATGTTGTTAGAGACCGGCAGTGGTGAAGTGGAAGTGTTATAGTTCCGCGTTTCGCCTGGTGAGTTAGGTAGCCGGGGGCCCACTTTACTAAAAGGTGGCAACGCATTTAAAACCATGCGGGAGTTGCAAATGTCCATGGGCGGCGGCTATCACATTATTACACACCTTCTCACATTAAAAAATCAAATCCTAGGTGAGCTTAGTAATTTGAAACAATTAAACAAATGTTACAATTCTCTTTGAGGCTGAATGTAAAATAAAGCGGTTTTTTGCCCGGTAATTAGGATTACATACGGATATTTTTAGTCAATAATTTGAATTTGGTATATATATTTTTGCTATGTTGCAAGTTATTAATATTGATTTATTAATAAAAGATAGGGATATAAAGGATAGAGGACCATTTACCCGCTGGCTGCCAATGTCGACGTAAAGATATATGTTATATCTATACGTCGACAACTTATTTTTAAACACTTAAATAGGCGCAGTATGTAATTTCGTACATTCGTCCGTGTCGTTTTTCATTTACACCCAAAAAAAAAAAAACAGTTTCTTTTTAGATTTGTCATATTGGAATGAAGTTCCTTATTTCTATACATGTGGCCTTTTCACATGTATTGACTTCTGAACGCATTCCTTTTTGCATCATCTGTACCAAGATCATTCGGGCTTAAATTGAAATGAATATTGATATCATGATGGTTTAACAGCTTGGGATGCGGCGGACGACAATGCGTCCGATGGCACGGAGTGGGCAAATTTTGGGGAAGTTTTCACGACCCCAATTGATCCCTTCGCCCCCGTAACGGACACCTCGCCTTCGCAGCGGCAGCACTTCTTCGATCAGCAGGAAGTCTTTACCCCTTTTTGGGGGTACGGCGAGGAGCGTGAAGAGCGTAATGCTGGTATGTATTGAGCGAAATATAGTTTTTGTTCCGTACTTGATTTGCCGTTTGGTCTAGTTAATGCTCCTGCGAAATTTCACCTTAGATCATGATGCCTAAAAATGAAAAAAGGATTTTGTTTTTTAAGAACATTTATATTTTAATTGATTACGAAATTACCATGTCTAACGCCCGGTTTCTGAAACACTGATCATCGTAAAGTAAACTAATCAGCTGTCAAATGGCTTTCCAAATGTTATTTGAGTTGTCAAAAGGATGGTTAAACTCTCTGAATTTTGATGATTAAGAAGATCAATTAACAATGTCGTGCTTGTCTTTTTTGATCTGTTCCTTTGTATCTATGCAAGTATAAGACTTGGCAGAATTAAATGGTTTTTAATTAATGTTATTGAAGTTTCATATCGTCTTTAAAGAACAAAAATATAGTCAACATTCCAGTTTGAAGAATGCGTCAATGTAAGCTTCATATTTACGTAGCGTCAGGTACCATATTTGCCAACAAACTGTATTCTCAGTTTGACTAACTTAATATTATTACGAAACTATTATATTTACCTTGTTGATAAATAGCAATTACAAAAGTAATGTGTGACGGCACCGCATAACAGAGGCCGGGGGCGCGGGCGCACTAGACCAGCCGATGCGGTCGCTGAGCCTGGGCGAGTTCCAAGTGAAGCCGATGGACGACGCCTCCACGGCGGAGCTCACCAATAACCTGCTCACCGCCATGAGCTCGATGGCGCCCGACGTGATCGCTGACATTGTGAGCGCTATGCCGCGTCCCGACGAGCCGACCGGGGACCCTGCCCCCATGAGTGCCGCTCCCATGAGTGCCGCCCCCATGAGTGCCGCCCCCATGAGTGCCGCCCCCATGAGTGCCGCACCCATGAGTTCCGTGCCCGCCGCCCCCGTAGACCCCGCCCCCGTGGAGCCTGCCCCCGTGGAGCCCGCCCCGGTGGACACCGCCCCCAAGGACCCCGCCCCCGTGGACCCTGCCCCCATGGACACAAACCCCGATGACTCCGCCCCCAAGGACCCCGCCCCCGCCCTAAGGTGATCCGCCCTCCTCGCGTAGCGCCGCTGCCGGCGCTACTGACCCCAGGCCCCGCCCACCGCTGGGCCGCACGGGGACCTCAAGGCTGTCTATTCCGAGAACAGTGTCCATTCGGGAGCCGTCAACAGACCACATATGACGGACTTGACCTTAACAGTAACCCTTCCCGCGAGCGGGCCACAACCCCACCCACACGGGGTGGTCTTCAAGGCTGTCCATTCTGTGCACGGTGTACATTCGAGTGCCGTCAAGATACTGCTCATGACAGCCTTGAAGATTTGACAGTGACATCCGTGCAAATCACAACTCTAATTCTTTATTTTGTCTCGCCTTCCCTGCTGTTTAAGTGTCGGCGTTCCTTATACGTGATTTCGACACGGTTCACGTGAGCGGATATGCTCTGACGTGATACGTCGCGTTGATTTTGTCACGTGGCGTGACACAGACACTAGTTGCGAGTCGAGTGTCTTGTCCGTCAATTGCGGTCACGCTGACCAAATGGACGCTTCTCTATTAGCTTCGATTGTTGAAGAGTCGATGACGTATCACGTCAGACATCTGTCTACACTGTCGCCCCTTTCGCCCCGTGAATTGTGGCTCGCTCGAAATTACTTATACTCGTCGATCTGTTCCTAAGATGCGTACAAAAATCACATTGTTTAAATGAAGGACCAATGAATCGTATAAAATCGTACAACGTTGCGTTGCCACGTCGAAACTACCTCCTGGCGGAGCGTGTCGTTTTGTATGAAATATACATATAATTCCTTGTTTCATATGTATTTAATATATTGTCGATATGAGACGATCTTCCTTGGCATAATCCCTCCCGTCTCGTTCTTGCTGTCTACACGATATTGAACAAATGTTATTTTTAAGTCGAAATACAGAGCTTATCTAGTGAATGTGTGATGCTATTGGATAACGCGACCATCAAAGGGTCATTCATTATTTTCATTGTGTGAAAACTTGAGAAAGTCTCACGATATTCCATACAGCAGTGAATGATCAACTGTTAGGTAGTATTGTAGCATTTTGTACGATTTTTTACCGTACCTCACCGAAACGAAAACTTCTTACCGTTATAATTAATGATAATAATTACGCTAATGTCTTTGATAGTTTACTAAATGCCTGAGTTTTCATCGATTGTACTTCGCCGTTGTATCCATCCGTATCTGTATTCAGTGTCTTCGTACTTCTAATATAAGTTCTATGGGAGCTCCAACATATTAAAATAGCAATATTACACTGTAAATGTATGTAACAATAATTGTATGCTATTCGGCAGTGGTGTGAAATTTTTGATATTAGAAACGTTTAGGTTTTAAATGGAGTCTAGCTCTAGAATGCAGTTAATGAAATTTTTGAGGTAATAATTGATTGATGCTTTTCTATTGTATTTTAAAGAGCAAGTAATTAATCGCGAGTCTCATCGAATTTCCATCGGGTAATAGGTATAACCCGACGGTCTGCGATTGTTTAGTATGTAAGTTGAGAGATTTGTACAAAAAAATATTGCATTTTTGCCTTCTAAATCATAGATTACTTGTTAAAGTGTGTTTTTTTAGTTTATTGGCCGATGTTGTACTGTGATGTTATTAAGCAACGCATGTGTTTTCTAAAAGGGGATCTTAAGAGCGTAGTTACGATTTTAGGGTTATGCACGTGCAATGTATAAATTTAAAGCGTGCATTTTACCGCGGTAGTTCCGACCGTATCTACTGGTCCAACATATTTTTACTGGTCCATATCTGTTGTAGTTCCACTCGTACTGAGTACATTTCTTCAGGTTCGTTATTATTTTTGCCAGTTCGATGGCGAACAGTTGTTTGATACTTAATGTGTTGTAAGGATAATTGTGGGATTGGTTTTAGTTTCGTGAAAAGTTTTCGCTTCCATCAGTTTTCTTTCGAACAGGTAAAATGATTTCCGGAACCTCTTTAAAATCTCGTTCTATTGTTTTTATAAGGCAGTCGACATTTTATTCGAAATAGCATGGGTTATGTGTGTGTGCACAAGACAATATATTATATTTTTTTCTTTCTTGATACGTTAAGTGACACTCTTCAATGTAAAATATAGTTACTGAATTATCATTGCAAGCAGACTAACGTGAACACAAAACGATAGCCACAATTAAATTGTATAACAGATATATGTTTTTGAACATTGTTGAAAGTATTCGAAGTCGTATTTTTTATTAAAAAATTTGAATTTTAGTTACCAGATAGAAGTTGTATTGTTTGTGTTCTCAACAAAAATTAAGTATCATCTGTTAGTCCCAACGCATTAAACGCAAACGACTTAATGCTACAACAGCAAAAGGCTATTCCAGAACTATCTATTGTTAAAGACTGGCCTTAGTTAGAGATTATTCAACGCTGCGGCGGTCCCTATAGATGCAAATTTAATTTCGTTACATTCATATCGAGTTCTATGGTATATCATTGAACATATCGCCGGCTATATATTCCTGCCGCGTCCCTCGGTACATATGTTCCCAATATCACTTAGTCTTAGTTGGATTGAGTTGTTTCGGTGTTTTGGACGTGGTCATAACTGCTCACGATCTCTATGGCTTGTTCTCCGCTGTCAACTCTATGGTACGTATCTCTCTTCAGATTTTTTACTATTTTAAACCTCAAAGATATCGTGATTATTTTTTTTTCGGGTTTTTATTGTCATTTTTTAATGTTTGTATCGATGAATTCTGTAAATGATTAATTTTATGTTGAATTGTTTCTTCTTGTAAGAGGAAGAATTTTGTATTAATATATAATAAAATTGACAGGAATAACTATAAATTTTGCTTATATCTTCTCAGACGTCAGCAAAAGGAAAATACTCGTTCCTCTCAGAAGTATTTTAGTTTAATCGATTATTTTATTACCTAACCTCACTTTTCCCGCCTTCTTGATGGCGTTCGATTCGATTGTGAGCAGTTTGATAAGATTGGTCAATTGCCAGCTGAACCGAGTTCATTTGTTCGCCATATCATGTTTCTCTTAATTTTAAAGTCGTCATGTACTCTCGTCGCTGAGATCGCTACATGTAATCTAAGTGTAAGTAAGTGCATAATTTTAACATTACGCGTTGTGTGTTCTACGATTCATTTTAAGATACACGTGAGCTTCAAATATATCTGTGAGATTGTGTAAGTCATCTGCATGTCAAACACATATCCTCCAAATTTTCAATGTTTATGATCGTTTGTTGGAAATCGTCCGTCATTTTATCAGAAGGCCAGAATCGTACCTTAGCTTTTTAAGATTTGCAATTTATATTTTAAAACGTTTTGTCGCGGGATAACATTAACATTGCGCAACTGTCAGTTTCATGTAAAGATCTTCGTAGCTTTTAGAGTACGTAACCGTCATGGAGTATGAACTGAGTAAAATGCTGTTAGCATTTAATATGAATAGCAATGAATAATAATAATAACACTATATTTGTTATGACTTATGTCATGGATCCATAAGAATGACAAGTTTTTTTTTTTCTATAAACGGACTTAAAAATATTTATAGTACTGTTCATTGGAAAACTGAGATTGATTGTGAGACGTCTGCGTTATCTGTGGGGAGGGATGTTGTCTACGGGGCATATAGGTACAGTAAAGTGACCTCTCAGTTCGTACTTCCTGACGGTGTACTTCGCAACTGTGATTAGCGAAATGGTATCGCAGTGTGACTCACCGTGCTTTCTGCCTACATCAGTGCCGTGCAAGGTGAATGCGATTCCAATTCTGCAATGCACTCACAGTAACCCTCGATGTATGGATTGGTTTTATATGTCACTAAGGTTTTTTTTCAGAAAAATAACGTATCACATTTTTCAAGCAGGGAAAAGTAAAGTCTTAAAGACTTATTTTTGTGTTCTTCTAGCACACAGACAGTTTTTCATTATCCTTAAAAAGAATATTTAAGGACAATGAAAAGCCGTCCGGAAATTGAGTATTTTTACATACTTTATTTTTATGAAAAAAGTATAAAGTATGTTTGCCAAACATAAAGTAGGATACGTTATTATTATGTGTGGCTGGCAACCCTATGTGTCAAAGCACGTATTGCACGTTGCGTCGCATTGCCGATTCCGTTAAAGGTGCTAGTTGGTAACCGCACGTGGCGGTGCGTGGGTTCGATGCCTGGTGTGTGCTACTCAATATCTGTATATATTATCTCGTAGCAGAAATCGTGTCCACTATCGATATGTACGTATGTATTAACTGTTGTAAATATTTCATCGTTTGTAGATATAAGTATTAAGTTTAAGTTGCATGATATTCTAATCGCGTATTCACTATGTTATGATCGTTTACGGATTGTTGTGTAATGAACTATATGATGCAGTTTTTTTTATTATAAATGCAATACTATTTGTTCGGTGCGCGTGCGCAGAACTGTTTTTTAATGTTAACGTTTTCCGAAATTGTTTACGATTACTGGTTACGTTGTCTGTGAGAAATTATTGGAAGTTTAACGCGTTCGTATAGGGTTTTGGGCGTCGGGCGGGTTTGTTAGCACATTTAGTTATGGTATGGTATCAACTATATGTTTATAGTTGATACCATACCATAACACTTAGCAGTCGATGTTTCCAGTTGCGTACCCTAACCGTCTTGTAGCCTATGTGGGTATCCGTACAAAAACGTGGATTCTAAATACACTAATTCTAAAACCACACAGTTCTTTTTATGTACTTTTCGAGCTGGAAAAATCTAAGAAAGGCTCATTAAACTAGGGTATTTTATCCATCATTGGTGAAGGTCCTTCATGATTAAATTGCTATTGTTTTAAGTCCGGTTATGGTTTTTACCTTTTTGAGGACTTCGCAGTTGACAGAACTCGCTCGAGCACCTACGTTTCGGGAGGGCTAACATCCTCTTTAGAGTTTCCCCCCGAAACTAGTATTATAGTTGTTAGTGGTTAGTACATTGAAACTTCGCAATTACTTCTAGTGCAATTAGCTGCCTTCGATCTTGTTGTCACATTATAGCCCTATTAGTACTAAGTCTAGATGTAGAGCACTTGTTGTTTTCGGCTGTTTCATTTATTGACCCGTTGACAACCCTGCCGCCTGAAAATTGTCGTACGCTCTAGTCGCGGTTTTTCGAAATCGAACTTTAGCGCCTTAGGTTAGAGTCGCGTTTACCATGTGCGTTCTACGTTTACATGATACGTTTTCAACGTTTCTTTCGTGACGAGTAGGTGGTGATGGTTTAATGTTAGTGCCGTATATAAAACACGTCTCCTTGAAGTTATATCCCGCGTTCTGAGCGGTGTGGTTTATTCATTGCGTTCGATTTGTCCGTCGTCGTGTTCAAGGTTTAGTCAAATTTTTCTCAGTTCGCCATTCCCATGATACCCAATTTGTTCTGAGACTCGTTTTCGTTAGATAAGGTTTCATCGATACCACCCACAGGCCTTAAGCGAAGCGGTCGTGCGGCGTTCGTCATTACAATATTTGTACTTTCCACGGCCTTCGACTTAACCTCTGTAGTGCCGTGACGTATTCTTTGATACGTCAATTGCACTCGCTGTAGCGTTTAGCACGTGCACTGCGCTTTGTCACCCACCAGCGATACTTGCGCGCTGCGGTTTGGTTGGACATCGTTTAGACGTATTAGAGCGTAAGTATCGGCAATCGATCACAAAGCGACTTAACAGTGCGAAACGCTACTTTTTCTGTGTCATTGCTAGTGTAATTATTTAGTTTCGTTCCGTTTTTAACTCGATGTCTCACGGGCCGGGCTTTGGGCCTTCCTATATCATCCAGTGTATTCCTTCGACTTACTAGTCTCTTTAAAGAGTTTAGAACATCAATATCGGTGACCCAAGGGTTGGACCCGTAGGGACCCGACCCGCCTGTACATATGTAGTACGGACGGAATCTGAGGGTCCGTCGAAACGAGAACTGTGCCTTCCGGGCGTCGACGCGGCGAAATACCTGTCTCCACTTCTTAACTACATCACTAAGACCCACCCCTCTGGTCCCCCGCGCCGCGTCCCAATCGCCTGAGACATGATAAATGCTCGTAATGTATTCAATTGTATTTATTATATAATAGTTGAAAAAGTTTTATTAAAAAAGTTGCTCAATACACTTGCGTTTTCTTTCACGTATGAAGCTCACGTAAGGTAGATCGCAGTTATCACCAAACTGCGATCTACCTTATAACAAACCATCATGTTCGTTCGTGTACCCAGAAATACTCTTGGACACGGTGCCCATGGACATTTGCAACGCCCGTAGGGTTGTTGCGTTGCCACAATAAAGTGGGCCCCAGCTACTCTTCACTTTACGCCGATCTTCTATGAGGTCTACTCGGACGGACCTGCCCATTCGAGCAACAGCCAAGACTTGCTTTGCCCTACTACGTTTAAAAGATAGGATAGTAGGAAACAGCTCAGAAGCTGAACCATAAATTGACGTAATTTTTATCGCTGATAGGAACTGATATTGATGGACCGTTTGAACGTGTATGTCGTAATGATAAGGTATGGGAGAATATAAATATATGCAACCTAATGATCGTTCCGATGTCTATTACCATCATCATGATTTCAGGTTGCCTTGTCCACTGCTGTTGACATAGGCCACCCCCACAGACTGCCAAGCACGACTGGACCAGCTGTATCCATCGTCCTTCTGAGCCATGTCGGTTACCTCGTTTCTAATGCCGATATTAGCATTGCCTATAAATACCAAATACTTTCTTGCGACTTTTTACGACTTTTAAGAAAAAAAAACAAAAATGAATCCAGTTGGAGCATTATGAAATGAGAAAATTGTTACTTACCAATCGAAATGACAACTATTTATGGTGGCAAAGGAAATATTGTAAGGTTTGAATTGAAATGAAAGTCGAAACTTCGATATAATTTTATTTCCATATTTTTATAATTCATTTATATATAATGACTATAATCAACTACCAAACTAAATAATATAATTCAACAGCATTTATTATATATACAGTATGTATAGTTGTGGATCTTATGATTCCTCATTTCCGAACTTTAGAAAAGAGACAGTCGTCTAATTCATACAAAAGAATGTTGAAACAAACTACGGTCGTTAATGATTAACAAGTAATAATTTGCCACAAGTTTTGTTCATTACTTATTTACAAACCTTACATTAATTTAGTCCCATAATTTCCAAAACAACTGTTTGCGCTCAAGGGGCGAAGACTGGCATTAGCGAACTGACGATGAGCTAGTCTCGACAGTCGCGACCATTAATTAAAATTGAAGAAAATCAATTTTCCCTTATTACGCCCCTGAGCATTGCTAACGAGGGAATGAGGACCTTCTTATGATAAGCATTATTGATATATATGGCGGCAAAACATTTGCATCGGTCATCTTGTAATACAGATAAAAAAAGAATAATTCCCACGTTTTCATATTTTATTATGAGTAAAATAAAACAAAAATACTTTCTGACGTAATGACACAATACGTATTACCAAAAATAGGACACTATAATATAAACACAAATAATTGCTCTTTACCAAATATGTAAGTAAGTTACGCGTATATCGGGAAGACAGCAAAGGCAACGGCCGCACTTAGATCATTAAAAAAAATATATTTCCAAATAAACGACTCAACAACTACTTCGCAACGAAAGTTTCTCTATGAAGAATATAATGCTAGTAACCTGTATAGTGTGGAACATGTGACACGTAATGTAGCGAGGAGCGAAGATCAAAGACAAATCGATCATTGGACCGCAAACTGCCTCAGAAGAAGAACTCGATCATTGACATCCAAGAAACTGACATCATATGTTGCGTTCGATCGCAGGTTCCTTTGATCTTGATACGCTTATAAATAGCCTTCTAGGCTCTTCTAAAAATCACCGAAATGAAATCCTACGACGACCTTAGAAAGCGTTAGGTAGAAAAGTTAAGCGCCGTCTAAAAACTACGACGGTCACTACGTCTCGCGTTCTAAGTAATCCGATATATTACACTGATATGCGACCAGATATATTACGGTGCATCTCTACAGCTGCGTGCGCGCTTAACTACGGACACCCGAACGGCAATTCCATTATCATAATCAGAACTTATTTCGGAATTTCAAATGTTCCGCGTGCGCAAACTAGCTTAAGTTTTAATAAGAAAATATCGATTCCTCTATTAGAAAACCGTAGGCTGAAGTGGCCCTAAATAACTGTATTAAAATAAAGCGTCATGTCAAATCTTTTGTCGGATTCAAATTCATACGTTTCAAATGCATATTCCTGACAATAGTAACACTCTGTTATTAATAATATTCTTAATGAAAAAAATTTTAATTAAGACACTACATTACATATGTCGCAACTTTAAAATAAGTTTTTGTATTTAAATATAATATATTTCATGAAATAAGTGACTTTACTTACATAAATGAGGTTACATTAGGATCACAATAAAGATAACAGTTATTAACAATATTAATATGAAAGAAGAAACATGTTACTATAAACATATTTAATTAAACTGCATTTATTATAGTACATGTTACACGAAAAGTAAGTACACAATAATAATTCAAGAATTAACTCCATCTAAATCTCATTCTATTTATTTTTATCACTTTATCTTTCCATGTGAAGAAAACTATACGAATAATAAAATATGCTTTGCAGATAGATTATATACTTGAGAAGAAAAAAGAAAATAAGAGAAGTTTTAGTTTATAAAATTATTATATGTTAAGAATTAAGAGAAAGACGTTACATAAAAAGCGGTAGCCGGTAAGCAACTGAGGGTTACCAGTGAAAAGTAGCGTATTTAGAGGTGTTAGAGAGTTAAACGATTATTGCCATGCGATACACCGATTTTTAAACTACGGTACATACTTAAATATTAGGCAGATGAAACCCGCTGTATGTGCTAATTTGTTATACTCTTTCAAGGTGGACTATTACTAACGATGAGTTATTTCACTACAAATATTTTTACATTGCATTTTACCGTCGTACAAACAGCGAGTCTCTCTACAAACTTATCACATAGACCAGCGATATACATTAGTGCAATTATGTTTTACGTTATATAATAATATTTATCGCTTTTACTTTTATCATGTATTTTTTAACTAGCAACATCAACACGACACCAATTGGTCTGTTCTACATTAGGCTGGCAACCTGCGCGTAGTAAGTATTGCTATCATTGTGTGCGGTGACAAGCACCGTGACTCCTAGAAAATAGTAATTATAATAAAGTAATAATAAAAATTTTACGTGTTCCTACTAACAAATGCTCTAATATTAAACAGAACAACATCATAATACAATATTATTTATATACGCATAATTTAGGTGCGAAATTTAATCAAAAATAATTTTATGAAAAATAATGGTAACACAAAAGATCAAGATGATAAAAGAAATAAATAAAAATACCTGACGGCGCGAAACAAATTTGCATAGTAACAAAAATTATTGTCATCCAATGCTTAATTTTCCAATCTTTATAGTATCATTTATTTATTTTATTAACTTATCACATTATACAGTTCAACATCAACTATCAATTAATTATAATTTTATTCATTCGTGTCTATAAAAATGTACAACTACTTTTTAATATGATTAGTATTATAGCAACGACAATAATCTCATGCGTGGGTACATAACGTTAAAACTTAAACATTATTTTATTTGTATCAATTAAAACTCTGTTACGTGGCTGTTGAGTGGAGTACCGATCGACTTTATTATACCTTCGCGGGAACTCATAGAAACGTCAACAAGTGTGCGCATCTGTACATCGAATTTGAAACGAAATCTACCGTAAATCGGAGCAAAGACCACGCGACGGTGACGTACTAAGGTAGGATATACTGTATAAAAAGAGTTAAGTTTATATTAGTTAATGTTTTCGACCTATTTACATTATCACATCGCGAGAATGAATCAGGCGCGAGTGGTGAGCACACTTGAATGGGAGGCTAGCATGAGCCTTCCGTACACCCTGATCCGGAATAAGTGGCTAACTCGAGGTTTCCTTTTCCATTACTTTTGCAAATGACACGGTAACCTTTTTTTTAAGTTTATGATGAATCTATTAGCGTAGAAAATGCGATGTGTGCGAAGACGATTTGGACACGCCGATACTCGATTAAATTGGAAGCGGACTGCGATCGTATACTACTAGACGTCCACGATAGACGAATTTAGAATAAGTATGTTGTGCGTTAAGGTAGAACCGCTGTGGTTTTTGGTTCTGTTACAATATTGATTTGTGTCAAGTGAAGAACTGTTAAGAACATCCGTTTCTAACGGACGAGCAGAAGTGAGGTTGTTCGATATCGTCCGTTGATTTACGAAGATTTCACTATCAGCGAATTTTATATTATCATCGATAGTTAATTTAATCGCGAGATCGAAAATTCTATGTTCATGCATCAGCGTCTTGAAGTGGCCTGTTATTAATGAACGTATATAAAACGTCGGATTGAATCAGCGTCTCGCTAGTTCTGCACATTCGTCGATCGTTGTCGAGGGGCCTAACTAAGAGCCGGTTTCAACATTCGATCTACAGATAGATTTGGCTACTTGAGATAGTGTTCCGACGTAAGTATTATGGAGCCAATGTCAAACCTATTGCTGGTAACCAAATCTATCTGCAGATGTAATATCGAAACCGGCCGTAAGACAGCACGTCTGACCGGGAGTAGGTGACGGAGCAGCGCCGTAGCTCGGCTGGGTGGAGCCGCCGCGGCCGCTCACAGCTGGTACCACTTCTTGTCCTTGTACTTGAGCATGAGCTGGTGCGCGGAGCTGGAGAACTCGCCGGCCTGCGAGCTCATGCGCTCGGCGCGCTCCTCCAGCTGCGAGAGCTTGTCGCCCCTCTCGAGCACGAGGTGGTGGGCGCGCGCCACCTCGCCCGCGGCGGAGGAGGCGCGCGCCCCCAGCGCGGCCACCTCCCCGCCCGGGATGTGCTTCGCCACCGCGCGGTTCGGCTTGCCGCTGCTCTCACCGACTGAACACCCACCGCAAACGTTCTCTTTTAACATTATCCCGTTTTTTTTACAAAAGTTTCACGTCTCGTTTCTGTGCGGTCACACAAAAGTAGTTGTCCCGTGTGGGAATCGAACCCACTACCCCCGACTCCGAAGCCGATACCTTGGCAAAAAAATTACACGCGTCGTGACTACTTCACGCCAGTCTTCCCTAGACAAACCGGCTCATATGTATGTTTAACCGACTCTTTCTTCACATCAGTTATTAAATTTACATTATTACAGTTATTAAATGTAAAACAAAAAAATTGTAAAGTTTCACGTGGAAAGAAACTTACACAGCTCCTCGCGATCGAGCGGCCTCGCTCCTCCTCCGAACAACCCTCTAAAGAATCCCTCTTTAGGTGGCTCGGGCATGTCCCGTGGGAGGAAAAGCTCTCCCAGCATCTCGTTTAGTTGCTGGCTGTACGATGATAAGAAAAAGTTTACACGCAAAATTGAATACGAAAATTGTATCTATTGTAATTGAAGAATTTTTTTGAGTACGTTTTAAGTGTGCTGCGTTTCGTCTGGTGAATGAGGTAGCCGGGGCCCACTTTGTTATAAGATGGCAACGCGTCTGCCACCTTACGGGTGTTGCAACGAGTCCACGAGCGGCGGTTGTCACTTACCATCAGTTGAACCGTCAGCCCGTTTGCCACCTTCTCACATAAAAAGAGCAACTCGAAGAACCACTCACCAGAACTCGGCGTCGATGGTAAACTTCTGTATTTCTGTGGGCGAGGCGAGATACAGGCCGTGACCACGGTTACTGAAGCAGAACGTCTTCGCTATCCTGGAACGCCGTACATTATATTCTTAACTAATGTCTTTAGGATGCACGTTAAATGTTTAACTGTAGGTACTACTCCAAATTGGCAATTCTCTGTGTCTGCGATTAAGAGGTCCATCTTACGCAAATTCTTATAGACCGCATTTTATTTGATTATTACATTACTTAGTTTAGATGTAATGCGTTGGAAAAATTGGAACTTGTCACGTAATTTACATTTTAAACGGTCGATGTAAGTGGATCGCAAATCAAAGTTATGATGATGTCCATTTGAGTTTTAAAGGTCAAATTATGGTCAAAACTCAATAATGCAATGACCGATGTGTATGCATTTTTCATTGTAAATGTAAATCGTATATTAAATGATAATCGAAAATTCTCACCTTAGATCCTTGTCCGTACAGATGAAACCTATTTGATTTAAAGTCTATAGAAGCGAAGCTTATTGGAGTTTACAAATATGATATACGCTAAATGGCACAGATACGAAGACTTAAGCTTTCATGCTCCTTCATTAGAATAACGAAAAAAGATTTATAGTTAAAACAGACAAGCTAAAAGACGGAAATAGAGAGTAATAAATAAATAACATGAACCATAAAACACAACAGCAAGAGAAAAGAAACTTGAAGCACTGAAGAGTCTTGTGGGTGTGAAAGAGTGTTTCGTCGAAGACACTGTGGCGTAGTGTAGTGTGAAAAGGGGAACTGATTGCTGGTAGGGCGTCAATGGTCTACGCTCACTGCAAGCGGGGCCGGGCTAACGTCAGTGCGTATCTTTGCCAGAATTTTTCAATCGCTGCAATGTCGACTGCAGGTGGCGCTTTCTCGAATCCTGGCAAGGACGCGCTCGGACCGCGGAATGGGGTGTACTTAACGCAACAGGGTCAGGGAAGCGGTTTGGGTGACATGAACAACTAACAGTTCTAACAAAGGAGCGCAAGAGGCCGCGGTGAGCGACTCCACAGGACAGAGTGACGGCGGGTAATGGCTTACGCAACGGGGCCGCTAAGGAGGTCACTTACTGGTCCGTGTCCTCGTTAACAATGAGTTGCTGGCCCCAAATCGAGAGCATTGGGTCTACGATACCCCTCTGTTTTGACTGTGTCTGGAAACTACCAGGAACACAGGCATGAAGTCAGTACAACGGTCGCGGCGCGCCGGTCGCCTCTGCCGCGCCGATGCGGCAGAGGCGACCGGCGCCACGTGGCTCCCACCAATGCGTGATGGTGGATGACTTATCTTAATGTCGCAGGAGCCTAGCGTAGGAACCTAGGCAACATTTGATGAGCACAGTGGTACGTTAGTAATGCGTGTACGCAACCACATATCGGCACGGGTAGCGAACAAAGTTAAAAAAGTGATACGGTGTTAGTTTGCACATGATTGATTATTGTTGTGTTCGAGTCATGTTCAGTCCGTTTCGGTTGTCAACTGAAAGATAGATGGAAAGTTGCGAATATCGTAAGCACAGGTGGTGCTCGATTGGTCGGCGGAATTTTGGCTAAGTTGTGATAGAAATAGCACGACTGTAGCTCGGTGCTGTTGAGTCTGAGTTAAAGATAACACCGTCGCTTGTTTGGCGCAAATGGGTTTTGGTTTGTGCTCTCGGTTAAAATCCAAAGACAAGGTTGGATGCAATGTGGCATTTCGCTGTCACCGCATCAAAGCCGTCGCACGGGACGAACACTAAATGTTAATGAAATAACAAATGCGAAACAAAACTGATTTATCAAGGGTTTAATGTGCAAAGTTGTTTAAAAAAAATTTATTTGTAAATTTTCGCATACATTCTAGTATAAGTTTTATAAACACAAGATGTTCGACGACTTTAGCGAGGCAACAGGTCAGGTTTTATTGCACCAAACAAGTTTCTTTTTCTAACATCGATCGCCAAGGAGGTCGTCTCTAGGCCCCTAAATGATAAATTAGCAGATGTTTGGATACGAATGAATGTATCTGTATAATGAATGTAACTAATAATTGATTTGATAATTTGTCGTAGTCAAAATTGAAGCTATTTAAGAGACGATTGAAGATTGAATATACAATGAAAGCCCTTTATCATTTAGTGCCTTTATTTAGTGCATGGAAATCATCTAAAAGTGGTGTTCCGGTGGCCGGACAAGTCTAGAATAGGACTTGACACCAATTGCACATCGATTATAGTCCGTACTCTGGGTTCATAAGTTCGGGTCGTACTTCTATGGAAACCACAAAATATTCAGTACCGTCAAAATATCGTTTAAATCCTGGCGCTTTGTGTAACGGACGTAGAAAAATTTTAAGCCGAAGTTAAAAGACCTATGGTAAAAAAATTACTTTATGTAACGTGAGAAAAACGTAAAGCTCTGCTGTACTAGTCTATTAAGCGTAGGCGAAGTCAGAGAGGATCTAAAATTTCTAGGTGAAGCGTTTCACCGTCATTGCCGAAAAGTGAACGATATTTTGAAGGCACGATAAGGAACAAGGCACTGTATTTGTGTCAAACGTTAAAGAGCTGATGTTAAACGTGATGCAGATGCTTGGATTGGTCAAAAACCTTGCAAATTATTCGTTAAAATTAATAGTTTTTTGAAGCTCTTTAATCGATCTTTAAAATTTATGCTATCATACATGGATTAGGATGTGTAAATTCATAAAATCCGGTTTCCATAGAAGGATCACACTGTAAAATATGATTAGCTGACCAATAGAGGGTTACCTGAGCTCTGAGAGGGGTAGAAAGTCAACGTCGACTAGCGGGCGAAGCGAGGGCAGGCTGTAAGCCACCAAGTGTCCCGTCGACAGATAATTCACTAGACACACGCTATCTGCAATGGTTGAGAAGGTACATTTGTATATTTGTAGTAGCTGACCCGGCAATGGTTTTGTTGCCACAATTTTTGAAAATGAAAAAAAAATTTAGGGTGAGGTTTAACACTTAAAAATTAGTTATAAACATATTGTGATACCTACCGAATATACATATAAAATTTCATCAAAATCGGTCTAGCCGTTTCGGAGGAGTATAAACACTAAAACTGTGACACAGGGATTTTATATATAAGATAAGCACGTGTTAAACAAAATGATCTTACATTTTTAAAACAAGTGCTTTATTCAAATTACAAAATTAAATGTATTGAATACATTTAGTTTCTTTATTGAATACTTCTTCTCGAGTAAAATTTTTGCGATGTGCGCGCACACCGAGAGCGATACGATGAAGTTTGTTGCAAAGCGACCGACTTTCCAAAACACGTGTGATCTATTATAATTGCGAGGTAATGTAGTTTTTAAAATATACAGGTTGATTTATTAGACAAAGTACCATACTTGGACATAATGTTAATTGCGTATTCAATAATTAAAAAAAAATATATATTAATACTTTATTTTGCCAAGAAATAACCAGAAAAATATCGATTCAAACATTGTTTGTTTATCCCGTTAAGAGTGGTCACCCTATTGATAAGCGGTTCAGTAATTATGCGTTCAGCGAACAGTTTAAGTGCTCGTGAATAGGTTATTGTATTGAGACGGCTAGGCAGGAATTTCTAATAGGGTGTCCATAACTTGTGAAAAAAATAAAAATAACCTTGAAAAAAAATGTCATCACAGTACGTACCAGATTCAGATTTAGGATCAAATTCTTTACATGCTCTGTTAATATGACCGTCGTCTATAAAGTCACCCTGTACAAGTAATTTTCCGGAAGCCGACCACGTTCGATCCGCCTTTGTGCGCTGTATCATCACCGTGCGTTAACATTCACACATTATGCGTCACTCACCTTTAAGGCTGACGGTCTCTGACTTGACCACGAAGTCGGTCTCGACGATCTGCTGCCGGTAGACGCAGTTCTGGCTCGGCAGCGCGACGACGCGCGCCTGCTTCTCCGAGGCCAGCACCACGAACTGGCGGTCCCCGTCGCCGGCCGCGGGGCCGAGGGGCGCCCCGCCCGGCGTGGGGCTGGTGCGGCTGGCGCCGGAGCCCTGCTTCGTGGGCGTCCGCTCGCGCCGCTCCCGACCCTGACCGAGCGGAATTTTTGAGCGACTGGTGGGAATTTTTAAACAACCGCCAGTCTTACAGTCGACTGGTAGTTTTTCGAAGATCGGTCGGAATTTTCGAACACCCCGCTAGTCTCACAGGCGACTGGTAATTTTTCGAGAACCAGCCGGAATTTTTGAACACCCTGCCAGTCTTTCGGGCGACTGGTAATTTTTCGAGGCTAGCTGGAGTTTTTGAACACGCCGTCCATCATACAGGCGACTAGCAACGATATTCATATACAAATACGAGGTAGATATGACGCTAACGTGCCGAAACTGAGGCGCTCAAATTACACCGATTGATTAGTTTGCATTCCTCTAGACAGCTATCTCTTTCTGTGTCATACATCATCTGTGACATTCACTTATATATGTCATGTAAAGCGAAACAATTTTTAAACGGCGCACAGTATGGACATCCATCATCTATATCATTAAACTTTCAAGGTAGATAATCCAAAAGAATAATTCTTTGAATGTCACTGTCAGTCATTCAGTAATTTTACTTTTAACATTAATAACTATTTACACAATTAATAATCGATTTCACAGTTAATAAAGCAATCGTGACTGTACCTCTTTACCGTCGTCCCTCCAACTTTCATACGAATAAGGAATTAAAGCACCGTTGCAATCGAGGAAGGACATCGTTAAGATGGAACCTTTTAGCCTTAAAATGGGTCCACCTGAAATGATAAAGTACACTAAAAATGTTTCATGTACATTTGAAATTTGAATACGAAGAATTTTAAATGGGCACACAATTGGATATAGCCAAATATATTAAGGGTGTATACCCAATTTTTTTTTACTTCTTTAGCAGATGTGATTATATATGTCATTAAAGCTTTTTAGGAATTGTATTACTAGAATATACAATCCATATTTTTTATAATCTGTGTATATTTTTAATAACACTACATTCAGTTCTTACCGCTCATTAATAACTATTTACACAATTAATAATCGATTTCCCAGTTAATAAAGCAATCGTGACTGTACCTCTTTACCGTCGTCCCTCCAACTTTCATACGAATAAGGAATTAAAGCACCGTTGCAATCGAGGAAGGACATCGTTAAGATGGAACCTTTTAGCCTTAAAATGGGTCCACCTGAAATGATAAAGTACACTAAAAATGTTTCATGTACATTTGAAATTTGAATACGAAGAATTTTAAATGGGCACACAATTGGATATAGCCAAATATATTAAGGGTGTATACCCAATTTTTTTTACTTCTTTAGCAGATGTGATTATAGTTACGTTATTGATAGGAATTATTGTATTACTAGAATATACAATAATATTTTATAATCTGTGTATATTTTTAATAACACTACATTATTCTTACCGCTCGTTGTAATAACAACAGGTTGGGTGTGCCTGAGATCAGCCTCGGGAAGGTTAATCATCATCGTTAGGACTGATCCTAGTGTTGTTCCAATCCAAAGAGTCGGCAATAAACTTGTGGGATCTGCGCAAGGGAAAGAAAAGACAAATCTGTTAATAAATTGACAGTTCCGAAACTATATTATGTATTCTTTTTTCCCTTCATGCAGGAACTTTTCAATTGATTTGCATGGAATTTGGAATAGAGATAGCTTTTACGCTAAATTATACGTAGGAGACATGATAAAAAATTAACCATCTCTTCGAGAATCACGCGTTAGTAGGGGCGGCGGAAAGCTTACAATAGTAAGTAGTAAACCGTGGTTGGGCCACGCAACAGCTTCGGCTGTTGCACGAGCTGACAGGTCCGTCCGGATAAGTACCACGAATACGTTTCATTAATAGTAGGGGGCGACTTACCCGATTTCTTGGTGTAGCTGTCTGCGAAAGCGAGGCACTGGATGCCCTCTTGGGAGATGTTCTCCAGGCTGGACATGCTGCTCGAGCGAGACCGCGAGAACGAGCTATCCAGCTTGTCTACGCGGCCCGTAGCCAACAGAACCAATAGATTATCCCCCCGCCAGGATAACGGGCGAGCCAAGGATCCGGGACCACGAGTGCTCGCGGGTCCTTGGGAGGCTGCTATGATCCTGGCTAAGTGCTGATCGGAAACACTCGAACGGAACATACGCATCTAATAATGAGGCAGGGCTACGATCAGGATAGGGAGATACTTAGCGACACGTAACAGCATACCACAGTTAATTTGTTTATACAATAATGATATCCTAGGACATTTTAGATACAAAGCTAGCATCTTAGATACAAGGCAACTTATTCGTTAGCTTTCAAGGGACATTTCTCAGCCAGTATCAAAAACAGTGACAACTACTCAGCTGCAGGCTACAACTAGCTCAGTATATTCTGTGCGGTTGTGAAATTAGCTGAATTCACCCATTCAGGTGCAGCGAATATCTGAGTGCTCGTCACATCCACAGTAGATTAGGAGAAGTCATGCTTAGAAGGAATCACTTTCGGTTGCATGCCCGTCCAATCTCAGCTTATTTACACAACATGTTTACTGCTTTTACCAAATTAGGTCCCTTTACACACATACCAATTGAGCGCTTCGACATGAACACTTTATGCAGTCTCAGTGTGAAATTAGTTAATAGTCAAAACACCTCACATAATAGTTACAAATGTAGTAGTAGTAATTAAGTGAACACATATATTAACATTACTAAGTTATGGATGGAGCGAATGATTATGCATAGCTAATCGGAACAGAAGAATGTTAATGGCGGCGAAAGTAATGCAGAATGGCCATGGGTACGAGTGATGGTCATCGAGCGCAAGCTGGGGCCCTCAGGCGGCCGTGAAGTTAATCTGATTGCATTCTCTAAGTAACGCAAACTTCCCCAGGCATCTCTAACTCTACTTAAAGCCCCCCACGGCAGTCAAACACCCACGTCGCTAATACGAAGCAGTCGTATGGACGGACAAACAATTTGAATGCAATAAATCATAACGTCTAAGAAAAGAGGAGCGGTGCAAACGACGGTCCATAAGGCGCATGCGTCTAGTGCTTTGTTATTAAGTATAGTACCGGAAGCATACATAGACATAACGACAGCCGTATATAGAGGCAGCCAAAAACGAGCCATATAAACTTTTTGCTTTGTGGTCGGGCTAGAAAAAAAAAAGATAACATCATGTACTCAACAGTTTTCATAATTAGTAAAACTGGTTAGTCATCGAGGAATGTTCTAGGTGGTCCGCGCACAGGTCCGTGAGGAGTTACGTGTATAATGGTGGTAAATATTTTGCAGGGGACGGCAAAGAAATAGGTAATGTGACCGACTGTGATTGTTATCTTTGATCTCCAACAGTACGCAGAAAATTGTTGAATAATAAACATGTAGAGATCGCGTGTCTGACACAATATGGAAAGCCTCGCTGTAAAATGCACATAGAACATACAAAATCCATTATAACACTGAAAAAAGTGATTGATTATAAAATAGGATAGTCTTGAGTAGTAAGTCACCTTTTAACCTTAAATCTAGAGGTCATGCCACAAAATTTTGAAAAAGTGCAATTACTTGCATAATGCTGTGTAGAGGTAATAGTAGTACAAGACAGTCACAGCCACAATTTCAATATCTAACGTATAAACAAACACCTACGGCGAGTGCACAGGGGCCGGGGCCCGTGAGCAAGCCACGAAAGAAATATTAACATCAAATTAAATGGATTAAAGAACGAAATAAAAATCGATGCAAACGTCGTTTGGATACCATTGGGTTGCACTATGTGTAAGTACTCCATAGATGCGAGAGTCTGCGGAATAGTTGGTTCTGTATCAACAAATAAAACCACAAATGTTACAAGCATGATCCTGATTACGGTAGCTGGAAAGGTTAAGGGACAGTCCAGTGCCAAGCTTTTATATTTCACCGAGTAGACGCTGGCTGTAGTTATGGAGATAAATAGCGAAAGAAATTTAAAGAGCATTTCACAAATATAATTAATGCTTTATTAATTATTTCATTAATAGTAAGCGGTGAAATAAGTAACATTAATTTATTCCGACAAAGGTACACATTTACGTTCAATGGAACTGCTTTGGCATTGGACGTAGAAATCTTAAATACATTTAACGGCAGACGCCAATTTTCATTTCAACAATGACACAACATACACGACATGAGGAGAACAATCTAGATGTGGATAATGACGATACAACAAAGGATAATGCTAAGACAACTAAGGACCAAATTAAAATAAAAGTTAGGAATGATATACTTTAATGATTACCTATTAAATGATTCCGATCTGAAAGTATAAAATCATTAAATGAATAACTTAACTCATGCCAAACGGATGAGTTCAAATGAAGGAATCAACAAAACTGATCAATGGTTTTCTTAAAAATGGAATTACCTTACATCCATTAATTTTTTTAACATTTTTTGGTTTAACATTTATGAATTTGACGATCGAACAACATTTATATCACATTATATTTTATTATTTTTAGACACATTTCGTTTGATCTTCAAGTTCATAAACAGATCAAATAGAAATGGAAAGATAAGTTGAGCGTTGAAGAATTAAATCATAAGTAAAAAGAATGAAACCAAAAATAAAACAAGAATATAAATGTCGGCGAGATCGCTTGTCTTCAAAAAGCAGACGTGCTTAAGATGAATATAAATACCTGAATAATGAAGACGGATTATCAACACGAACATAAGCTTTAGACACCAAGCGTCTTCTGGCATGCGCCGGATGCCATTCGCGGTCCAAGCGATCCGTCAAGTGTCAACCAAACGAAGGCGGAGAAACCAACGGGGGAAAAGAAAACAGAAAAGAATGAAAAGAAAACGAGAAATTGCGACTGTTTCAGAGCGGAAAGGAGGCGAGACTGATATCGTACAAGGTGACTGTACTACCAAAACTGCAATACTGTCGCGTCGTTAGCAGGGAATGCTGCGGGGCGGGGGGCGCGGCGTACACGTCGGAGGCGGTGGAGAGGCACTTGTGCAGTTTGCGGGTACCTTGCGAGCGCGAGCGGCGCACGGCCCGCGCCGCCGCCGCCCCTCCCCCGCCGCCCCCGCCCGGCGCCCCTCCCCCGCCGCCCCCGCCCGCCGCGCGCAACCGCCCCCGCCGCCCGCCGCGCCGCCACCCGCGCCGGGCCCGTTCATCTACAACACACACACTCGTCCGACGCCGCCCACCACCGCCGAGACGAACCCCTCCCCGCAGCCCCCGACGTCGCTCCTTACCCCCTCCACACCCCCTCATTGCCGCACCGCTCCTCTACAGCTAAACCGACCGGCCTCACAATCACAAACCTAGACGATGTTGCACTAACCGGACAGCTGGGAAATTCTGCGGCGATCACCTATTCGAACGGCGTCGCGATCTCAGGTTGGAACGGTTACGCGTTCGGAATAAACGTAAAGGCTGTTTTAAACGCGGAGGGCTTACGAAGTGGAAACCAGAAGCCACCACCGAATGATATTAACACAGAACAAGTATTTTTTACATAAGTACAATTAACATTGAGTAACCCGTTAGTTGCGATACGAACGAGTCAAAGTAGTACGTGATCTCTGTGCCAAGTATGTCAGTATTAGTCAGGCGTGGGCCGAACATCGATCGATTCCCGTGTAAGTTTTGCAATTAGTTAGTGTCACGTGAACCGTATTGCATGTATCATACCTATTCGGTTGGGCACTTCAATAACTTCTTCGTTCGTTCTTTCCACCGGGCTCTGTTCATTTCTCGTGCAAAGCCTCGCTACAAAATCTCCTGGGGAAAGCGTATCGGTCAAAATCGTGGCGTATGTATCGGAGTCATGTTCCCGGGCGGGTCCTACGCTCGGTACAGTATGGTCTGTTGATGTGAAGCTATCAAGCGGGTAGTGCACAGCTATTGGGCTACGAGCTCGTACCATTAGCATTTCAAAAATCATCTCAGTAACGGACATCAACAACACAGAGATCTTTACTGTTTACTTGATGCAAAAATTACAATTGTAATGATTGAATTACCGAGGAAATCTGCGAATAGATATTTAAGGCAGTTAGAGTCCTCGTCGGATGAGTCCTTGTCCTTTGGAATAGAAAACAAACAAATCAATCACCCAGCAGTGCGCTAACGCAGCTCTTAAATCTAATTAAATCTTTATACAATGTGACATTATACAAGTGATTAAACATAAACGCATCTTATATAACAATTTATATTACATTATGAAATAAATATAAAAAGCCAAATATCACAAAAAGCGGGAAGCACGTAAAAATATCAATATAAACGGACGCAATGAATTCTAAGAATTCAATTATAGTTTAGTCAAAAAATAAATATTAATATTAATACTTAAATATAACACGATTTTGTTTTAAAACTAGCTACATTCCTACGAGCCAAATATTGTTACAATAAAAGTTAGTATTAAAACCAAAACCAACCAAGGTGTATCGCCAAACCGAGAGCATTCAAATCCAATCCCAGAGCAGAGTTAACTACCTACTCTATGTTACAAATGAACTAGGCGCTACGGCCGTGGGCCCGGCTGGTGATTTGATGTGTGGGTGAGATGGAACATGGCGCCAGGGTGAGGCGGTACTTACTGAAGCGCCGCATCAAATTGCCCGCGAAGGACGCCGGCGCCGGCTGGCTTGCCGACTGCCTCTTCCTCACTTCCCGATGCGGGTCCGGCTTGTTGTACCTTATGTTCGGAACCGACAGCAGCCTTTGGTCCCTTTGGTCCCTCCCCTCCTCTTTTTTCTTATTCTTCTGGCGGGGAGGCCTCGTCGGTTTGCCCTCCTCGTCGAACAACGGCAGATTGTCGGGCCGCGTGGCCTTCTCTTCCTCCAGCTTAGACGGCGAGAGGTCGGGCGACACTTCAATTTTGTCTTTGTCCTGCCACCTCTCCTGCAGCTCTTTGTGCATTCTGTCGTATACATCAGTCGATCTCTTCTCTTGGATCTCTTTGTGCATTCTCTCGAAAACGTCGGAGCAGACCCTCAGAGGGGACGAGAGATCTTTCTCCTCCTCGGTTACTTCAGTCGCCTTTTCCACTGTATCTGGCGTATCCGCGCTGGTCTCCGGGACCACCTCCGATTTCTCGGCAGGGTCGCAGTAAAATTGCGAGTTGCCTTTTTCTATGGCTTCGTCTAAATTGTTCTCGGGTGGTACAGTGAAGGCGGATTTGAATTTGAGATCGACTTTAGAGAGCTGCCGTTTGAGGTTGAAAGTTTTCCACGAGGTAGACTTTCTTCTCAGGTCGAGTTTGGCACGTTCTTCGGGGTCGTCGGCGGGCGGGTCCGGCGTGGCAGCCGGCGAGAGGCGAGCTTCCTCCAGCTTCGGGGATACAGGGAGGGTATCAGTTTGGGGAGTATAGCGCGGTTACTGCTTTCAGGGCAACAGCGCTACATGCCACTACTGGTCATTGGTACTCTAACGTATACTCTTGTATTGTGGTCGACAATTCGGTAAAGTGGGACAATGGGGTGACACTTGCAAATGTTTAACATATTTGGTACTTTAGGGAATGGTCGATATCTAATATACATAAATAATGTTTTGTTACATACTTATTACATACATTCGGAATACAGCGCGTTCTCATGAATTTAAATGTGTTGATCGCACAGGTCTGTGATCATATAAGTTGCATTGGGGTTCGCAATGTACCGACTGGTGTGCTTAAAAGGTGAAGACAGGCTATAGATGTAAAGAGCGACAAACGATGCCATGCCATTTCACTACTCGGAAAAGCCGGGGGTTGCCGCTAGCTAAGAGTCGCCGGAAACGAAAGTCGTGTGAAACGGGGACGCGAGAGACGGGCGGTCCGGACGGCACTGCCGACCGTTGCAAATAATATCGAACGTAAAAGAAAATCGCAAATGAAAACTAATGCGGAGAGAAGTGGTACCGCGCGGGAGGGGAGGGGGGGGGGGGGGGGGTACCTGGTCGAGTGACGGCGAGCGCTGGCGGTCGTGGGGCCGAGCGCCCCCCTCGGGCAGGTAGAGGGCGTGCGGCGGCAGGGCTGCCACCACGCAGCGCCGGAACATGTCCACCACCACCACGCCGCGCTCGCCGCCCCACGCCATGCTGTGAATGTACGTTTTTAATGCCTATCTTTTAGGGTTCCGTGCGCAAAAGGAGAAACGGGACCCTATTACTAACACTCCGCTGTTTGTCTGTTTGTCCGTCTGCCTGTCTGTCTGACCGTCTGTTACCAGGTAGTTAGATAGTTGAAATTTTCACAGATGATGTATTTCTGATACCGCTATAACAGATATATTATATATACTAAAAACAGAGTAAAAATATTTAAGCGGGGCTCTCATACAACAGACATGATTTATTTTGCCGTTTTTATAGATAATCGTACGGAACCCTTCGTGCGCGAGTCCGATTCGCACTTGGCCGGGCTTTTTATATTTAAATCAGCAGCGCATCGTTTGATAATGGCTCGAACCAGCCATTTGGTTTGTTTCGAAATAGCCCAAATTTCAAATTGTTGTCAACGCATCTGCAACCCTCGGGTGTGGCAGATGTCCATGGACGGCGGTATTCACTTAACATCAGGTGAGCCGTCTGCTCGTTTGACAACTTTTCGCATAAAAAAAAAATAGTAATTAAATTAAAAAAGTCCATACACTTTCGAACTTCCATTTCGTCAGCGGTATTTCATGCTACCCAAAATTTCAATTGGCATACTCCTAAATACGGGGATCGGACGGAAATACGGGGGTCGGATCGACGGAATCTTAAACGGAATTTTCACGAGCTTGATATTGTATTGTATATACTCAACCACTTAAAAATAAATAACTGTCACAGAAGTCTATCGCTTGATAAAATCACCATGTTTGTAGTGACAAGGAAGGCGGATAATAAATCTGGGCAATAGAAGCGAGGCACTCACAGTCCGTACGAGGAGTTGATGGTGAGGGCGACGATGGGGTGTGGTGGTCCGTGCTGGAGTGCTACCAGAGCTGCTTGGAAGCCAGCAGCACGTCTCGTGCCACCCGTGCCACTGCCACCGCGCACGCGTAGCATCCCACCCGCCCATACGCCACACTGTAATAACAACACTGTAATTACCAATGAACAAATCCCTGTTACTGTGAGTGATCTGGGAGGCTTATGCCGGGATCCTTCTTTTCAGTCCCTGGAATAATGTAGATGCATTTTTGATTCCAAACGGAAATATGAATTTGTCAGCTTGTCTCTTACTCTTACTACTGAGCTTATATTACTTTCTGTTAAGTAAAATATATCAATATGAATTAGTTATAAATAATCAGCATATTCCCAAAGTTTTTAGACAAAAAGCATTAATTACATTTTAATTTGCATGCATAACAAATTGAGATAATTTCAACGTCTTTCGTCGTTTCCATCTACTACTACTATTTCAAAATAGCGTCTGCGTACTTAAATCGGAAATGGAAACTCTTACAAGATCAGTAAATTGTTCATCTGTATGTCTGTCCGAATGGAAGGAGGTATCCCGTCGACGTTTTGAACAGATAATCAGTTTTATGCCTGATATAGGAGTCATGTTCATTAAGACGGCCTCTTGGAAGTGGGAAGAATTTATATTTCTAAATCAATGTAATTAAGACATAGGTATTGTGGCAAAGTTTCTCAATAAAAGTAAGAGAAATCGGGCGAATGTTTACTATTATATTATTCTTAACGTGATATTTAACAAAATTCAAAATAAGTCTTCAAATTAGCTGTGTAATTACGTCATGACGTTATTAATGTGTCGCAACTAGGCGTTTCGTAATTTCTTACCCTTTTTGTCTCGCCTTCGACGCTGTCGCCACCGCGACTGAACGAAGCAGATCGGCTGCCCTCTGGCTCAGGAGATGTTTCTTCTTCTAAAGTGTCCGATATAACTGGAATTTCTATTACCTGTCAAACGTGAAAATGTATATATATATATATATATATATATCACTATAGTATAAAAAAAGACGTCTCACTGTCTGTCTGTCTCTATGTATGCTAAGATCTTTAAAAGTACTACAACGGATCTTCGTGCGGTTTTTTTTATTAAATAGTGTTATTCAAGAGGAAGTATAATATGTATAATACATTGCACCCGTGCGAAGCTGGGGCGGGTCGCTAGTAATACATAACCGTGTATTTATGGCTTCTACAACCGACCTTAAGTATCGAGTTGGGAACAAATCAAGTTTTTTAGCCTGATCGAAAGAAAAAGACTGGGTAGAGTGGAGGGCACAGGAGAGTTTTTGGGAAGAAAAGTTTGGGGGCAGCGGAGGGCATAGGAGAGTTTTGAGAAGATTGGGAACAGTAGAGGGCATATACAGTGTGGCTTTTCTAAAGGTGGCCAAATTCACACAAAGAGGTTCAGACTCGGTAGTATAATCGTTTATTGAAATAAAAACAAACTTTTTTTTTCAAAAACATTCCCATTCCATCCCCTTAAAAACAGAACTTGTTGACAATGCGGCAGTCATTCATAAATGCGTCGCATACTTTTGAAACGAACTTGTGTGCGTGTTGGTTATGAACGATCGCGCGTAAAATAAATGAGTTGCCCATAAATCACGCACTTTTTGAGATAAGTTCAAATGAATGTATTTAATTAATTACGAGTAATTTTAAATATTTATAATTTTTTATATATCATTATTTATGTCTAGAATTTAATAAAAAAATGGATACACTAAGAAAAGCCTCCCTGTATATCTTTTTTTTAAAACATTGCCCTTTAGGATAATATTATCCTGTGTTGTAAGGACGTCTTACAAACATAAATTACACGCGAACAAACACCCAGATGGTAAACAACTGTCTGTGGGTCACACAAATAGTGTGCATATACATGGGAAGTTTTTAGGAGAAGATACGGTGGTAGAGCCACGCAGCAGCCTCGGCTGTTGCACGAGTGGGCAGGCTCGTCCGGGTAAGTACCACGACCTCACAGAAGACCGGCGTAAAGTGGAAGTATAATACTTTCGCGTTTCGTCTGGTGAGTGAGGTGGCCGGAGCCCAATTTTCAAAAGGTTGTCAACGCATCTGCAGCCCTCGGCTGTAGCAGATGTCCATGGGCGGCGGTATTCACTTAACATCAGATGAGCCGTCTGCTCGCTTGGCAACTTTTCACCTTAAAAAAAAAGTAAGAGAGCGGGGACTCACGTGCGTCTCCGCGGTGGCCTCCGCCTTGCGGTACTTGAAGAGCACCACGTGGCCGTGGGGCAGCGCGACGCTCAGCCGCCGCGACTCGGCGCACAGCGACAGCTGCTGGATGCTCAGCGCGCCCTCCTCCTCCCACCCGCCGCGCCTCTCGAACACTGACACAAACGCCCTCTTGGGGTATTCAAAGTAACTTATATATGTCCCGCTGCCAGGCAAAGGTCTTCTGTACAGAGGGTATTAGGGCATGGTCCACCACGCCACCCTAGTGTGTATTGGCCCGGACACTCAGCTATCACGGCTCAGTGTCCGGGCGCATTGATGTATGACCTGACACTACAAATGTGTGTATAAGCTGCTAAGTAAAAGCCTTCTGTACAGAGGGTATTAGGGCATAGTCTACCACGCGACCGCATTGCGGATTGGCCCGGATATTTATTTATTTATTTAAACTTTTACACAAAAAAAATTTGTATTGTGTATAGGCGGACTTAATGCCTAAGGCATTCTCTACCAGTCAACCTATGGGCGACGCAGAGACAAAAGAGGCAGGTGTAAAAAGTTTCAAACCAAATTTTAATTTAAAACAAAAGTTATATATATATTCATATATACATAAATTTAAGACATATAAATGAAAATATATAAAGTTATATACGGATACTCAGCTATCACGGCTCAGTGTCCGGGCCCATTAATCTATGACCCCAGTGACTCTTTTTATTTAATACCTTTAAGGAAACGTGAGTCCAATCAAAACTCGGACCATCTTTGACAAGATTTGATTTATGAATTGGGGTAAATTAGTTACTATCCACTTGCAACATTATACTGATTTAGGACATGCTTCACAAAATGCATTTTTTACTAGCAGTTGCGTAGTTGACTAGCTGATTTTATCCTCTGATGATAACTGAACTCTTAGAACGATTTCCTGTTTAAGCATGTTGCAGCACTAATACGGATGAACAGACCTTACCTTTAGAACATTTTAACTTATACAAAACTTGTAAGGTCCCCGCACTTGCATCCCAGAACTTCACACTGCCGTCGGCATGTCTGAAAAATATATTTAAAATGGCTTAAATTATATTTTTTATCGTTTTATATGTATACTTTATTTTGCTAGTCCATGACCATGCAGTTAATGAGTAAAGTAAAAAAGAAAGCAACAGCCTATAAATATCCCACTGCTGGGCAAAGGCCTCCTCTGTACAGTATTAGGGCATTGTCCACCACGCGACTCCACTGCTGATTGGTGGACTTCGCATTCTTTTCCATTATTATTTCGAAAATATGTAGATTTCACACAATATCCTGTTAGGTAAGTACCAGGACCTCATAGAAGACCTAAAGTGGAAGTGTTATATGTCTGCGTTTCGTCTGGTGAGTGACGTTGTCACCTATTAATAAAGTGGGCCCACTTTATTAAAAAGTGGCAAAGCATCTGCAACACTACGGTTGTTGCAAATGTCCATGGGCGGCGGTTATCACTTAACACCAGGAGAACCGTCAGCTCGTTTGCAACTTTCACACATAAAAAATGTTTTCCTTCACCGTTAAATACGTAATAAGTCAGTACATAAAATTAGCAATTACACCGGGGATTGAACTCAGGTTGCTCGAGTATATTGAATTATTGGATAGGGACCAATGAGCGGTAAATTAATTTTTAAAGCGGTTCAAAAATCACGGAGCCCTGTGGTAACATAGATCGAATTCCGAACCTCCTTTTTCGAAGTCGGTTCAAAAATCGAACATATCTTTATCCAAGTCTGTTAAACAAACCAAGTACAGATTTATTAAAACTGAGGTATACGAACCCGGTGAGTATGATCTCGCTGTAGGAACAGGATGCTGGCGCCCACTCGCCGCCGTTGATTGGCCACAGCTTCTCGCTGAAGCCGGCCACCTTTTTGTTGCCCTGCCGACCCACCGAGTAGAACGCGGGGATCTGGAATCATTGGGGGCACACTTAGAACGGCATTCGTGTATACCCTGTGCACACCATGCCCACGGACTAGTAAAATAACTATTAGTTATTAAAAACCGTTATAATATAAATGGTGGTAACTTACGAACATATTAATTTCCTTGTAAAATTTCGACGTTTCATAAGAACGCGCAAGCGTCTATGTGAATAGAGATATTTTATTATTATTATTATTATTATTTATTATACTAGTGACAAACCGTGACCGTGTCTTATGCGGCTGTTACCAAAAATAGATTATGTTCTTGACACTTTATTATTAATAAAAAAGTAAAGTAAAGCAACAGCCTAAATGTCCCAGTGCTAGGCAAACGTCTTATCTGGTAAGCGGGTATCAGGGCATATATAGTCCACCGCGCTACCACTGCAGATTGGCGTTGATTATTAATACACAATACCTTTACAAATTGATACAAAATTCTTCATAGAAGTAAATTAATCTTCCCTTCCCGAACTACACCCCTTTTAAGTGGAAATAGTCTAAGCAGTAAACCTTATTTTGAGATCCCGTTATTTTACAGTTGCTTAAAAATTTGGGCAATACATAATCATCAGTCGCAGGTGTAATAAAAATTAAGTTAAAACCTAATAATCTTATATTATTCTAAAAATGGAAATCTAATATTTATAATATGCATTATACACAGAGCGATTGTATTGTAATATATATCAAATGAAAATTAAAATTCAAAATAAAAAATCTAATCAAATTAATTCTAATCTACTCAATTAGAGTACGAATAGAGCATTGAAGGCTATTGATTAGTTTTGTCTATTCTTATTATTCTTCTATTGTCTATTCTTCTAAGCGAAAACTAAGCTGATAAACTTACGTACTTTTCTTTTGGATACAAATAATAAATACATCTTACAATTATAAAAACATCTAGACACTAGAAAACATTTCTTTTCACACTATATTTTTCTCATAGCAGGGATCGAACCCACCTCCTAGCGGTATAGACAGGTTCTTCATCCGCTACACCTTACGGGTCGTCAATCAGATAGTCAATCAGGTAGTTCTGAAAGCACAAACCAGATCGGACGGACAGTCCGCGAAGTACGAGCAGCAGGTGACCGGCGACTCGTGTATGTCCATTGGGTACGGGTTCTCGAAGCAGGGGTAGCCCGGAGACAGCAGATCGATCACCACCAGGTCGTTCTGCAGAAGTACCACGATCGCGTAAGGCTCTTGGTAGTCTAGAACAATACAGAACGAACGTTGCACCGTCAGTCTTACGAGTGCGTTAGGGCGGGGGGATAGAGTTTATTGCGTATGTGGAACGTTTGTGTAGCTATCGTGGGTACTTATATTTGATTTCAAATGCAATCAGGTTTAAATTTAATTGCACGTTATATATATATACATCGCTCTTATAAAAAACCTTTCCTGAAAGAATGTTTTGTTAAGAAGTGAATTATCAATTCCCATCTCAAAACGTAGGGACAAGATCTTGGGAGCTTTATTTGGTATATGGTGAAGTATTTATAATTGGTGGATAAATAAAAAAATATTATCTATACTTCACACTACATTACTAAATTCATATGACATAATTCATATGAAAAATATGTACATATCAAAAACTGGTTAAAATGTAGATGCTATGTTGTGAACAATTTTTCAATTTAGTTTAGGTCTTATTATTTAGAGAAACTTCTTTAAATCTGTCTAACAACAACTGTATAATAAGAAAAGATATGGCATGCTTGTTTGTGTTTTACAACTTTAAGAATATTACGTACTATAAATCTTAAACTTACGCTCTCGTACGTAATGTTAAAAATGATAAACCAATCTGCTCACAGTATTTCAAACGAAAAATCATTGTAATCTGAAAGACACTATAGGATGAGACAAGCGACTAGTCACTAGACTTACCGGCGGCGTGGGGGCTCTCGCAGAGGGTGACAAAGTCAACGACGCTGTGCTCCATCTCGAGGACTGTGGTGCTCTTGCCGTTGAGGACCGTGATGCTGTGCGTCTTCCCTGCCTTGTCCGTCGGCAGGCCGCCCGAGAAGATCACCAGACTTTCACTGAAACAGTATCGTTACAGGATTATCATAGATTATTCCTTAACATCAAAAATGAAAAAGACCTCGTGGCGCAGTGGCCAAGGTACCGGCTTCGGCGTCGGGGGTCGTGGGTTGGATTCCCACACGGGACAACTATTTGTATGACCCACAAATAGTTGTTTTGCATCTGGGTGTTTGTCCACGTGAAATTTATGTTTGTAAAACGTCCTTAGGACGTTATCCTAAACATAGGATAACGTTATCCTAAATTAAGGGCAATGTTTTTTAAAAACAAAAGAAAAGAAAAAAAGAAAAGTTAGTCATTTACCTGAGACCTGAATCTGAGAAGTTTCAAAGATAATTTTGTTACTTTTAGAGTTTAGAGTTTTAAATATTTGTGCATCGTAGAAACCGTCTATATATATATATATATATATATGTATAATAACCCAAACTTAACGCGAATCAAATATTAATTTGATCAGTAAAATAACAAATGGAAAAGAAACAAAATGATTGAAACTGACAAGTAGTCGATTATTTTCACCTACATAAAAGCCACATTACATTGGTATAACTCTACAGAGAAAAAAGGCGAAGGAGAAACTGAATTCCTTGATTTCAATACAATTGCAGTTGTAATCGGAAGGCTCACCCTGATCTCGAAGTCTTCCACTCCAATCTGTGTATAGGTTTGCACGGCTCCAGCTTTCCGTCTTTGTTCGCTTTCGCTGGAATTGAAATTGCTAGTGTTAAGCGTATGATGAAAACACAACGCTTACGTAAAACAACTCCACGGCTAATGCCCGGTACCTATATTCAACAAACAGCCGTTAGTTACATAGCTTCGTAACTTTCATAGCGACTTTTAGATTATAGGAACGCTAGTAACTCATTTTCCGTAGGTAACGCAACGGCTCGTAGAGAAAACGCGTCGTTTTGTTAACATAGGAAGAGCGTACACGCCCTTTATCTACAAGTCGTTATAAAAGTTACGAAGCTACGTAACTAATGGCCGTTCGTTGAATATAGGAGCGGGACATTAGTAATTATTGCATCAGTAAAGTCTGTGCAGGGCTGTCACAAAAGTTACCGTGTGGGTACAACAGGGAAGAGGGTCGCGGCGCCCGCGTGGTCCACGTGGCTAGGCCGCCGTCTGCGTGCGCGGTCATCAGCTTTCCGTCGTGCTGCCAGGCGGCAGCCCTGACGTCGCAGGCGCCGCCGGCCCCCAAAGAGCCACGCCACTCCACGGCACGCGCGCGCAGGTCCCACACTACGATGAGGCCCGTCTCGAACGCTATCAGCAACTGAGAGACGATCGTTTTTCTCCTTTATATAGTGTGGTAGTGTCACGCTACAGTCTTCGCTGTTGCAGAAATCGGCAGGTCCGTCCGGGTAATTACTACGACTTTTTTATGTGAAAAGGTGGCAAACGGGCGGGCGGTTCGCCCGATGTTAAGTGATAACCGCCACCAATGGACATTTGCAACACCCGTAGGGTTGCAAATGCATTGCCACCCATAAATAAAGCGGGCCCCGGCTACCTCACTCACCAGACGAAACATAGAAGTGTAACACTTTTACTTTACTCCGGTCTTCTGTGAGGTCGTGGTACTTACCCGGACGGACCTTCCCATTCGTGCAACAGTAAACACTGTTGCGTGGTCCTAACACAGAAGACCGGTGTGAAGCGGATATGTTATACTTCTGTAGTTCACATATCGATTTCTTGTTTTTATAATCTTTTCGTACTTTTCTACATGTTTTAATGTGCAATCTTAAGTGCAGAGATTAGCACTTTAAAAAACTTTAAAATTTATAAAAAGCAATGGTGACATCTCTCGTTCGAATTGTCGTTGTAAAACGATATTCGAAATTCTTTGTATGCTGGAAAGGATATAACAATAGATGCGCCAAGCATTGCTTCAAATGCTAAATAACAATGTAGAAAGAAGGCGTTAAGATTTTCGTCGCTGTGGTGATAACGGCTGATAAGCCGTTTAGCTCAGTGGCTAGAGCGTCAGGCCGCGAATGCCGAAGACGTGGGTTCGATTCCCACAGCGGCAACAATCTTTTCGTAATTTTTCTACATGTTTTAATGTTTAACATGATACATATTAAATTAAACTACTTTACAGATTTTATCGCGTTTTACCTTTGATTTTTAATTCACAGAATCCAAAGGGATCATTTAAAACATTGAACACGTAAGAAGGCCTAACGGGACATGATACATAGTCTAAAAAAAGCTTGTTACATAGTCTTCATGTTTCGCAAAAAGCACACACATTTGTACTTGTGTGCATCTCTCGAGCAACAAAGGGGCGAAAATGGAACGTTCGGGAGAAAGTCTAAAGGGGAGGCAAAAAAAAAAACAAAAACACAACTTCGTTTGAGCCCGCTTCTGGTTCGTTAATGAAATTGCACGAGCTTGTCAAACAGGAAAAGAGGGACGATTACGGTAGGTAGTGTTGGCAAATTGCTGATATTTGAAAATATTTACAAGAGCTATAGCTTATTATCACAGACTTATTTATATAATAAAGAGATATAAACGAATCCAATAGGAAGAATTATAACCGAACTAAATTGACCAGACCTGAAAACAGAATGAAACAATTTCGATTCAAAACGCGTCTTCATCATTATATTGAATTAAAGTTGTTTATTAATACTAATAGGAATATTTTACAGATTGCATACTCGTAGTGAAATGGGAAACCATAAAAATAGCTGGTAAGACCAGGAAGCTATATTTTATAGTTCAGACTTACTTTGCTGGCGTCGAGTGGGTTCTCACTTATTTCGACCACCGCCCCCGGGTGATTTGGCCGGGTCCTGTTAAATAAAATACATAAGTATAAAGTATATATATATATATATATATATATATATATATATAAGTAATGTACACACATATATATATATATATAATGTATGTATCATAAGTCATAGCGATGCAAACGTTTTAACTGATTCTAACGCATGAGCTTTAGTTAACCATTTTATTTATTCGGGATATAAGTTCGAGGGTTCTGTAGATTAGGACATTTTATACATATAACATACTAGCTTTTCGCCCGCGGCTTCCTTTATTTCAACCCTTTACAACACTTTTTTCCAATTAAAAAATAACGTATGTCCTTTCTCTACACTATCTGTGTACCAAATTTCATTTAAATCGGTTCAGTAGTTTTTGAGTGAAAGCGAGACAGACAGACAGAGTTGCTTCGCATTTATAATATTAGTATGGATTTACAGTATGCATGGAAATAATGAATTTTTATATACTGCACTAAATTAAATAATATACTGTTAAAAGTTTTAGTTTCTCCTTTCAAACCATAATAATAATATTAATCCAGTTTTCGCTTCATGTATTCGTTATATGACATATTTACATCAAACAGTTTTCTAAAACTACCTTGAAAAAATCCGTAAAGATTTTTTTGTAAAATGTATCGCGATAATTTATCCCTATGATGAAGCCAACAATATATATGTAGAACTTGAACTTGATTATGCAGCACAGATTTAGAAGGAAGAACATTATAAGAAAGAAAATTATATAAATTGCCTCGCAAACGTCCATAAATGTCTCGCAGGACGATACGCGAAATTCGATTTTGACTTAATAAAGAAGGTTACAGTTTCGTTCAATGTTTAAGAAGTTAAAACAACTTTTGTGGGTATCACGAACGCTACAAGTTATTAGAAACGTCGGGAGTTAAGCTAGAAATAAGAAAACCCGCGTGTTTTTATTGCGTAATTCTAAAACGTATGCGACATCAAATACATTATTAAATGAGATGTAATAATTACATCCTTTGTACACATGCACTAATTTTTCATTTTTAATTTCGATGAACTTGGAACGCTTAAAGCCGAAGCCCTTCATCTATTTATCGTTTGAAGTATACCATTTATCGTTCGAAATTGGGTTGATTTAATTAATAACGATACGGAGGAACACTCTTAAGCCCCTCTGTCGCACGCTTGGAGTGGCCTATCGAAGCTGTCACTTAAATGGCGGCAGTGAAAACGTCAACTCTTATCGTCTGTCAGCCTTCGCGCTTTATCGGCGTTTATTAGCCAGAGTTTCCATATTAATTTCAAGTTGGAAGCGACGCTTTCCCCCGCATAAAAAATCTACAACGTTATTTCTTCAGGAGGAATGGTATTCCTTATAAAAAAATAGCTGGCTGATGAGAATCTAATGAGAATAAAAGAGTGCTAATATATGCTGGAAAGGGTTGGCTCCATCATTATGTTCTTCATCTACATTAGCGGTTTCACCAAATTCTCAATACTAGCTATTTCTCCTACGAACCGCAAATTAACAGGTGTAGCGTCAACTTTGCTTTGATAGTATTTCAAGATTTTTCTTAGGAATCACGTATTTTTCGTTCACGAAACACGTGAAATTTCTATTCATATCCAGTCTGATAAATTTGTGAATTCTTCACGTGTTTTTTAAATGCATAAATTCTAATCCTTATAATTCTAATCCGTCCAATTTATGCCTACGCAAAAAATTACCAACGTCATAATCTACAGGATTATATCACCGTAATGAAATTTAGCCCACTAAATCCAGACATCAGAGATCCAATTTCTTATTGGATATAATAGTATGTTAAAATAAAATAGTTTCCATTAACCAGACGATTTGTTAGTGTATAGCCGACTCATTTCCGCATGTCATGGTACTCAAGCGTCGAATGCTAATAACTCGACAAGATGCCATTATTGGGGCAATGGTCTACAAATATTTATGTAAATCGGGGAGATGGCGGCCACGTCGGGGCGAGCCGGGTGGCGCCACTTGTTGCGACGCCGCGGCGTCAACCCCTCCCCCAAGGGGGCGCAGCTGGTGGGAAGGGAGGTTAAATGAAGTATGGACTTTGGAAGTGGCCCAGAGTTATCACGCTTTTCTTTTACATGGACCGCCTTTCGAACGATTTCAAATGTCTTTTTTTATTCGATTTAAATATCGATAATATGAAAAACGATTCATTGCTTATTTTAATCAAATGAATAGCCTGAGGGAGTTCCTACAATACATAAAGACAAAAAATAATTGTTTTGTGTCATTACGAACAGGTCGATACTTAACATTTAAGGTAATCTTTACGATAACGCTTTTAACTGTGTTCAAGTTATTTTGTAAATATAAAAACTTTTTATAGCTAGTAGAATATTGTTTAACAATTTTCGGAAATGATTGAGCAGGAACTCAAAACGTATATCGATATATTTTTAAATCAATCGTAGAAAATTGTCTGTAAACCGATTTACAAAATACTAATAACACGCACAAACAACATAATCCTTTTTTTCAAATGTTGCCATTGTTATAATTAAAAAAGATACACGGTTACCGGTCGGCGCATAAAACACCGGCGACCCTATGCGACCCGAAGCGTTGGCGCGCGATGCGGAGGGGGTTAATCGCTCGTGAAACGGCGATTATGATTCATAACGACGCATAGGGGTCGCGGGGGGATGTAATTAAAGATGTCACGGGAACTATTCATGGAGTTGGCCTGTTATTTCCGCCCGTGACGGCATTAAGAAATAAGGCAATACCTATTGGCGCGGATTCGGGGACTAGAAGTGAAGGTCAAATTTATATTTATCATTGAGTTTTACCCTTTGGGCACGGAACCTTATAAAACTGAAAGTCAATACTTAATGACTCTCAACCTATGTCTTTCATTTTTTAACAAAGCCTGAGTTAGCAAATAGAAAAAAAGAGTGGTAAAAACTATACAGTTGAAATCTGCTGTTCTGGTGACGTTTTCAGTGATGTTATTGTACTCGTTGCGCAGTTGGGGCACATAATAACAGGTTTCAAGCTTGTATTCTATATCACTATTGTTGCCTTGTATGTTTTACATATGGTATACGATTAATTTTCTTTGCGCTTAAGACCAATCGTCGAAAAGTTACACAATCGCTATCGACTTAGATTACAATCATTTCATGGACTGGACCAAAGTCCATTGCACAAACTCACGCCTTTAACTCTTGCGAGGTAGATAGACTACTCGCTGTCCACGTTTAATAAGATATTTTTAATGCCCAAAATTTTTTTGGCTCTTATGAAGTCTAAGTTTGCTGTAACGTGGAACCCAATAACTGACCTCGTAATCACTTTAATATTAAAGGTTGTTGGTAAAAAGTCTTCTTACCTCTATTCGCTTCAGTATTTTGTGAGATCCATAAATTTTCAACCGATATCAAATAATGGAGGTTCTCAATTAGGTTTTTTTTATGTTTTTTGCCTCGGACCCCGTGATTTATGAACCGATTTTAAAAATTCTTTTTGCATTGGGTTCGGATTAGCTTCCATTTGTTCCCATTTAAATTTTTATTGTTATGGGACCTTTGACTCCTAAGGTACATCTGGGAACTGTTCAAAATCAAATTGAAAATGTAAAGTGAGTGAGATATTTGAAGTCGGTTTTGATTTTTGTTAATAAAAATGTTTTTACGTGAGAGGATTGCAAACGAGCAAGCTGTTCACCTGAGGTTGATTTATTACCTGTCTTTTCAGTGCCTGTGAAGCAGATCTTTTAAAAAGGTGGGCCTCGGCTACTTCGCTTCGATCTCGTGTGAGGTCTGATAGTTTCCGAGTCTGACGATTTGTACAACAGTACAAGCTTTGAGCTGTAGTTATGGAGGGAAGAGGTAATGAGATCCGTCTCTGAGTACTAAAAAGGGTCCGTCAAGACGCGTTCAATAAGGGTGACACTGTGGTAGCGTAGGATAAAATTTAAGGCGCCAAAGGTATTCAGAATAACACAAACGAATAAACAAGGACCAATTTCCGCTTGGTTTTGGTGCACTTTACAAAAAAATTTAACGGTCGGAAAACACTCGATATATTACCGCTTGGTTTTGGTTCGCCACTTTACAAAAAAAAGCTGGACACTTTCAAATGGTGGGAATACACTTGATATGATATATTATTACATTTAAATATTTGAACTCAGCACACTTCACTTTGTCTACAACGCCTAAGTTCATATCGTAGTTAATCGTTCGCCAACGCTATTCTGGTGGGTAATTGAACCTTCATCTTCGGGTGGACATGCTGGACATTTTAAAAGGCCTTTGTCCCAGTGGGACATAGGCTGTTACTTTACAGTTCTTTACTTTTTTACCATACCCTCCACAGCTCTACCACAGCTCTACCACAGTAATACAAGTAGACAAATGTTGTTCGTTCTCTGCAATATTTGGTACAGATAAAATAGTTTTACAACCGTATTGTGTCGTAATATAACAGTAACGAGCCGATATTGCCCTCTGCGGGCAAACGTTAATTGGTGGCTGGGTCCCTAGGCGAGTGTTGGCGGTAAATGTACAGTTAGCAAATAATGAAGTTCGTTAAAACGGGCCCCGTGGCCGCCATCGCGAACGGGGTTATACCAATTTGCGGAGTAATGAGCGTTCGGACCAGTTTTCCGCTGCGATTTTTTGGTATGTTTCTAGAATGCATAGCATTTAATAATATAAGCGGTAATTTTTTATGTTTTTATTTTATGCGAAAAGTTGTCAAACGAGCAGACGGTTCACCTTATGTTAAGTGAATACCGCCGCCCATGGATATCTGCCACGAGGGTTACAGATGCGTTGACAACCTTTTGATAATTGGGCTCCGGCTACCTCACTCACCAGACGAAACGCGAAAGTATTTGTCATACTTCCACTTTACGCTGGTCTTGTGTCAGGTCGTGGTACTAACCCGGACGGGCCTGCCCATTCGTGCAACAGCCGAGGCTGCAGCGTGGCCCTACCACCGTTAAAACTGTACGGTTCTAATTAACATA